ATCAAAGACTTTGCCAAGATTGCATGGCTGCTAGTTGCACTCACATGGAAAGATGTACCATTCACATGGGACAAACCACAACATGCTGTAGGGAATGTAATTTCCCTACCAGGGGAATTGCCTTATTTTGCTTGTTTTACTTCATTTTCATTCTAGATACTTTTTTCTATGAGTTGCACTTAGATTTCGCATTTTTGGTTGCTTAGTCAGCAGTAGTGCTACTTGTGTATGGTTTTTTCCCTTTAGAAAAAAGAGACAAGTTACCCTAAGACAAGAGACAAGCTCAAGCAGGTCATTCCCTGCACCAAGACAGCCATAGAAGCCTTCAGACAACTACCAGGATCCAGTCTCAGGCTATAGAAGCCCCTTTTGGCCTACTCTCTCCCTTCAGATCTCATTGTTCTCTCAACCTCACTCTTAAATTCTCACTTTCCTACAGCACTGCCATGCAATGACTCAAGGACAAAATTGTAAAGTCCCCCACACTCTGAAGGATTGACTATGAGTGCAGTTGCAAAGTGATTTTGGCAGTTGACACTTCAGCCATTGCAGTTGGCTACATCCTCTACCAGCTTGGTGATGATGGCAAACAGTACCCTAGTCACTTCAGATCCATCACCCTCAATGAAGTGGAAAGTTGCTACTCCCAGGCTAAGCTTGAGTTGTACAGTCTCTTCCATGTGTTGTGCATGGTACACATATACATCTTCAGTCTCACTAACTTCACTGTGGAGGTAGATGTGAAGTATATTAAGGGTATGATAAATAACCCAGATCTGCAGCCTAATGTGATGATCAATCAGTGGATTGCTGGCATCCTCCTCTTCTCATTCAAACTCATCCACATTCCTGTGGACAGGCATGCCAGTCCTGATGGCTTGTCCCACTGTCCACAGTCAGAATTCAACCTGCCTGAGGATGATGACCACAAGGATTGGCTAGACCATTTTTACTCATTCTCTACAGAAACCATCAATGACTGCCTGCCTCCTACATCTCTTTCCAATCAAGATCATCATTCCCTACTGCCACCTGCTTACCATCAGGTGTGTCTCCTGCTGCCTGCATCCTTCCATCCCACATTCTCTGCAACTGCCCATACTGATGACCCTTCTGATACCCCTGATGACCCTGCCATCCTGCAGTGTGAGTCAAAGTGTGGTTCAGTGGTGAAAACCAACCAAAACCAACACAAAAGACAAAAAGAGTGAGTGGTGGTGTGCCTATGTGGTACCTAGATGGTAGAACCTGTTCTTTGGGAGGGTTTTTGTGAGCTACAACACTCAAAGATGAGTGCTGAGGGTTGGGGGTGCTCCTGATGAAGAAGAAGCAGGAATGCAAGAGAATGCAATAGGGTAGACTGCTGTCAGCCTACAGAAGGATGGATGACGACTTAATTTGATGTCCTAAGCTGCACTGAGCTCAGGGAGGGCTTGGAGCAAAGTATATTGATGATAGACAAGGATAAGCAATGTAGATGATAGTTAGACCCTTAATAAAGTCTCAACTATTGAAGCTGATGGAGGATTTACTGAGTGATGATAAAAAATGGAAGCAAGAGGGGCTCTCTGATGTCTTCTTCCTATTCAGCTATCTAAGTACAGTGATTTATATACAGTACAGGGGTGTTGCCTATGGAAAACAAGGTGCAAACACTTGGTAAGTGATTGGTAACTGATGAGTAAGGAATGTAAGTGATGGGTAATCATCTTGGAAAGCATTGGTAAGCATTGGTAAGTATTGGCAACAGGTGAGTCAAAGACAGTCAAAATGTCAAAGTATGAGTCAAGTAATGTCAGGAACTGGGAAAGTGCACTGGAATCACATTAGGGGGAGGCTGTACATGTCACATCTCAAAGAGATTGCTTCTAGGCCAAAGTGAGATGACAGAGAGGCAGTGCTGATCTGATGCCAATATAGTACATCCAAAAGTGGACAGGGTGAGTCAGATGTCAACAGGGTCAAGCTTTGGGGGTCTGTGGGGTGACAGGAGCATAGGGGATCACAACCTTCCCCCCCAAACCATCCTCTCAGTGAAGCAAATAAAAACTTCATGAACAAGGCTCTGTTGGAAGAGAGGATGAAGGGGGAGTGTCTTCTGCTGCACCTTGCAATAAGGAGGCAAGATGTGCATCATACTCATCATGGATGTGATCAGGGAGAGTGGAGAACAGTATATTATACTGTAGCTGTCACAATCTTGGAAGAATGACAGATGAGACTGGTATGAAGACATTGCAGGGAGCAGGGAGGAAGGATCCATATGCTTCTTGGACCAGAGAGACTGAAATGACCACATAAGACCTTTCCAAGAAAATGACAGACCTGAGGTGACCAAAGAACATCCTCCTAGAGGTCATACTGACAAAAAGAACACACTGTCCAAGCTGGATGGGCTGAGAGGGCACAGACAAGGGTGGGATGTACCAGGATGCTTCAGGATGGAAGCTGGTAGGAATTCCTGGTAGATATATGTAGCCATGGTCCCTAGCAAAGGGGACAAGTGAAATGATTGATGTAGAGGTGGCCATATCAGAAGAATTAGCAAAATGAGCATCTTTTGGAGGGAGTGCTGTAGAAATGTGTGGAGTGCACAAATCCTTTCCAATTTTGGAAGGTAAGATCGTGTGGCTGAGCACTACAAGCAAGTGTGTGAATGGTCTTGGTATCTGCAGAAATGGCAGAGATATGTCAAAAACCAGAATGCCATACACAGGCACTTAAGAATTTTAGCCAGTGCTTAACTTGCTCCCTTTCTTTTTCTCTGGCACTGATGACTTATTCTTGTGCAAGGGATGACTGCTGACATTCCTGGCTGTCCTTCTTCACATGAGGGCTATGGTCTTCATCTCCATTCATCAGCTGTATCCATGTCCACCTCACCAAACACCTTTGGTGTGTGACAGCACCTACATGCAGGGGAAGGCACTTGTGATGGGTGCATCCCTCTCAACTTTGTAAAAGAACTCCAAGAGAGCAATAGCAACCCAAACAGCCCAAAATCCTGAGAGAATGCTACCTATGTATTCAATGATGAACTAGCTGCTGATGAAGACAACACCAACATGGTGTATGCTATGGTGGCAGGGATGGCTGAAGCTGAAGGGCTGGACCCATCAACAGTTCATGAGGCAAAATCCCAAGCTGACTGGCCAAAGTGGCAAAATGCCATAAATGCGGAATTACAGAGCCTAGAGGAAGCACACACCTGGGACATTGCTGAGTGCCCAAAAGGTGCAAATGTCATAGGATGCAAATGGGTTTTCAAGATCAAACACAACACTGCTGGAGAAATCAAGAAGTACAAGGCCCACCTAGTTGCTAAGGGCTACTCTCAGATACAGGGCATCAACTATGATGAAACATATGCTCCTGTCACAAGACTTGCATCTCTCCACACCATATTAGCAATCACCACATGCAATGACTGGGACATTGATGTATTCAATTTCCACTCGGCATTCCTCAATGGCAAACTTGGAGATGGTGAAGACATCTACATGGAGCTCCCTGAGGGCTACACTGGGTGGAATTTTTCCCATCCAGTTGGGAAGTTAAATGTCACAATATATGGCTCAAAATAAGGCACACTTTGATGGTACCAGAAGCTATGTGCCACTCTCACAGGTCTTGGACTCACCAGGGCACATGCAGACTGGGGAGTATTCTGTGGTTGCATAGGATCAGAAATTCTCATCCTCGCCAGCCACATCAACAACTGCACTATAACAGGCAGTTCCCCATTGTTAATTCACTCATTTAAACAGGAGATAAGCACTCATTTCAAAATCTCTGACCTAGGGCCCATCAGCTGGCTACTCAGAATGAAGGTGACATGGAATAGAGAAGCCTGCACCATATCCCTGTCACAGCAGTCATACATCAAGGCCATCCTAATGAAATACAACCTCACCAACTGCAAGCCAGCAACAATCCTGATGGACCCTGGCATAAAACTCTCCTGCAGAGAAATTCTGCAGCCAGCCAAAGAAGCTGCATGCATGAAAAACATACCCTACCATGCTGCTGTTGGCTCCCTCATGCACCTTGCTGTTGGAACGTACCCTGACATTGCATTTGCTGTCTCCACAGTCATGTAGTTCAACAATGCACCCAACATGACTCACTGGGAGGCCATGAAACAAACCTACAGGTATATCTCAGGCACAAAAGCACTTGCTTTGACATTCAGAAACTCAGAACAAGGCCTCAAGGGCTATACCAATGCAGATGGAGCTTCACAGGAGCATCAACAGGCTATCAGTGGATACACATATCTATTGGATGGAGGAGCTATTAGTTGGGCTTCACAGAAACAAGAACTCATCACACTCTCAGCCACAGAAGCAGAGTACACTGCAGCAACTCATGCAGCCAAAGAGGGCTTGTGGCTTCAACAACTCATCAGGAAGTTTTCTGACCACTCAAACATCCTATCCCACTGTATTCCAACAGCCAATCCACCATTGCACTCACCAAGGATGGCAGCTACCATGCTCACACCAAGCACATCAATATACAATACCACTTCATTCATTTTGCTGTGGAAAATCATTCCTTTTGTTTAATTTATTGCCCTACTGATGACATGGTCACTGATACCCTTACCAAACCCTTACCAGGCACCAAGGCAAAACACTTTGCATCTGCACTCAGACTTTGTTCCAATTGAGGGGGAGTGTTGAGAATGCATTCTGGAGTTATGGTAGCCTCTTGGAGTTTCGCCCAGAGGGCTCAGAGTTTCTCCCCAAGCCTTGGAATTAAATTCCAATGTCACTACACTTACTAATTACCATACTATAAATTTTCCACACTGTTGTTTTCCACCTCAGTGCCTACTTCATACACTGAGGTGAGTATAGCTAGATTCCTGCTCATTTACTTGGTACTGACATAGTGTAGAAACTCATACCTTTGTTAGGTACTAATAAAGTGACTACTTCATACACTGAGAAACTCATACCTTCATTAATCACACCCACCCAATCAGAATCATAGCATGCTGTAGACCAAACATTGACAAATGAAATCCAATAACATGCTTACATAATACACATGTAATCCAGCAAGCACCACAAATACATGGCCCCCACAGGCCAATAGCCAGTTTTCCAATGTGTGATTACAAGAATGGGAATATAATCACTGCAAAATGTACTACGGAACAAAGATGTTCTTGGTGGTGAAGAGTACAAGAAAACTGGCTACTTGGAAAGCATCATCTAGATATGAACTTGTCAGCAGCTGAACCCCGGAACCTGCTGGTGAACATAAATAACCCACCTTGACGAACTCTGCAATTCCACAGTCAACGATCAAAAAGCCGAACAGCTCCTCAATAAGACTCACCATCGTAATTGATCTGACCATCACCATCGACGTCGGCTTCACGGATCATCTCATCGACCTCTGAATCGGTCAACTTCTCACCTACAATTTAACGTCAAACGACTTCGTTTACTTCCAGGAAACAAAGGATTGCATACCGAGGTTTGTCATGACATGCCGCAACTCGGCCGCGCTGATATAACCATTCCCATCCTTATCAAAGACCTTGAACGCCTCTTTGATCTCTTCTTCGCTATCCGTGTCACGCATCTTCCGTGCCATCATGGTGAGGAATTCTGGGAAATCAATCGTCCCGTTTCCATCGGCGTCAACTTCGTTGATCATGTCCTGAAGTTCCGCTTCGGTAGGATTCTGACCCAACGAGCGCATGACAGTCCCAAGCTCCTTCGTAGTGATCGTCCCATCACCGTCTGCCAAAGCGTTGTGTTAGAAATCCTGGTCCCACGACACCAAACGAAACGCGCGTCTAATACAGAAAAAGTACCTTTGTCGAAGAGAGAGAAGGCTTCCTTGAACTCTATACATCGCTGCATTCATCGCGCCCGACGGGCAAACAACAAGGGGTATACTAACCGGAAATTTGCTCTGCATGTTATCTGTTAGCAAGTGTGACCAAAAAGCAAGCGGACATCCCACCTTCGGACTGTGCAAAACCACAAGCATCCATAACGATAAACAAGAGCGAAACCTACGCGACAAACAGGGGGACGACTTACCAATTGATCGGCCATTTTCTTACAGATCTCGTTCGGCTATCGTCTCTTCTGCGACGGCGGGAGATGCGATGGAGGATTGGAGTTAACAGGGAGTAAAGCTGGGGTCGAGGGTGGGCTTGTCCCGAACTGTTCCCCCTCATTTGTCACACCAATCTCGGCAATCGCCTTCCAGCCCAAATCAGGTTATCATCGTATCGTCGTCCTTGGATACATGCCACTGGCTGGCTGGCTGGATTTTATGGAACAGTGACTATGGGGACGTTCGTGGTGATATCATGCGGTGCATTCAACTCCGTACGCAAGGAAGGGTCATTTAGGAAGATCGGACTCAACGAGTACTTCCGAACTACCGTAACCAAGCGTTCACTTACATACTCGCATATATCATACATCACAATTGAACCGGGACAGAACACCGGGTATTCGATTGTATAAACGTCATAAATAGCAGCTAATCTAATCCCAGTCATCGTCATCGTCATCCTCCTCATCGCTCTCTCCCAATTTCTTACTCCTCTGCAGTAACGCGGCTGCAAGTGCAGCGGTTAAATCACCACCAGCTGCAACTGTAGTTCCGCCACTATCACCGCTACGTGTACTAGGTTCGTCTGCCGTAGGCGCGAGCGTCGACGTTGCGTTGGGATCGACTTTGGGGGTCTTGCGCAGATTGTGGACACTTTGCCCCCGGATGGACGCCAAAAGATCAGCGCGGCCGGGCTGGGAGGGTGGCATAGCTGGAAGTGCCGACGCTGAAGTGGGAGGTGGTGGGGGTGGAGGAGGGGGTGGCACGTCATCTTCAGTTGGAGGAGAGGGTGGTCCATGAGTGGTCGGAGGAGACCCAGTTGTCGGGGGTGGCGGTGGAGGTGGAGGTGGAGGCGGGGGTGGAGGTGGAGGTGGAGGACCACTGGTTGACGGTGGTGGTCGTGGTGGCGGTGGACCACTGGTTGATGGCGGAGGTCGTGGTGGTGGTGGACCATTGGTTGATGGCGGAGGTCGTGGTGGTGGTAGTGGCCCGCTGGTTGATGGCGGTGGTGGCGGTGGTTGTGGTGGTCCGTTGGTAAGTGGAGGGGTCACTCCTGGGCGTGGAGGAGCTGGGCGAGAAGGATGCACAGGTGCAGCACTAGCTGGTCGAATAGGAGGAGGTGGTGGCGGCTGAGCAGGACTTCTGGAAGGAGGTGGTGGTGGGATAGGAGCGCCTGAATTGCGTTGTGCAGATCGCGGCTGAGGAGGGGGGATTGGTTTAGTATGCGGAACCCTTGCAGGAGGTACTGGGGGTGCCGGAGCGGATTGGGTGTCGCCGTTGGTCGAAGTAACACTTGCCGAGGGTCCATGCATTCCGCGTCGAGGGACCGGTGGGGGTGGTGGCTTCTTCTTGGCAGGTTCCGTATCCTGGATATGACCATTTTGTTTCGCTTTTTCGAAAAACTCCCGAATGAAATCCGTGTTGGCCTCAACAACGTCTGTGGGAATACCATGCACCCCCAAGTCGGCAGCAAGTTGTCCCCAGGATTTATCTACACCCTCAACAATAAAACCCTTCTCAAGATCGAATTCCATGTGCGCGACATGCTTGAAGGAGCCTTGCACCGGACCCGATATCATGGACTTGTCAATCTTACCGCCCTTTGAAACTGGCTTTGTTACTTGGGCGGCTTTCGCTGTGAGAAGGGTCATCAGTTTGAGAATGACAATATGAGACATGTTGACCGAACCTTTGATCGCTTTGCGATTGGTGAGCTTTTTGTGAAAGAACTTTGCGTCCTTTTGGTCGGAGAAGACCAGACCAATCATACATGACTTCCATAGCGTAGGCCATAACGCATCAACAGAAAGACGACATTTCGGGGAGAAGAGACTCACATCACCGGCAAATGAATAAAAGAAGGGTTTGTCCTGGTTCAGCTCGAGCCCCTCATATACCTCATGCGACCATATGACACCTCTGCTCCCAAAAATGTCCACGAGCTTCACAAAGTACGCACGCTTAGAAAAATCCTCAACGAGTGCGAGAGCGCCCTGTAAACCTCCATAGGTCCACTCGTATCGTTGGGGATGTGCAAAGTAGACGCGAACAGGCGTGGCGAAGTAAATTTTGTTGTCTTCTGGCGGAATGGCCGACTTGACTGTGGTTTTCTCGCCCTCGAACAAGGCGGACTTGGGTGACATCTCGTTGTATGATCATTGACGAGCAGTCGCAGCATGTCAGAGTTGCTGCGAAGAGGTGGCGTGAGAATTTGATCTCGACTGTAGAGCATCGTCAGGCCCGGCCACAACCTGCTCCTTAATTTTCAAGTTTGACCTCGCGAGGTGCTATGCATACCAGGTTGTCGATAGTTTCCATATGTAGGGTGTCTGGCTGGGGGGATAAGCTTTTTGGTTTCCGACGGGACAAGGCTGTTCCGTCTCCAATTTGGCCAGGACCCACCCCCCTTACCCCGTGTTGCGTTATTACCCCTTGCATCGCCGATGTGTTTGTGGGTGGGGTCTTACATTCAAGTGCAACCGTCGCCCACCGGACTGAACGAGATGGGAAAGACCGTAGTGCAACAATTCTGCATTTTCCGCGATCGATGCGACACCTTTGGTCCGCACCAATGGATGCAGGCTTTAGCTTTTGTCCTCACATATCCAGAAATGATGGCCCCGTTCCTCCTCGAGTTCCCCCCGACCTTGAGTGGCCATGGGCCCCAGTTCCCAGGTGTGATATCTCCTCACGGGGCTATGTGCCATCACGTTTACTGGGAAAATTACATATCCAAAGGGTTAGGGCCAAAATAGGTTCACTTGGACCGGAATCCGCTCCCCACTGACCTTGCAGGACGAGGCCGCTTCATTGCTGAGAAGACCAACCTCTCACTACGAGACACGAGTCCGTGATATTCCCGTATGATAATTGGGTTCCCGGCGTGGGTCTACCCAGATACTCATCTGACCTCACGGAGTGAGTACTGCACTCCTTTTCTCCTTTAATAACCTGCCTGACGACGAACGTTGGTGAATCTCGGTACTTGTTCCAGATGAACTTTCTCCAAATTGCTTCCCTTTTCAAACAACAGAACTACGGTTGTTTGTCTTAAGAAGTTCGCAATCCTGACGGCGATGTTCGTGACCTGTGATACCATTGGGTATATATGGGTAAGCGTTCTTCCGTGAGTGGATGAAGAGCGCAAGTATTGGGTTCTATATCTCCGCCTGGCTCTTACTGCTTATGCGTCATCGCCTTGAAGAACCACGTCAACCCCCGAATTCCGGGAACAAATAATGCGAGGATCTGAGTGAGTTTTCAGCTGGAAACGGTGAGGTGTGTGTGTAGCCCCTCACTAATACTGCTCATACTGCATCCGCTCGTTCATATCCATTTCCATGACGATGTCCTCTCTGACTCCCCGTAGGCGACCCCTCTGCGTACTTTGCACAAGGAACTCATAGACTTATGCCCGTTGTAAGGCTGATCAGACGACATTTAAGTTATAGTCTAGCGCACACCTAACCGGAACCGTTGGACGGGCACAATGCTCAGCAACCTTGTATGACGTTTAAGTTTACGTACTTCAGCTTGACCCTTGAGGCTTGCCAGTTAATAATTTGTCGGATGACTATATGTGTAACTGCATATCTGGACATTTCATGAGCATCATCACACGCGTCTCCGATCAGATGGGGCCAAGAAACAGTGTCGCGCCATACCCATCCTAGTAAGTAGCAACACATCCAGCACGCCCTCCTGAAAGTTTGTCAATTGTGTTACTGGTAGAATGCATTTCAAAGAGCATCGAGTTATGCTACTGTACAACTTTTACTTGGAATGCATGATCCAGTAAGTACTTTCGCTTTCACGCCCCTGAAGCCGTGTGGAAGACGGCCCCTGGGTCCGCTATCTTAACATTACAGGAGTCACTAGATCAGATATCACCATCTCAGAACCATCAACGTCATGCCGAATTCGTTCGATCATTAAAGAATGTGAGTGGACTTCCGCTTGGATAGTATCTGTCTCGAGGCGATGAGACACACTGTGCCAGCAAGCACAACGATCTTGGTGCGTGCCGAATTAGGTCATTTCACATATTGAAATTAACGGACGTACCGAGGCAAAGACGAGCGGGCGCCACCAGATATAGGGTCCATTGTGATTTTGTTGCACGAGCGCACCCGCGATCGGAGTCCCTGTAAGCAGCGCGAACCCAATCACGAAGCATGCAATGCCGATGCGAGTCCTATACGCATTCCACATCCCGACCATCAGCTTTTCCGACCTCTTTAAAACGAAAGACGTACCCAATTTCGTTTAAGTCTCGGGAGAAAGAAGCCACGGCTGGCGTTATGATCGAGATAACTGAATGACAGGGATCATGTATCCGCATATGCAGGGGCTTATCCAAACGGAATACTTACATCCTCCTGAGAAGAAGCCATACAAAATACCGAAGACAACCGTGCCAGCCACACCCGTTGCCGCGAACATGAGGTAGATGAGACCCCCCGAAATAATCGTGCATGGGATCATAACTGCAGAATCACGGTGAGTAGGTACGTCTGTTCATTAACCCCTACGGTACCGAGGTGACCTACTGTTAAAGGGTCCGAAGTAGTCTCCGAGAAAATTAGGTATCGTCCTTCCGAACAACGAAGACGCATTCATAATAGGGATCTAGATTTATCGTCAGCAGTGCGAAACTATCAGGCGCTGTGGAGCATGCTTACAGCGTAAAAGGCAAGGCTCTTGGGGAGACCGTGCAGCTCAGCAAACACTTGCAAGTAGAAGACTGGATAATGTTAATACTGTGACATGAGCTCACCGCAGCCTGACATACATGGCACGAAGAGACCCCAAAACACCAATGCCGCACTAACAGCCGGTGAGACCAAAGTAGTTAAGCAGTGTTAAGTTCAAGCCCACCCAATAATGCAAAGCCAATATCCCCCATCAGATAGGACGGCTCGAATATTAATTGGCTTGGCATTTGGTCTCTCTCTACGACTAGGCAGTCGAGTTTTCATCACAAGGTTTGCCGTGAGAAGAAATACAAGGTCGATAAACGCCGCAGTCCTGAAGAACAATTATCAGCTCCGCCCCCAGCAAGTTATAAATACTACAGACCTGACCCCCCAAGGGAAGCCAACCTTCCCGTTAAACAGGTTGTTGAGCAAAATGGAGAAAACCACTGCCCCTGTCGAAGAACCTGAAGGAGCAATATGAAGCACTCGATGCATTTATCAGTAATGCGCCCACCTGCTATGACCACCCCCATGGCAACTGCCCGACGCCGACGGAAGTAATGAGAAGTTACAGAAAGCGCAGGAAGCATGATCAATTCCCATTCCTATTCCCAAGCCAACGCCCTGGGCGAGAAACACTTGATAGTACTGGCCTGGTTGGACAAGGGATAACATGAAAATGCTACACACATTAGCAGGGTCACCGCAATGCCATCCGCAGATCAGCGGGAAACTCACGAGAATAGATATATTAATGATCCAAAGGCGAGACAGTGATGAAAGTATCCGTCATCAAACAGCTTTCCAGTTGGAAGACCTCCGGCAAAGAGGAGGAACGTCTGCATAGAACCGATCCAACTGATGTCTGAAGCGGTGCGTTCACTCAGGAGGACCCGCTGGAAGACACATCGTCAAATAAACTGAGCCCGTGGATGATTGCTTATATGCCTACTGAATAGTAATCCTGATACACCCCAAAAGATTGCACTGTACCGAAAGTGCAAAACAATATCAGGAATCTACGTTTCGCTTGAAAATCAATTTTTCTGGAGACTGAAAGACATGTCCCTCACCCTCCAAGCACGGTTAGCCAAGCTTGCCGACCACCCTCTGGGAACTCAGGGAGAGCTGGAGCGGGAGCCTCTGGGGCGGATCCGGTCATAGCGTCGTAAGAACTTTTGCCCACTGAGGGCAACTGCTCGGGCTTGGAATCGTCACTCGTACACGGAGTGGCAGCCATGATGGAGGAGAGGAATGCGGCTGAGGCAGATGGGCTGACACGGGTCAGTACTTAGGGACTTTTCACATCAGCAATGCAGCTTCTCTTCGGGCCCCCTCACGATCAGAAATTTACACGAGGCAGCACGCGCGCCGACAGAGTGAACCCGCATCTTGTCCTTCTCAGGCTGGCCAAACTAACCCACCGTTAGAGTACCAACGTAAGCAAGTATAGCCGGCTTCCTCCGGTTTCCCTTAAAGTTTCGCAGGCTGTTCGAATTACCCGTCGAGGCCATGGGCATCCAGAGAGATCGCCCGGCTGCTGAATCGTATGACCAGATAGTACCGGATCTCGGTGTCTTTGACGTTACTTGCATTAATTTGGCATAAACGCGAAAGGCTTGACACCAGTCCTTGAGGCCATATGGTGTGGGGTAGGCCCTAGTAGGCCACGACCCTTGCAGCACGGTTGTGATCGGAGAACCACCCATGCATGCATGTTCTCACGAAAAGTGTGGCGAACTGGTGTTTCACACAGTAACAAATTAATGAAATTCAATAATGAAAACCCATGGCCTGGCGAAACTCCAGCGAACCGGTGTGAGATATCCCGGGCCGTAACAGCAATTCATTCTATCAACGACCGAGGAAGCCCGATTCTAAGGGTTAAGTACAACAATATTATATCTGACACGTAAATGTACACATATCCTACGCGAGACTCATACCTCTGGTGGGCACGATGTAACCTGTAATGTAAATGACCACCCCGTCACGGGTCTGAACAGATGACTTCCGCGGAGGACACACTAAAACTTACGAATACAAAGACACACACTATATTGGTCTGAGAACACGCTATGAGCGGAGGCCGGCCAGGCTGCGCATGCAGCAGCCGCCGATCTGTCAAGCACACCACCGAGGCGAGCCGAAAAGTCGCTTGCAATGACTGCCTTCTTGCTATTGGGATCTTAGTGTGTTGTCGTACAGCCTAGAAAAGCTTGGTGTCAAGAATGTCTGTTGTATCCACCTACTAGATAACAGAACTCCCGTGATTCTGTGCTTGAGGGCAGTGTAATATAGCGCCCCACTGAGGCATAAACGACGTCAGCCACATATTGACGATCTTCGTGCATTGGCACGGCACTGCAAAAAATTTGAGTTGACAGGATGGATGATCGTCAGTAAGTGGTTCTTGGAAGTCCTGTTAGTCAGTGGAGTAATATGGCCCATTAGTGGACCGGCCTTCTTTTCTCATCAGTGTCCTCATACATCCCCAACGCGGTATAATGAAACATCTCTGGCCGTGATCAATCGAGCGATGGCAGCTTACATGCTAGCCAGTGGAACTTGGACGAATTGTCCAGTGGCAGAAAAGTCCGGGTATTGAGATGAACTGGTCCATTCGCCATTCATCAAAATTGCGCAGGGTTTAGTAGTGTGAGAGGATTTCGATCAATTTCCTCTCGCCCAAAAGTTCTGGCGGCTCGCGTGTCTGTAACTTTCGCGGGACTAGCTCGATAGTACAGCTTCAATCCGCGTGTAAGTTGCCTAGTTTCTGCCCTGCGGCAAGTATATTCTTACCCACGGGTCAATAGTGAGCTCCACAGCATCGTACCAACGTAACAGGAAAATATTACACTTGAACTTATCTGTGCAGGATTGGCCTCGCTTCTATAGGAAGCGTTTTTCCAGCTGGCTTTCTCCCAAATGCGTACGAAGCTGGTCCCTGGCACTTATACTTTCTTTCCCTTTCGATCCTTACGACAAAGACGTCAGTTAGAGATTATGTCGTCTCGATCTGGAAGCCCGTCAAAGTTACTCTCGATATCACTTGACAGGGCTATGATTTAGGCCACCTCCCTCTTCGCGCCTCCGATCTTCTCTGAATAGTCAGGAAGCACCATCTGCACCTCCAAGCCATGATCGACACCTATAAAAGGGCTCAGATCTTCCCAGTTTCCCAACGCATTCATCGCTCACGCAGAACATGCCCAAGCCACTCAACTATCATCCTCTCTTTACCACCAGGACGGAATTCCTCTCTGTCGATGAACGCGTATCACTGTCCTACAAGAGAGCAAGGTTGCTCATGCAGACCTACGGTATGTTCCCCTGTTATAGCTGTTCTAGAGTCTCATTTCGTGCCAAGATTTGTCGGTTACCGACATACAAGTCTGCTCGCACAGATATTGGTCCATGATGACCGACCCCATAATGTCCCTAGATACTGCCATGTTCACTATTTTAGCCGCTCACGTCGGCCTTACCATCGGGACTCTATCCCGTCATTTAAAGCAACGCCCTGACTTCAGGGAGCTCGTTAATCGCCTCTTGCGGTTCGAGACAGTTGGTATTTACCTGCTGACTGAGAGGGGTCACGGCCTTGATGCGTTTAACATCGAGACGACAGCCACTAAAACTCAAGGAGGGTTCGTCATCAATACACCACGCGAAGAGGCTTCCAAGTAAGCGATTAGTTTTATCTATTTTGAGAGAAGAAGGCGAACTACCAACTGCAAATAGGTTTATGCCGGCTTCTACGCCCGCCTTCGGTATCCCGAAGGTCGCTTTAGTAATGGCAAGGCTCATTTTTGACGGAGAAGACCGCGGCCCTCGCTTCTTCGTCGTTCCGATTTGTAATGAACAAGAGATGTACAAAGGAGTAGAGTCCATTCGGCTGGGTCCCCGTCCAGGAACATCCCCGCTTGATTTCTCCATCACTCGCTTCAACAACGTGCTGGTTCCCCACACGGCCCTTGTGGCATCGAAGCTCGATGACTACTCTCTACCTGAATTCCCACTGCAGGCTTGGTGGAATGAAGTATGGCGCATTCCCTACGGGACAATGGCTGTTACCGCCCCATGGATATCCTCCATCAAAGCTGCCGCTTACATTGCAGGAAAATACTCCATACATCGGTGCATAACGGGCAAGGGGGAAAGCCATTTACCCATCATATCATTCAGAACACAACAATGGCCGATCATTCACGCAACAGCCGTTGGCCGTGTAATGAGTAACTGGTATCATATCGCTATTCCACAAACGATGGACAAGTCACTTGATCCGCGAGTTCGACATGGCATAGCCGTCATCGTGAAGACCACCGCCTGCCGCCATTTCCAACGCTGTGTACCAGAGGTTGCGGAGCGTTGTGGTGCACAAGGCACATTCGAACACAATTACATGGCCCGCATCGAGGTGGGTAATGTTCTTTCTGCCATACTCGATTCTGTTGAACATCCTTCACATGTCAGAACGACGGGAAAGGTGTCATCATCGCCGAAGGGGATGTCCTCACCTTGTGTATTCGGTTGTTCTCCGAGTTGGTGCTACAGAGATATCACATAGCCATCCCTGATCCCTCAGAGTCGCTGCTTGCGCAACACGCACACTCGATCTTGGATGAGAACCGTGCTTTACTTCGCCAAATACCGGACGGACACCGCAGCGAAGCCTTTAATTCTATCGTCCTCCCGCAAGCGGAGTCCACTATCGAAGCCATCGGTCACGCTATGGCCTACTCTGCCGCTCTTCACAGCGGCCTCCCGAGACCGATCCTGGACGTGTACGAGTGCGCGGTGATCCGAAGGGATCCAGCCTGGTACTCTGAAAACGCTGGCCTAACCCGCCTTGCGCAACGTATGCGTGAAGACAGAGCGGTGACTGCCGCAATGCCCCACTTAGAGAGCTACCTCGACGATCTCCAGATCGAGGGATACGTTTCTGCGCCTATAGTTTCCGACATGGCGTGGAAAGAGTACGTAGGCGCTATGCCCGTCTATGTTGGGAATGCGGTACCCAAATCAATGGACCAGGTGCAAGCCATGCTGTAGGTTTGTTCTGTCCTTACTCGTTAGTCCCCGCGAAAGCTCAGTGTGGGAACTGGATGTTATATTGCACGCGTTTTACCGCAGAGAACGGCTGTCCCCCATTGCCACTTTCTTTGCCTTCTCAATCTTCAGTGACACCTAGTACCCAGTGCCACATTCCCAAGCCTGCGTATCCCTTGTTTCTCTCGCTATGTGTGTATTGTAATGATTTTTCTCGTTCCCACCTCATACCCTTGTGCATTTTTGTATTCCCACTGTATTACATTTTATGCACCTTCAGGGTCACTGTCCGTGGACATTCCCGTATAGCGATATACTACTTATCATTCTGTGAATCGTGCATGCATCGTACAGTCATTACGAAGTTACGAACACCACAGACGTCGACAGTACGTCCCAAAACCACATCCAGGTATCAGGGTCATTTCATAAGTACTTGATGCAGGTTGTTTTTTTTTCAGGGAGAGGGGTACGATGGCAGCTTCCCTTAACGGCGTTCCCTGTCCGCCATAATGTGAGGACTTGCCTTTACACGAAAAAGTCAGGGTGACCATAAGATATCGCAATATATGTGGCAGGGGACCCTTCCAGCACGCAGAATTCGTGCGTCTGTAATGCGGAAAACACTCAGATCTCAGGTTAACTTGTCCATATCAACCAGGAGGACACCAGTACAGCAGAGCATTGTGTAGCTATCCAGCCGCACTGAGTCATCCCCTTTTGCACGTGGTAGCGAGGTTATCAGTCCAGGGTCTGCGTGTCAGAAGCACCAGTGACGAAAGGAGATAAGAAACACTGCGGTGATAAGGAGACATGCACAGAAATGGCTGCAGCCAGACTCTTTCCATCATGTATCTGCTATCGCTAGCACCAGTCAAAAACAGGTGGCCGCCCAGTTTCTCTGCGGTCGACATTCAAGTACTGATGAGTGTGGGCGCATTACAGTTTCAGTTGAAATGGCAGAAACGCCTGGGAAAAGACTGATAATACCGCCAAGGCCTTCATGTACTGTGTTCAGTTATTGATCTCTCGCGAGATACGATAGTCCGTGTGTAAGCGTTCGCCATCTGCTGGCCTCGTGGTCAAAGGTCAAAGGTGGAGAACGTGGTCAGATGTGTATATTGGCTGCCACTGCGACACGTTTGGGGTCTTCATTGTTAAATCGACTTGAAACCGGATATTCGAGTAGCAGAGGCCTCGACCGAAATTCGTGCTAGTACCTGTCAACATAAGTGCGCTTAGGAGATTGATCACGGGCGAGCGTAACCTAGATCTAGCCGGGCACCCAAGGCCTCGAGTGAAGCACGTTGACTTACTGGAGCACATAAGATCTCTCACGAACGCTAGGAGCGATATCTCGCCACTTGATATGACATCAGTAGTTGCCCATGTTTTGTCAGGAGTGCACAGTAAAACGCATGCGTGTTGACATCGCCAAGGACCACGGAAGCTGATTGAGGAACAAAACATGGTGGCTTCCAACTACGGGTTGTTCTTTGGCCGTGGTGCTCAATTGATCGGGGAACTCATCGTGGCCTGAGGTAAAGGATGACAGCCAGCGTACAACAAAAAGGTCAGCTTCACGTTGCGAACTATTTTTACATCGGCCCAAAAAAATGGGTCGAATGCTGGGCCCAACTTTCCAGAGGTGGCCTTTGGTGTCGCCAAGTGATACCAAGTTACAGAAAAGGCACAGAAGTTTCGAGAATTCAAGTGAGATTTTGGTCGGCGCTGATGCCATAAAGAACGTCCAAACCTATTGTCCGTCTGTTTCAAGCTTGACACAGAAGTGGAAATAAAGAGACAAATGCGCGTCGAAATTCCCAGCAGATGCCGTCGCTAAAACAAGCGCCGGAGCAGGAAAGGAATCGCTGAAAGGTACGAGCTAATTTCGAGTTTGCCGGCTCTCCAGAAGTCTCTGGAAAAAGTGGTTAACGTCTACAGCTTCCACAACCTTTCCTTCCTGAGCAAAGGGTCGCAAATATTCCATCAGTTCGTCCCTACGAGGTTTGAAAGACAGGTAATTAAAAACGAAAGGGTTGCGAGCAGCGAGTCACATACCGCATATCATTAAAGGCATGTATACCATCGATGGCACGATCTCGTGGTATACGTGCAAGGGCTCTCATTCCCAGCTCTTCCAACGACAACCCTTGATGGACAAATTGAATCAAAAATTGGGTGCTCTGGAATAACACATACCAGAATCGGGGTCTTCCGGGGGTTCATACATCTCTTCTTCTTCGAGCAGGTAAGGATGTGCTTGGAAGGATGGCAAGCACTTGAGGGGAAATATTAATTTAACATATTACCCTCTGCCATGAGTGGGACAAGTTCACCTGATCGCACCGGCACCACCTCTGACGCCATCCCTCAGTCAAAAAAATATCACCAGTGCCTATAGGAGACTCTGATACCCTTGAACCCTGCGGTTTGCGCTCAAATATAGCTTTGGCGATCGAGCTAGCTGATGGAGCCAGACAGCATGAAGCTGAAGCGTTGGATATCTTTCGTCGTTTTGCTGCGCGTTCCTCGCCTTGTGTCGGTGGAGATGAGAAACGCTGCCTGAAAGTAGTCGGTGACTCCGAATCATCGACTTCGGGCGGCAAGTCATTGTTGGTGTGGTTCCGCGAGGCGGCCAATAAAATATCGCCATCAACTGCCTTCCAAGGACCACTCTCGTCATCGCGCACCACCATAATGACGCCCTTTGTGCCTGCGTATCGACGGAGCGTATTAATCTTGGTCACGCATTCATAGCAGACAAAGACATCATAGTCCTCCGCAGAAATCAACGGGGGAGGCAATCCATTGGAAGACGCATCTGAGTCGTCGTCGTCGTCACCCTGAGCATCAGGAGATGCAGATGTAGGGTCAGGGTCGGGGAAAACGTCTGGATGGGGACGCTCCCTCAGATTGAGACAAGACTCGTGAAACCAATCCTGAGAGAAGACTCAGCCAGAGGGTCCGGTGTGTAATATGAAAATGGAACCTCGCATGAAATGCACTGAATCATCGTCTCCAGTTCTGTTTTTGGATCATAGGGCCTGGAACACCTGCAAAAAACGCCGCGGAAGTTATGATCGTATTTGTTGGTCGTGTTCTCCTCTCTGAGGCACTTGTGGAATGTACATGTATGAGGAATCGCGGTAGTAGGGCAATCGCAGCGAAAATCGCGCTTAGGGAACAGTTCCACTTGTTCGTGGTCCGTGTGGCATGCTATAGAGCAGGAGGAGCATATCCCACGCGGAACCGCGCAGGTCAGGCAGAGATGCACAGCTTGTTTAATTGGCCCCAAACTATACGTGCATTTCGAGAATTCATGTGGCAGGGTCAATGCAGCCTCCTGGATCAGCTGGTTCTGTGAATTAACCAAGTCATTGAGGGAGCATGCCATGTCGCACTCAGTGGCGGGGACTACCAGTTATTATAATCGTCGTTGGTGGCAGAGGTAACGATCACGTGCCCTGGTTCCTCTCACAATACATATGCAGCACAATTTAGAATTTCCTTCAGTGGATTCGAAGCGAGTTTTTTTCTGTACGCAATCGAGGATGCAGATAACGACAGATCTATACGTACTAAAAATGTGCTTCGCTCATTCCAAGTCTCAGCCGGTGGGCTTACGTCCCGTCAAGTCCATTCTCGAGCCGGACCGAATTACATACACAAAAGAAAAATGCTGCAGGATCAGACAGATTGGATGTTTCTCACAGAGACCTGCTGGCCTCTGTGAGTCTTGTCATCTTAATCCGTATGGAAGGAGTTGGTGGTCACGATCTTTCTATGGTCGAGTTATAAATCTCACCTGGATGGGCCCCTAGGGTGACACCCCACCTGTACCCGTGTAGCGTACAGATATGTATTATCAACCCGTCCCACTTGCGGTACACTCACAAAAGGAATAGGAGGCTGTGTCTGAGTCCTGTTTATCAAATATCACATATGTCCTGCCTGCAGTGCACCACCATGAGCATGGACCTCCACACATCAGCAAAGTTACAAGTAGCCTGCTTGTCTGATCCATCTGATTTAGTCTGACAAACTTTAATTCAATTCATTTGAACTCTTGGCACACCATTCAGTTATCTAGTGTCAGACATCTGGATTGTCTGAATTGTCTGCAGCTGACTGTATCAGACGAAGCAGACTAGATGTAACTTTCCTGATGCAAAAGGTCGTGCTACTTTTCCGTCGGGCCTGAGATCTGGGTATGTATTCGTGGGGAGAAATTCTAGACCAGATTGTCGATTACGTCCCAAACACCGATATGCAACTCAGAGCGGACTACTCCGTCGGTGTACAAAGTAACCCCAGAGTTGCAGAGGGATTGAAGGCTGCCGTCATGCTGATTAATGGTGCTTCGGTGGACGAAGTCAGCTTCGGCCCCAGTTCTACTAGCTGGTCTTTGAAAATATCGCGCGGGCTTTGGACAGCGGCATTAAACCGGGAGACGAGTTTATTATCACCGAAGAGCACCAGGCTAAATCAGACCCAAACTGCGGACCCTGGAAGCACTTAGCGGAACGCATGGGGTAGTTGTGAAATATTGGCGCACGGCACCTAACTCGAAACCATATCCATTGGGTTATAGCGCAAATAACCTGCTCTCTCTCACTTTTGCCAAAACGCGCCTTGTCCCGTTACTGCCTAATCCAATATTTCAGGCTCCGTTACACCAGTAGAAGAGATTGTAACAGCTTTACGGAAACGAGCAAAGGAACTTGGAGCGCTGAAAGTCGAGCATTCAGTTGATTCTGTCGCTCAGGGTCCTCGCAGAAGAATTGAAGGTCAGAAGTTACGAACTGGTATATGTCGCTACAATAGTCGTCCCATACCTGTTATCACTCACTCCTGAAAACAATTTGGATTCCTCCTTCGATGCATTTGAAGCGGATGAACAGTTACTATTACAGCCGTTGTTATCGGTCCCCACTGATCCGAAACAATACAATTAGGAGGTCCGTGTTGTTCAAGTTGGGGGTCCTAATGGTCAGTTTTGCGTGGTTGGGCAAAACAAGATGAAAAGTAAAGACATTGCTGGTTTCTTCGATAGGAAAGGAAGGGCGAGTACGAACTTGATATCCGCACTGTCAGTGTTCCTCTTTCGCAAGCTGGCATTCGCTATGGTCACTTCTACGCCTACAGCCTTATCGATAACATGCAGCCAAAGTTAGATGTGGTCCAGTGCGCACTCATCTTGTTCATTACAACACTGTCGAGGAGGTTGAGAGAATATTAGCGGTTTTCAAGGAGTTACGAAGAGGGAAGGGACCTTGGACAGTGTAAATACGAGGTAGCTAGCGATGCGTCATTTGGGTGTTACCGTATCCTGGCAATTATCTAATCCTCACGAACCCCAGGCTACTATGACGCTATCCTTGACACCCACACCGTAGATCGTGCAGCCTTGTTCCCGCCAGTAAGCTGAGACTTCAATATGGCAAGAAAGTCGGCTTCAGACCCGATCCTCCTCACGCTCTTTGCTAATCGCTTCATGAGTGTCGCGGAGGCAATGGGAAGGTCGCTCCAGCAGACCTCTATCAGCACCAACATCAAAGAGCGTCTCGATTTTTCATGTGCGCTGTTCGCGCCCGATGGTGATCTGGTTGCGAATGCACCATTCATCCCGATTCATCTTGGTTCTATGAGTTTGTATGTATCCACACCGACAGTCAGGATTAACCCCTGCAGCTGATGAGCCTCCCGTTGTTAGCGCCGTTAAGTATCAAATGAAACTACACGAGAAGGACTTGAATGAAGGAGACGTACTCATGACCAACTCTCCTCATGCAGGAGGATCGTACGTAGTTTGGGTTGTTGACGCTGGAGACAACACTCACTCGTTCATCCCAGTCACCTCCCTGATATCACTCTAATCACCCCTGTGTTTGATACGGAGACCAAAGAGATTATTTTCTTTACAGCTTCTCGTGGGCATCATGCAGATATAGGTGGAATATTGCCTGGATCTATGCCTCCAACATCGGTGAATATTTTTGAAGAAGGCGCAGAAATAATCAGCTTCAAAATAGTAAATGCGGGCGTGTTTGATCGGGAGGGGCTTCATGAATACATGGTCGAGGGACCAGCTCGATATCCAGGAAACTCTGGGTGTCGCAATATAAAGGAGGTGGAAAGCGATCTTAAAGCCGTCAGTGGGACGTTGTAATCATGGCCTTCTGATCGGTTTACAGATGCTCTCCCTAGCAAATTGCAGCCAACCATAAAGGGGTACAACTCCTCCAAGCAAGTAAGACTTTGTTTCCCTTTCATGATTGTGGCTTAACGGCTTTTTACACAGTGGTGAAGGAATACGGTCTCCAGATAGTACAGGATTACATGTATCACATCCGAGCCAATGCCGAAAGCTCAGGTCAGAAATTTGCTCCGTGAAGTCGCAAAGCGTGCAGGTTCCAACGTCCTCAGTGCTGTGGACTATCTAGACGATGGGACTCCGGTATGCTTATCTATTCCCCCATCCAAATCGCCCCTAACACGATTCCTATAGATCCAACTGAAGGTTGAAATCGATGAGAAGGAGGGTGCTGCTATATTGGACTTCGAGGGTACAGGTTATGAAGTCCGGGGGAACTTGAATTCCCCTGTGTCGGTAGTGCACTCAGCTGTCATCTATTGCATGCGTGCTATGCTTGATGTTGACATTCCTCTCAATGCTGGTTGTCTTGTCCCTCTGACAGGTGAGTTAGCCGAAAACTTTCGTAAAGTAGCATCTTATCTCGCGCTAGTCCGAATTCCAGAGAGATCATTACTTTCGCCATCTCGGACGGCGGCCGTTTGCGGAGGCAATGTTTTGACGTCGCAGCGCATCGTAGATGTCGTCCTGAAAGCTTTTCACGCGTGCGCTGCTAGCCAAGGCTGTACAAAGTTTGTGCTCCTTCCATTCCTCGGACCCGCTGCCTTATTCTGATACGTAGCAATCTCACGTTCGGCACTGGCGGTAAGGACAAAGATGGAGTGGCTGTGGCAGGGTGGGGCTACTACGAAGTTAGACTGCGGCAGCCAAGCTTCATGAATACACTCACTAATAGTATTTCTAGACCATAGCCGGTGGCTCGGGTGCCGGGCCTGACTGGCACGGTACCTCAGGAGTGCATACCCACATTACGAACACTCGAATTGGCTGATGTTGAAATACTTGAGCGACGATACCCTGTAGTTCTTCACCGCTTCGGCTTAAGGCCTGGATTCAGGAGGAAAAGGGAAGTGGCACGGTGGGGATGGTGTCATCCGAGAAATTGAGTTCACGCATGGGTTGCAAGTATCAATCTTGAGTGAGGTGCGTTTTTGCGCCACTACGTCCAGCTTTTGCGTAAAACATGACCTTCAGAGGCGTACTCGGGCACCATATGGTATGGAAGGGGGAGAACCAGCAATGAAGGGTCGTAACACCTGGATCAAGCGAAGACGAAGGGAAGACGGAGACCTCGTTGACGACTGCCTGGAGAGCAAACAGCATCGATTCATTAATATTGGGGGCAAGGCTACGGTGTTCATGGGCAAAGGGGACCGACTTCTGATTGAAACACCTGGAGGAGGTGGATGGGGCCTACCCATCAACTCTACCGTGCAAGAGGCTTAATCACACAAACCTACTCGGGAAGCCGGAAGGAACATTGCAGAAAGGGTAGCTGCACAGGCTAGTCTCTGAAGGATGGGATCCAATGCCTGTAGGAGTTGTACCGGATATCACCGTACCACATTCACGGTTATGGTCCAGCATGTATCATATCACGCTTGATGCAGCACGGATAAGGTGTCACTCCCACGGGCCTGACCTTGCCATATCCGTTTGGTAAGACGCTGTGCTTTGCTCGGCTGTGTATTAGAGCCTCATTTCCCTCTCATGAGCGGCTCGGAATCACTCCTCTCCGCTAATGATGTGGCGGATTTATTCAAGTTGGTACTCACTGCTCTGCCGGTTGGCAGACTTCGGTATTCTCGCGGATGCGGTCTTCAATCTCCGCAAGCGGCCACGGGACTCTGCTTCCCAGCCTGGTGTAACACACCGTCTTGAACGGGAACAAGTCGGATTATATACAAGGACCATCTTGGGCTAAACTTCTCAACCGCGTGTTTCGCCCCAGAATATAGAGGTACCGCCGATTATCAATTCGAAGCGCGTATGCTATGTCATGCCTCATGTTTGATCTTTCCCTGCGAGTGCCACTGCCGCCCGAATAAAACGAGCTGGCGTATAAGACACAGATTGAAAAATTTCCCCAGGGCGGCATCTCGACCGTCCGTCCCCTAGGTCTGATCACTGCCATGCCCTTCACGACGTCACGACCTTTTCATCAGATCTTCACGAATGTACTGAAACGATTTTCACAGAGAAACCTAAGACCCTCGTCTACTCTTACGAATCTTCAACCCAAACCGATCACGAACACCCTCCATCCAAGCTACCTGCAAACCACGCAGTCTGGTTTCCGGTATGCCTTGCTAGCTGGTGGAATATCGTTTTCCGTTGCACTGGCAGGGATCGTCCACGCTACTCGTGACAAGTCGAGAACACCACCCTTAATTGACTATACCCGCGAAGTCAAATACTTCAAACAGCCCTGATTTTCCAGGGGCTATTGGAGCCCTGTTGCAAGAATTCCATGAGCGGAGTATTGTGTCGACGGACCCACAGGAGTTGTATGCATATGCGCAATCGTCCTATAGCCAAACTCCTGGTACTTGTGTCTGAGCCAGCTGTTTTCGGGTGAACTTACCTTCATTACATTTAGGATTGCCCCATACAGTCGTTCGTACATGTCCAGAGTACCGAAGGACGTAGTGAAGGTGGTGAATATATCACGGAAGCATTTAGTACCCATCGTTCCGTACTCGGGCGGGACCAGCTTGGAGGGAAACTTGTCTGCGGTAAGAACCCAAAGCTACAATATACTTTCTGAGGTGGTAATGAACCGCCCTACAAGCCCTTGTTCTGGTTCCATTTGCGTAGATCTGTCTGGGATGGACAAGATTCTCGCCATTAACGGTAAGGGATAGAACAGGTTTTTGGTGACTACCCTCTTCTGACCCGTTCTGCAGAATCGGATGCCGACGTCGTTTGTCAAGCTGGCGTCACGTGGAACGATCTTAACGAAACGCTACGGGAAAAAGGTATTGCATTAACCTCGATGCCCGTTTCGTATAGATACTGATATCCTTTGCAGGAATTCCGCTCTTCTTTCCAGTGCGCATAGATAACTCTACCAACTACACTGGATTACTGAATACGCTTAGCTTGACCCAGGTAGAGATGCTACGATAGGTGGCATGATATCTACTGGGTGCTCCGGAAGTGAGTATCGATACCATTTTCTTTCCATTATAATAGTTACCTTTTGTTTAGCAAATGCAGTCAAGTATGGAACTGCAAGAGGTGAATGGATTTTGAACGCTGTACGTAGTTCTATTCCACTTGCAATCCCGCTTAGACTTTCAACAACCAGACCGTTGTGTTACCTTCTGGAGAGGTCATAAAAACACGGCAGCGAGCTAGAAAGTCCTCGGCAGGTTTCGATCTCACGAAATTGTTCATCGGAGCAGAGGGCACGCTCGGCATTGTCACGGAGGGTGAGCAAAGCGAACACATACTCGAAGACTTTGTCCTTACGACACCGGGGAACAGCGACTTTACGGCTGGCTCCTCTATTACCTACCCGAGTTGCTGTTGTACAATTCCCCGATGTCTGGCGCGCCACGAATGCTGTATGTGATATCCTCAACCGAGGGGTGGCTATGCGTGAGCCTTTTCCCTTTCGCATGATCTGTATGTGAAATTACACTTCACTTCTAGAATGTGTGGAAATCATCGATGAACTGGGTATCAAAACACTGAACGCGTTCGGAACGTCCGATAAGGTATGGCCAGAGAAAGTTACTCTGTTCTTTAAGTTCCAGGGGGCAGAAGACGTTATTCGCAACAACTCCAACCTCACGGCGAAGGTCATGGCTCAACACGAAGCGTCAGACTACCGGCTAGCTGAAAATGAGGAGGAAGGCGAATTGATCTGGCAAGACCGCCGGAATGCGCTGTTCGCCGGACTTGCGTATCTGCCCGGATGTAAAGGGTGGATAACTGACGTCTGGTACGCTGCATATATGTTTGAAGCGCCGATCGGTCTGACCGGCAACCCGAAATAGTGTCCCTGTGTCCAGGCTGCCCGACCTCATCCATGCCGCCAAGAAGGACTTCGAGGAGTTAGGCCTCGTTGCCCCTATCGCCGGACATGTCGGAGATGGTGAGCTTTTTTCCACACAATGCTTCGGTAGGCTAAGTAGAATACTAGGCAATTTCCATGCTCTGGTGTTGTACAGGAATGAAGCCGAACTTGTACTTGTTCGTGAAGCTGTGAGCCGAATAAACCGCAAGGCCATCGAATTAGAAGGCACATGTATGTCAAAAGTCTTCCCGATTCTCCTTTTGTTATCATTTCCTCCACTGGTTCAACTTACCCTAAAAACGTTTCGAAGGCACCGGTGAGCATGGAGTCGGCACGGGGAAGCGCGAATATCTCTTGTCAGAATTGGGACAAGGGACTGTCAGTCTCATGAGAATGATTAAGCAAACCATTGATCCACACAACTTATTTAACCCTGGTAAGGTAAGTTGACAGTATCACACTTGCCCTCAAGCACTACCGTTATTCATATAATATTGTGGTACCCAGCTGTATCCTGAACCTGTTTTGGCCAGCCCATCCTCTCCAACTGTTGTATCGTCCATGTAATAGTAACAAGACTCCATGTATCTTTACTGTTATCACATTCACTATGGTTTTGGTGACTTGGCTTCGAATTGCTCGATTCCGTCCCATGGTTTGCGGAAGTATTACTCCAACACCTCATCGTTGGTGCGAAGGTGTTCCGCGGACCCGAGTAAGGTAAATTGCGTGGGCCATCGCCAATCTTGACTGTTTTTGACAACTCGCCTCCCGTGGTTCGTTCTGTGGCTTCGTATTCTGGCCTTTACGGAAGTCATAATCCGGCTATCGATTGCGTATATCCGTGATTGGACTCAGGGAGACGGTGTTCGGGAAGGCTGTCCGCATGAGTACCACGACAGTGGTAGCACTAATATGGAATTTTAACCTGTATCTCCCTAATTTTTCAAGCGCAATATTCCAATGATATTCGGCGCAGCAACATGTGGATCAAACGTGGCTAGCAGTTACTTATGCAATCGCATGACCCAATTGCAAGCGTCGATGGACCTAACTTTCTGTGGTTGTAAACACGTTCATTCACTAGATAATTGGGCATAGGCGGTTTTCACCAATTAACCGCACTGGGGGTGCCGGGTATTCCAGACATCTATTAACCGACATGTGAGCGGACGAATAAAGTTAGACGTGATTCGAGACTTATCCAGGTATCCTTGATTGAGACAGCAAGCGCTGGCTCGGGTTCGCGGGATATCTAAAGCCAAAATAGGGCTGGTTTGCCACTGGAATTCAGATCTACGTGACCAAATTTTGAGGGGGCGACGTATGGGCCGAAACTTCCATCCCTACTAATCAAGTCTATGGTGTGGCAACGCCTCGCGATGGAAATAACGTTCCCCCATAGCATGTTTCCTAATAAGAATTGAGGAATGGCTGTCCCGCGAATTTCCAGTGCCAGCTGTTGCCTTATCCAACATTGGTGAAAACCATACACTTTCTTACTCTTTGACCTGTGCAGGTTACGGTTAGTTTCCCACTAGGTCCGTAAGAAGCAAGATATTAGCTCCGAAGTAGCGGCGTCCATGGCATGAGAACCCAAGAGAGTACTGGTAAATAAATCCATACACATACCACGTTTCACCGTAAGACTAGCTTAACTCGGAGGGCTTTTCGTCTCCTATTTGATGCTAATCTGATACCAGTCCGTTCTTATCTCGCGTCGGCAGAAACAATGTAACGAACTTTCTTGGGTATTACGGAAGACGGACCTAACGATCCGTGCGCCCTATAGCTACATTTCTGCATGCCAGCTTCCGTATTTAGATGCAGCTGACAGAGATGCATGCGTCAAGATGGACAGCTGTGGACTTCAAACCGGTCAAACAAGAGAACGACTTTTGCTCGAGCTGGGGCCGAAGCCTACGAATAAGTACAATGCAATGGTGATACTGCATTAGCTCACCTCCCACCGGACTGGAAAGTTTTGCCATCAGCAAAGGTCACAGCATGATTACGACAGGGGTAAACACTGCACCCCAGATGAAGGATAATAACATCACCTGCAGCGAAGTTGTTAGGAGGTACTCCAATATTTAATATTTCCAGAATTATGGTAATTCCAAAAACGAAGCTAAGGTATAAATTAAGTGAGTAGGGATCGTTCGGGTAAGAAGTAATCGGATCATCGTCATCATGGTGTGTCTATGAAGATGCGGTCCCGGTGACAGGTGGCATCACATCGAACTGCGCTTCCTTTCGTTGCTGACGCTCTTTTTCTTGCTCCTCAAGCTAAGAGTCCCGTCAGTGAACTGAAGCAAGGACAGGCCATGAGCCACGAACTAATGTCTGCCAGGAGTGATCCACAGGGGCCTTGGGAGGGGAATTTGAGTATTCAACCCATATAAAGATTGCAGAGAACGTACCTTACGGGCTTCCAAGGCCTGTTGTCGTTGACTGTGCGTCAAAGCACCAGCAACCAGCAATACACCGACCGTGAGTCCTTGAGCCCACACACGCGCTTGGACGACCTGTTGACAGCAAAGTCCAGTTTCACAACCAGAACAACGGAGAAATGAGACCAACCTTTTGCGGCACGCTCTGATATCTGCAGAGTGCAGGGCAGACGACTGTTCAGCAGTAAACAACACATGGAAAGAAATGCAAGTACTTGTCCCTTGCAACGATGGCACCTGCGACGGCCATCGAAAGTGCCCAACTTCCAAAGATTATTGCATACTGCTTGCGAGACGCCCAGTCAGCGACTTTCTGCTTCACCGACAAAGCACTCCATCGGGCTTCTTTTTCAGCAGCGACACGGTCTAGTTCCATGCGCCCGGCTCCGGTCCTGGAGACACATTTATACCACCTCGAAAAGCTGACGCGAAACCGGCAAACAAACCAGTTATTCTCTCTATCAAACTCCAAACCTCGTCGTTCTGCTTGGATAGTTACACAAGGTGCTACTACCATGACCACACCCATGACTTTGAGTGGCAGAGGAAGAGACCTGTAGTAAGCCCATCTACGGTTGAGGATGAAGGAGGCAGGTATAGCGAAGGCAGCACTGCCCAAGAGGCCTTCGGTTGCACCTCGATAAGTGGCATCGTTGTGACCCGCAAGCTGTTCCTCGGTGACGATCTTCATGGCGTATTGGGAGTAGTAGTCGACTTGAAAAATGAAAAAAGACGGGCTGCCGCCTTTGCCCTTGTATCCTTTTTGCCCTTGTATCCTTGTAGGAGCTACCGTTCGGCCGACCGCACGGGGAGAGACGGAGCGGAGTAGATAACACAGCCACCTGCGGAACGGCCCTGCCCGGTCCCGACACAACCGCTACTGTCATTCAACATTATGCGGGACCTAAAGATTAGTCAATGGAAAGTGAGGGCACTCCTTGGCTTTGTTTCGACTACCTTCAAGCTTATACCCGCATTCGACGGGAAACCATGTTTCACAGGACATATCGGTGGCTCGCAACGGCGAACCATTCTTCACCTGCACACCCTAAAATTTCAGTCCATACTGTTTTTTTTACTATAGGAATTAGGCTGGAGGACCGATAAGATTCCTCTCAACCATTCTATGATCAGTTACATGCCTCCAAACTCCCGAGTATCACGAATTCCAAGACTACAATCAAGTCACTCCATTGTCAGTCATCGTTCCACAGTGTACAATACTGGGGTTGTTGACGTGGCGCGTGCATCTCCAAATTCTCAGCTCTTCGACCTTCGCATTCTGGGACTTGACACTAGCTCTTTTCTTCCGCCCTCCTACGGCAGACCGCCCGACCGTTCCGATCGAGTTTGATAGGACGCGACGTTATATGATGTCAGTTCGTGCACCGCCCGTACTTACTATACATCTTTTCGCTGGAAACGGAGAGATGCCCTCATTTCACGAGGAAACTTAGTGGCTTGAATTTGCCGATATCCCATTTCCGTACCATGTAGCGGCGCCGTCAGGAATGTTGCAAACACGGTTTACACTTCTGGGACTCCCGCGCTTTCGTGAATGTTTCAGAACCATGGAGCGGCCTTCATGCAGCTCCTGGCTGCTTACGTCTTTCAGCCCACCAACAATGCTGACATCATGGCACAACTTCGTCGGTGGTAGGATTCTTTTCTTGGCCCTACCTCTCCATCCGTGCAGACCCAGCAAAGCTTGGTACCATCGCAGGCTTGGAAGACACGTTAGAATCTTTGGCTATCGACCAGTAAAATTGCTTTGGTCGACAAGCACATACCTGATGACCTGATCGAGCATATCAGCGGTCGCAAACCTGGGCGAGCAGGTCTGCCCACCAGGAGAAGCGGCTGAAATCGAGAAATCTGGAACAGCTTCAAGGACTTCACATGCTTCGGAATCCCGTCTGGGGGCTACCACCATGAGGACTGCTTGCAAATTGTTACCACTGGTTCTGACGATCTTTACAAACCGAGTGGCGCTATAAATTCGATTCGCCGACCCCCTCTGAATATGGGTTACCATGCAGGATATTTCTCTTGGTCCAGACGCCTGTACCTACTAAATCCACATGTCGTCTGAATATCTTATAGTTCGGACTTGCATGACGCATAGGTACTAGCCAGCTTACGGAAGCGCTTTGTGAGGTGAGCAGGTTCGTCTTTGGCCAAAGTTCGGTTATCTCTGCACAGCTGTCTGCCAGGAGTAGAGCCATAACATGAGCCAAGCATCTCAACCGTGTCATCCGTCAGTCTTTAGCACCCGCTTGGCAATTCAATGATGCTGGTTACCCAGCGCGCAGACGGAACACTTGATGGTGTCCCTATATCCTCAGCCTGGAGCAAGTCAACCGGTCTATTTTGGGGATGCATTTTGCACCTCGCTCTGACTTGACTTCTAGCAACGCTGTGTTGGATCGGTGTCTTCAAGTGGTCAGCATATCCATATCCAGGCGGATGCGGTTGCTATCGTGAACACCTTCAAGTGTAGCTAACGGTACGCACCCATATATCCGTTTCATGATGCCACCCATATCATAAGGGCGACGCTTATCGGGATTACCAGGTTGCGGCTGGTGCACTGGACACTGCAACTTCTTCGTTGCCTTCGTCTGCGAGCCGTCACTTACCATCGGAAAGCAGACATATGACATTATTCCCAGCGTCCTCCTAGTGACAGTACCACCCTCGACCAGTGATAACTGATTGTGGCTAGGCCACCTCGATAGATTTCGTGCGGAGCACTCTTCTCAGCGTGAACACAATGCTGCCTCCTTCTGAAATCTCGTGGGCATTATCGGATCAGTGAATATTCATACGCCGTGTTCACATTCCCCCAAAAATATGCTTCTACCAGCAACTGACACGGTTGGACCAGGTATCGCATCAATGTCGATCAATGTCGTTCCACTATTGTCACAACGAACTTCGGATTTCGCCTGGCATGACGCTGAGCAAGTGGGTCTTGATCGCAGCCTCTCTTGAGGTCCATACACACCGTAACCCTGTAACCACAGTAACTGAGCGGTATAGGTATTGATATACAGCCACACATACTCGGGGATAACACTGACGCGATAACCATTGGTGGGTACTTCATTTGAGTCTTATCTGAATCGCACTACATAACACTGGTAGATTGAACGTCAGCGAAAGCGACACGTCTATGGTGTATGTTTCAGAGCAACCGATGAGAGGTGTGCGCCCCTGCAACCCAGTAATGACGCTTGGATAAGTGCTCCCGCAGAACATGGGTGTCGATGAGGGCCCTCTGAGAAGACCCGTATGTAGTCGCGGTGGTGTCAAAGCTCTTGTCCATGGATAGGAATCGGTCACACCAAGATCTAAAACTCGTGTTTAGTAAGAGGTTTCCATACTGCTACTTATCACCTCTCAGCCGTTTAATGGTGGAGCAGCGAAGTGTGATACTTGTGAAAAGTACGAAAAAACTGCCCCCGATTCTTCGCGTCATGTTGGGATTAAATTGGAGTGTTACCATGACCAGCGTTCGTATGTGTCATGAGCCGCTGTTATCCGCAAACGCGCTTTGTCAATTAGTAGGTATCCAGCCAGTCTGGTTGTTACTGCTTGCTCTCAATTTCCTAGAAGCATTACCAGGGCAAGATACGAAGAGCAACGGTACTATTATTAGTTCAACCGAAGTTGAGGTAAACCACCTTTGGTTGCCATTCGAAAGCATACTTAAGTACAGGGACGTAAACGCAAGCGTTATCGCCGTGCTCATCCAAGTTAGCGAGGACTATGCGATGCTAACCGACACCACCTCAGCCGGCACATTCCTTATGTCCTATACTACCTGGCGCCTATAAAGATGCCATGGAACCAAGGTAGGTCTCCATTATCCTCTTTTCTTCCTCTTTCTCACATCCACATTCCTTCAAGTTCTAGTCGCTCGTTTCTATAGAATTCCGCGGAGATGAGGCTTTCCGCATTCGCCTGTTACCCCTCTCGTCCTAGCGTCGACCGCATTCGCTCGTTCCCACTTTAGTTCTCGTGTGCACAGACGCGCTTCCCTTGTTACTGATTACTGCGCTCACTTGGATGCCAACTTGGTCTTCCCTGACCTTCACGAAGATGGTGAGTTCAATGGGCACCATCATAAGCCTTGCAGATACAGACAAACCATACACAGCCGGCCATCTGGACGTCAGCATCTGCACGTCGCAGATAAATGCGTTTGTCGAGGCAAACCATGTAGCACAAGCAGCTGTGAAGGCTGTAGGACTACAAACAGTACAGACTACCCTTGTCTCAATGGCGAGTTGTCTGTTGTCATTTTGACATTCTCTTCACGCCCTCCTTAATTAGATCAAGCACTCCGGCGCAGAGTGCTCGTTCCCATCACATTCTGAACTCTCTCCAACGCCCTCCAATGTATGCGATTTTAAGTGCACAGACGGATTCCTGGCTATGCCTCCGGATCATCCCACGTCATGCCAATGCCCTTCTCACTTGACCGTTTGCGACGGCAAGTGTGGGCACTTCCATGCCGACCAATGCGCGAAGACGACCCCCCCTTCGCGCCGCCAGAGCGAGCACAAGTGCGCAAATGGCTTGCAGATGTGTGGCACTTCTGGTACGAGCAATGGGAAGAGTTGGGACTGTGTAGACGTCAACACTGACCCTATGGCCTGTGAGTCCCGTTTATTTGGGCTATGGGCATGGTAGCTGATAGATAGTGCAGGTGGAGGATGCGTTAAGCCCTCTCCCTTCGGTAGCTCGACCACGAATGGCGTCAATTGTAAAGAAATTCCAAACGTCAAGAGTCCCACTTGCAGTAGTGGCAAATGCGTCGTCCAGGAATGTGAGGATGGGTATAATCCTACTTCTACAAATGATGCGTGTATCCCTACATCGAAGGGTCTTCAAGGTCGTTCTACCGGGGTACCACTTAGCACCAGCCTCTGCTGCTGCCTCCGCGTTCACGGCCGACGAACACCCCCGCGATGACTTCCGGGACTGACCTTGGCCACGGTGAGACTCTCGCTACCAATCCCCTATCTGTCGTAGATGTTGCCTCTGCTGGCTTTGAATCTAAGCCAAAAGAGACTATCGGCGGTTTGGCACACGGCTCGGAAATTGGTATCCCCGGTGTAGGTACCTTCTCTACCACTACGAACGCCGCATTCCGTGTAGATCACCGTGACCTCGTCGGAAGTGCTACTCAAGGCGCAAGCGTTATCAACCCTCTTCTGGTCTCCACTGAAGCCATTTCAACTGTAGTCAAGAACAACCCGGAGTCTGTCACTGGTCAGCTCAGGCAGGGTGGCACCAACATAACTCCTGCTGGTGGCTTCTCACACGGAACCAACGCGGGCGTAAAGGCCTCTCGCCGCGGCCTGGTTCCTCTCAATGTCGCCCATGGTTTTAAAATTGAGGACCTTGCCCGCAAGGCCCCTCGTGAAGACCCAACCTCCATGGTCAGTGGTGGGTATGTCCAATCTGAATCGTCGCCTTCCGATGAAACGTTCCCCGGAAATGAGGGCAAGGACTAGTGGTGTCGATTTTTTTTCAGCTTCGAGGCTACATATTCACATTGAACTCGCCTGGATAGCGAGCATTTACCTTGAGTGAACTTGGATGTTGGGAGGCAGATCTAATCTTTAATTCTACCAACTACACTACTATATTACACTTTATTTGCGCCGTTTTCCCCGTAGTCGAGAACGAACGGTTGTCTTCCCTCGAGTCTTTGGTGTGCCTAGGGGAGACTATGTTTTCCTCTACTCCATGTGATTAGTCATGCACTCGGTGGAAGGGCAACGACGTCATACTTTATATTGCGTCAGTCGCTAGGTCTGGTGGCTCCAAAGAGACTGTATAAATAGGCTACTGCCTTGCAAAAGTCGGCAGTCTCTGTCATTACCTGTGTTTTGTATCGTTGTGACATGTCGTCTGTCGATGTGGAACCTTCTGCCATAGGCCATAATACCCAACCTGAACAGCTGACATCTGACCGGTCCTCGTCCGACGAGCTAAGGGACAAGGGCTTTCCGCCACAGAGGCACGCGGGAGCAGTCGGCCTCGGGCCCGAGTATGCCATAACTACGGTGGGGACATGCTTCCCGCAAATATCCCCAGAGGACGCGGACTGACTTCCCAGCTGTACAGGGTTTCTCAGACAAACTGCAAGGGCTCAAAGAAGAGATGAAGGGGAAAATTCTAGGAAAGCCGGAGCTCGTTGAACACGGCCGAGAGCGCAGGACAGGGGAATTGAAGAGAAAGGAGAGAGAGCGAGTAAGATCCCCTCAACTACGAATGCCAAACCCGACCTAACAATTCTATTCAGGCAGATACACAGGATCCGTTTGCAAATCAAGGCGGTGGCTAGGGGTGCGGAAACGAAGTATGAGAGTCGCTGAGAATTAGTTAATCGAGGACTCAAATTCTTGTCTTATATAAGGGAGAGACGTTCAACCCAAAGAGCCCAGAAAAATGACGTGATGGGTACTTGAGGGGTAGACTATAATGTTACATATGGAAGATCTGCGAGAACAGTTCCGCAGTTCACGAAGAGTCCAGGGTTGTCCACGAGAACTGAAATGTAGTATGTGGCGGACCGTGTCGATGTGGGTGTCCTTGCATGCTTTGACCCTGTCGATGCTTCAGGTTGAAGGATCGGTGGTGACGGAAAACAAGTGCTTATCCTTATCCGACACTATAGCAACGTGCTCTTCCCGCGTGTGTAGCAGGGCTTCACGTCTTTCATAAGCATTGAGGAAGTTTCCATAAGCTCATCACGGGAATGCCTTGTATTTCAGCACGTCTAGCAGCCTACAAATCGGATGTCCGCGAACAACCCGCGAACCGGCAGCTCCGTCGCGCTCAACTCCAGTGTTTGGGAGAAACTATTTGCGGTTATCAATGTAGTATAGTTCTTGAGGGTAACACTGGACGCGGGTTCCCTGAAACCATAATGACATCTTTGGCTCGACTCCTTATCAATGCTTCCGGAAGGTCCACCTTACCTCGGCATGAGCTAAGGGAGCAAGTATGATATCATACTCGTGTTTGATGGTATACTTACCAACTTTGTGGAAGGAGGCACGTTGTAACAAGCTGTAAGTAAATTGACGAATATCCCCGAGGAACCCAAGCTTCGTTCTCATTCACAGCAGGTCCTGTGACGCTGACACATTAGCATTGGTCCTGCAGGTATGCGTGGTGATTGGCCTCCCGTGAAGCTGTCGCCACGCATTAACAACAACAACCGTTCCACCCGGTTACAAAGGGCATGAATATGGATAACTTTAGGACAGCCATCGTTTCGTGGATACAGCCCAGGCATATGCACGTTCACAACCTGAGTAGGCTCGGAGCTTGCTCACGACGACAACAAAGAACAACAAGGTCTGTGTGATCGCGCTTGACTGTGGGTAGGTATCAGAGAAATGTCGAGAGTGCCCCTAGCTGTCAGACTTTACTACTAGAACCGTTCGGTCGTAAGTATAAACGGTTTTAACTCAAAATTAACAGAAAACACTGAACTAATACCTTGTGTAACCATGTTGGGTTCCAGTATGAACCTACGACCGCAACCAAGCCACCGCAGTCGTCCCACGTGGTATCCATGCGCGAAATGATCAGATAAATCTGGCACCTCAAGGCGGGTAGGTGTTCATACACTGCCTCGTGATAGGGCTGTGCCATGATATCAGAAAGTCAAGACGTACGATCAGATTCGGGATTGGAAGGTTGGTGTGACTCGATCATCGCCCACAGTGTACATACATAATCCGGTATGACTTTCTTCCGAAGTTTTGTCCGTTCGGCTGGGCCGCTTCCCGGCGATTTGGAGAGCTGGGAGATGGGGGTGATGATGATGATGCGTTGCTTGTAAGTTAGAAGTGTCTGTAAGTGCACGAGTTCCTTCGGCGATCTCCGGAGTCCGCACATGGGTGAAATTCGAACCGACCGACTTCCTATGGCACCAACGGACTGTACACAACGGTCGAGCTTTCAAGTACGAAGGGTGCACTGGGTGCAGTGGATGTTTAGTATTAGATGTAGTTGGAATTTACGGGACCTTCTCTGCGGTTCAATATTTCAAATGCTATCTCCACAGACAACTAATAAAATTTCCCTTCGCGACACGGCTATCGTGTCACTGATCAGTCGCATGACACGCCCTGGAAATCTCTGGTAGGGCAACACTTACCAATCGAATAGTGCGTGAACTATTGTTGCCTAGCCAGGATACGGTGATGTGGGCCCTCACCTAATCATATCACCCTTGAGTGTTCCAAACCCTGCAGGGCGTGATGTACTTCTAGGGCCATGTCTTGGTCATTTCAGCCTTATGGGCATATTCTAACATGACGTGTCTGCCTTCTGTCAAGTGGAATTCCCATTATCCCACCTCCCCGTTATAAGCAGCCCAGGGAACGCTATTCTTTGTGAATTTAACCGCAATCATCGTACGCACCCCCTTCCTTCGCTTCCTCTCAAGTGTTTTTGGAAGCCGGTCGCCACTATGTCTGCGTATAAGACCATCTTCTTCCTTGGCGCCACAGGATACCTTGGCTCTGAGTTCCTTCTCCTGCTGAACCGCGAATTCCCTGATCTACATATCGTTGCGCTATTGCGGAACGTGACGCAGGAGAGGGAGGCCCAGCTGCGTGCTTTGTATCCCAACTCCAGTGTCGTCGAGGGTACGTTGGACGACGATGCCGTCATCAGGGAGCAAGCTGCCAAAGCGGACATCGTCATTAACTGTGCGAGCTCAGACCACACGCCAAGTGTCATATGTACGTGCATTTTTCTCACCTATCCCATCTCCAGGCGCGTCTTCAAGATCGCGGGGCAGCTAACGATATCACGACAAACAGCAACGCTTGCAGGCTTGGAGATCAATTCGAAGAATAACCCTGGGAGGCCCCCTCTTTACCTTCACGTATCTGGTTGTGGCATTATCAGTGATAACGCGCGGGGTGAACCTGTGGAGTATGTCAAGGAGTGGTCGGATATTGGGTTAGATTTGAAGGAGTATGTACTTCTGTTTCGCAGTGGGAACCTGGCGTGCACGCTGGCCAAAGGTGATAGCTAATTTCTACCCCCTTTCAGGCTGTAATCGGAGGAATATGCACCTCGATTCTGACATCCCGGTAAGTGGGACCTGTGGTTCCCTGGTTGTCCCATACTTGTTGTTCATTTTCTTCGCAGATCGTCGAGGCCGGATCCCGGAAGGAGAATCCTGTGCGGACTATTATCTACTATCCTGGTCAGGTGAGTGCCTAAAATGAGTGCGTTTCTTATATACATGTGATTTTGGTGATATCCTTTCACATACATTTACTGGTATCCTTAGATTTATGGCGTTGGAGAAGGTAAGATTCTGGCCCATCTGTCAAGGACGTCAGGATGTGTATGAATCTCGTAAACTCGGACAGGCATCCAAAAGACGACCCTCTGGCTGCGCATCTTTTTGGATATGACTAAGAAGCTCGGATTTGCTGGCACATGGGGGCCCGGAGCAAATACCATGAACAATATCCATGTTAGGGACTGCGCAAATGGACTGTTGCTTGTCCTCAAAGCGGCCTTGGAGGGCAAGGCGGATGAAGGACCTGAGGGTCTCTGTGCGTCCACGCTGCTTTTTGAAATTCCACAGAGCATCACCCTGATGCCATATGTCCCACAGACTTCTCGGCCAGCATGGAACCAAAGAAGACCTACCATGAATGGACTAAAGTTATGGGTGATGTAGGTGTCTTGCTTCAGGTATTGGACTCTCCAACTCCCCTGCTCATCGCCGGACCTCCCCGATGTAGTACCTGCTTCGAGAAAGGTATTATTAATCAGGCTGGCTCCCGGCCCTTGCCTAACGAAGTTGTCGATCCACTTGGGGAATGTGAGCTCCGCCGTAAGCCGGGATAGAACGAAGCCGACTGATACATGCATGCTTTAGATGGATGGTCACTGCTTGGTGGAAATCTGTTTGTCAAACCTGAACGTCTGGCCAAGTTGGGCTGGGAACCCGTGGAAACGAAGAAAACACCACTTTTGGAGAGTCTGCCTTCCATGATAGATGCTGCTCTCCAGGGGTGAGTCGGCGCCTCTGATCGGCGATCGATCGTCGCATCTCGGATGGGGTGATTGGTAACCAACGGTTAGGTGAGAGCTTGACGCTCTGCTAATGTATTTGGCAAGAAAGCGGGTTTCTTCAGTCTATAACGGTTGTACTTTTAATACATGCATACGAAAGTCGTGTACTGCACTACCAAGCGACAAATTTCCAGCATACGAATACGAATTAACAGCAGTTGCACGATAAGCAAATAAGTACAACAATCGGATGACAGGAAATAGTAAAGTTTTCCTGGGACTAAGTACGAGTAATACATAATGTGGATAGGACTGGAATATCAGTTTTAGGCATTCACTGCTAAATGTTAAGGTACAGCATAAATAGATCGATCGAATTTAAGGGATACATTACTATTCTTCCAGTGGCGTGATGAGACGTTCACTTTCGGCTGGACGATTGCTGGCGACAAAAAGCCGCTGACTAGGTGGGACGACTTGCTCCAGGGGCATCTCAACACCGCCGTTAAGAATTCCTACACGCATCATAGCGAGTAGCTGAGATGAGGGTAAGTAAATAAGCTCGGAAGCGCGTGGGGTATGAATCATCAATATCATTGGCAACCAAAGGACAACGGGGGACGAGTGTCACACGTGGCACGGGAGCACAAGAAAAGCGATGTCCAGGGAAAGGGCGAGTAGTGGGTAAAAACTTACGTTGTGAGCGGCGTGTGAGTGGCCATAGACACCGCCGAAGAACGCGGCGGTCATATCTTTTCCAGTGCTGCTGGCCAAGAGTGCCCGGCCGCCAGGATGATTGTCAAGGAACTCGGACGCGTCGTGGACAAACCCGGATACGAGTAGCAAAGTGCGTGATTTAGATTCCTCCTGGACTAACATAATAAATAAGCGCTCGTAGCGGACGCAAGATACCGCTACACACATGTTTCCCACGTCACCACAGGCAGTTTGTCGGACGTGACAGGCCACTCAAGGGAATCTTGGATGTCCTTGAGAGCCTTCAGCTTCATTGTAAGGGCGCCTTTCTCAATTTCGTTGCTAGGAAACACCCGGAGATGAGAAGCCAGACCCAGCCAGTGACACGTCGCTATGAACCACTTGGTAGGGTCCCATTGATACCAGCGAAAGGCATTCCTTTGAAGAGGTAGTCAATATATGGGACACCACGTCAGACGGACTAGTCACCTGTAGTCCATCGGAAATTGATGGTGAAAATTGTGGTAGCCTTCACCCATTGTCAGCAGAGCGGAGATAAGATGGTCCCGAGGCGTGTGTTTGTCGTCATAGGGTGTGCTGCCCAAATAGTGGGCAATGGAATTGATGGCGAACGTGCTCTGGCAAAACGATTCAATAACTTCGTGAAGTCAGCTCGAATGACGGACTTACATGGTGAGCCGCAGTCATACGAAGGGCACCAACGAAATAGAACCCTCCCAGCCAATCATTCCAGAGCAATCCGGGGATGCACATCGGCAGGATATAACCGAACACGGCCTGAATGTAGAAGTACCAGCGATGCTGCCATTGTACCAACGGGTCCTTTCTCAGGTCGGTTATTTCCGCTGGTCCCGCTTTAAGGTTGGAATCAAAGATTATCCAACCAATGTGCGTCCACAGGAGACCCCTCTCCGAATTGTATGGATCGAGATCGGTATCTGTATATCTGTGGTGAGAACGGTGCCGGCGAGCCCACCAGTAACACGATCCCTGGACCGCACTTGCCCCGGCCAGGATAAGGAACACCTGCAAGGGAAATGAGGCATTGTACGATCTATGTGACCACAGACGATGGTAGCCTCCACGATGATACGATGTAAGTATGCGGCTACAAGAAGTGTGGCTTCCCAAGCGCACCTGCAGTGATACCTTCGGAAGCAATGTATTGTTAGCGCCACGAAGATCTGTGCCTGAGTAGATCACACACCGAGCATGGTGTAAATGTAGTAACCTATTGCGCAAGTGACGGTCTTCGGCATGATAGGTGCCCGTAACAAGCCGTACATGGCGACGGCAGGGGTGAGTACCAACACACTGAGGTTGAACCATCTGATTCCGGTGATCGTAGGGAACCCTTTCGTGAGCTCCTGAAATAGGTGACTGCCGGGCATGTAAAAGGCCGGAGGGAAAGTGTGGGTAGAGGTGGCGAACTCCGGGGAGCAAGAATGATGAGCTACCCACGACAGGGTTTTATACCATACCGGTGGGATACTTGACCCCTTTCCTCAACTGGGAGACGGCTCGCCTTCGAGTTCCGTGCATCGCTATTGAAGAAACATTTGTCGCAGCCCTTTAAATTTCAAACATATTTTTTCCCTGGAACGTACATATGACACCCAGATAGGGTTGGTGCGTGTACATGTGGCATGGGTTCATTAGGTGTTCCTTGTAAGTCAAAAGCGTTTTCACCTGCGCATTGGGCTTTGCCACACAAAGATCGTCGTGATGAGTATTCGTTGTGTCGGTTTTGCCAGCGTTCCTGTTACCAGAGTCGTGGCCAATCAGGGCTGGTTTGAGCTGAGAAGGACGCCAAGGTGTGTCGATGCCACAAATATCCCCGAAATACTCGTTGACAGGGTCGAGAATTCTGAACAAAAAGGTGGCGCTCATCACCCAGCGGAACCGTCCGGAACTGTGGAACAAAATTCGGGCGCGATTAATTGACTGATTCGTAGTCTTTGTGCCGACGAGCAGACACACCCATAGTATCCGATGCCTGCAGAAAGGCTGACTCTCACAACATGCGGGTAACAAGTTGGGCACACAGGGAATGAGTTGTAACGGTCCAGAGCGCAAACAAGGCTGCCTGAAACACTGATGCGACGGCTGCCTATCTGAGATCTGGTGGCGGCGAAAAACGTCCGCGGTTTCACTCACTTCCATCAAGCTTCTTATTGTTGATGCTTGCACAATCGAAACATACTACTTGTACTCACCCCGACCTGCTCTTTCGCGGTACTCAAGCCTTCGTAATGCTATTTGCAGTAACACCTCGGTGCCGAAATTGAAAGTCGAGTGCAAGTCAAATGGGTATTCTAATGTCATCGCTATATTACAGTAAACGGGCCGTTCGGCTTGGTCTTGTCACTGGGAAAAAAAATGGAGTCGTGTCTCCGGTCGAGGCTGTGAACCGCAACCCTTGCAACATGAAGGCACGGTGCCACCTCATCAAGCCGACCCGACGCCATCATTGGCCTCCACAGACTTATTGTTCAGTACAACTCAGGCAAACCCTATGACATCGTTGCGTTCTTAAGTTAAAACCTTGTCGTTAATGCGTGCTTCACTAACCTGTTAAAGCCTCCATTCCTCTGAATGGTGTTTATTGTAATGTTCTATGCTTCGCCGTTGGCTCACAGCCCACAGCCGAAGAAACTAAGCCCGTCGATGACGAAACACGATCACCTTCCAGCGGAGGGACGGACCCGAGCGGATTCGCAACGTTCTACGATGCTGAGGGGGGAGTTGGCGTTCACGTAGAAGTGACTCTTGACTCATCTCAGTTGCCCAGAGTAAAATAGAGTTCCCCGATGGTCACGCGAACTTAGCCTTCTACCCATATCCTTTCTGATCCACAGATCCATTAGAAACGCCGGCGTAAGTAACCTTGTGACTACATACCTTTCAGAACGAGAATGAATGTTAATCAGGTGTCTGTTTGCTTGACTGCCATTGAATAGCACTCAGGTCCTTTGCTTTCCCCCCTTTGACGAGTCTACATATTAGGCCACCTACCCGCTCTCCTCCGAGGTCCACGGATAATGTAAGGCTGTGACTCGGATCATTGCATTCGACGAACCTAAGCGTCATGAGTAACACCACAATAACGGTTTATACTCTGGAATGCAATGTAAATGATCGCCGTGTAATCAACTTCCCCTCGTGTATGAGTACTCTGGGCGGTTACAGACACCGCGATAATATCCGAGCCAACGGCGTGGAGAAATGAGAGAGAAGTGAGCCGAAAGACATTCCAAGACGAACCCCATGCAAAACCCAAATGGCGTGACGTGAACTCGGAATTTTCAATAATTTTCAAAAATATGTGACCTACAAGCATTAGTGGGCTCTATTCAAAAGGTCTTCTAGTTTTGCGCTCGTGAATTTGGCGTCGTAGAGGGTGATATTTCTGGTTTCTGGTATACGGCTTGTCACGCTGGGTCACAGGCCGTCGGTCAGTACTCAGTTTTGTACAAGCCTTGCCAATGGAGGTATATCAGTGCGGAAAATAGGACCTAACGCTTACACGAGGTGGCACTACAACTCGGCCTGGAAGGGTGATACCTGCTGCGGCGTCCACCCTATGGGGAGGCGTAGTATGGCGGTTGCAGTTATGGTTCCCAAGACAACCTCTTTAGCCGGGTGAATGGGACTCAGGCTCTGAAAAAGAAGGGCTAGATGAAGTTGTGAAAGTGAAAAGACGCTGCTAACGTCTTGGGGGACAGGGCCAACGGAAACGCGTCTAGTGACCTGGTCCACCCCAAGCATAGTGGTTTTGGGTGTTGACGGTTGTTAAATATACATGGGATACTGACGCTAGCGTGTGGGTGCATCCATCTCCATGAAAAATGACGGGGCGTGCCTCCGACAGATTTCTGCAAATAAAATCCTCGGCCGCAGAAGGGGTCTTGGACTAAACACTGCTGTTGTCACGTGACATGCAGATATTGAATTCTGTCTTCTTTATTTCCACCCACCATGGACTCCTTGATTTCCAAAGGGAATGCAGTTAAACCACTCAACAAAAAGAGAAAACGTGGAAACACCGAAAAACGACCGGCCAAACCCCCGCCGCCCTCGGACCTGACAGCAGCCTCCATCTCTCGAACGACATCTCTCCCAAAATCCCTCCGTCCGACATCACCACCTCCAGGGCAAATTCCAAAACATTCACACGTAAAAGATATTAAGTTACGCTCCCATCTAAACCGACAGGCTTCCAATGCTGCGAGAACGAAGGCACTCCTGCGCGATGCAGAACTTCTACTTACCAACGATGCTGGAACAATCCAGGTGGAGAACGAAATGGAGCGTACATGGCGTGTGAGTCAAAAGGAGATTGTAGAGGACGTTGGCCGAGAAGCTGCGAAAGGCAGACAGGAGTGGAAGCTTGATGGCGGTCCGTATCGATCACGGTACACGAGAAACGGCAGGTCAGTCAGTGCTGTCATTGAATCTACTAATGTCCCTCAACCCACCACTACCTTTGCGATATCAAAGGCACTTGGCTATTGTCGGTAAAACTGGTCATGTTGCAACATTCGATTGGCAAACTGGCACAATGCACGCCGAACTCCAGTTACAAGAGACATGTCGCGATATAACGTGGGTTTACCAAGCAATCCATGCGGGCATCATCAGACATTTTAGTAGATTTCTTCAAGACCAATCTTTTTTCGCAGTTGCGCAGAAAAAATATGCGTTCATATACGACCGCGACGGCGTAGAGATTCATCGACTGAAAGCACATATCGAGCCGACACGGCTAGAGTTTCTGCCATACCATTGGTTACTAGTCTCTGTGGTAAATTATCCGAGTTAACCTACATCGTGTTCCTGTAACTAATCGGATACACGACAGGGAAATACTGGCCATTTAAAATACCAAGATACATCAACTGGTAGCCTTGTAGCAGATCACCGAACCAAACTAGGTGCTTGCCGTACCATGACTCAAAACCGACATAACGCTGTCATACACCTAGGCCACCAAAACGGTGTTGTGACTTTATGGACTCCTAACCTTCCTCATCCTGCAGTACAGCTACTCGCGCATTTAGGACCGGTTGTAGGTTTGAGTGTGGATCCAAGCACTGGTGGAAGGTACATGGCGTCCTCTGGCGCAGATGGCACAGTCAAAGTTTGGGATTGTCGCAATTGGAAGGGGTGCGTTCGGGAATGGACGACTAGAGGTGGGGGTGCTGAGCTGGAGTGGAGTGCGAAGGGTGTGTTGGCGGTGGCTACAGGGGGGAGTGTCAATGTAAGGTGTCATCATTGATCTCTGTTCATTAGCTGACTATAATCCTTTCCTCCCAGATGTACACAAAACCATCCATCCAAACATTCTTCGCTCCAAAAGTTCCTCCACCCCTCTATCTAACCCATTCGATTCCACATAGACCACTTACCTCCGTGCGATTCTGTCCGTTTCAGGACATCCTCACTGTAGGGCACAACGCCGGTCTTTCCAGTATCCTTGTCCCTGGATCCGGAGAAGCCAACTTCGATAGTGCGGAGGCTGATCCATTTGAGAACAAGAAAGCTAGACGGGAGCGAGAAGTTAAGGGTTTGTTAGATAAGGTACGTCATCGTTCTATTCAAATGTTGGCTTTGCACGTCTCAAGCTCTTCCTTTAATAAAGATCCAACCGGATATGATTGCTTTAGATCCAGACTTCGTTGGATCATTAGCTCCACCACCGAAGTTGACGACTGCCGTTAATGACAAACACGACATCCCCTTCGCACGTCTTCCCCGCCTGGAAAGGCTTCGTATAGAGGGAAAAGCGGAGGAAACAGAAATCGATGCCGATGCTGACGAGGTCGGTGGTGCCAACGAAGAAGAGGGTGTTGTGAGCACTAACGACAAGAGGTCAGTGGGTGAGCGGGAGAAGAAGAGGATGCGCGGGCGGGGAAAGAGCTTGAAGCGGTATCTGAGAAAGCAACGCAAAAACGTTATTGACCCCACAGCTGTCTGTGCCTCCCTACATATGTTGCCTTTTCAGATACTGATAGATAATTTCTGTCAGGTCGCCATTCGGTCTAAATTAGAGAAGCAAAGGGAAGAAAAACGTATTGCGAAGGAGAGAGCAAAAGGGGAGATAGAGCCCAAGAAGCCATCAGCACTGGATCGCTTCAGACGTCCATGACGTTAGGGACGTTGTTACTATGTTCCCACTCGATGTCTGTAGGCATTTCGATGCTACATTCAAACCTCGTTCCTTGGAACCTGCATTCGTTTAGTTCCCGTGTGAAGGTGAGTGAAAACGAACGTTCAAAAATAGACTAACAGATCTACTTGAGCTTAAGTTTCTTGGGATTTCATGGGCAGAGGGGAGAATGTTATACTAGTACACGCGACTTTCAACTAACCCATAGCTACCCGAACTTCCTTCTACTTCTTAGCGTCGCTTCTTTTCCCTGTCTCCACAAGATGAATGTTCCGCGGCTGACAAAAATTGTTCAAAAAGTCTCTTCGGTGTTTGGCCATCCAGGTGAGAACACCGATAACGATAACATCGTCTGCAGCCTGGCGAAGGTCCTCCGAGGGTACCTTTCCCTGTCCAGAAGTAAAACTTAGTCCCGCCTGTGCCATGAGGCCCTTGACCATCCCTAAAAGCTCCAACCAGTGTGTTTGCGAAAGGCGCATGGTAAGGCGCACTTGCGGTTCCGTTGACTGGCCGCTGACTGGCACCAACTTCGCAATTCCATGGACAATGGCTGCGATCGAAGATGAGCAGTACACGGGTAGGTCGTTTCGCAGAGGGCCGGACACACATATTGCGCGGTGGAGGACAAGGGCCCTTTCAAAGTCGCTCTTGAACTTCCCAGGATTGGCCATTACGTGCGTTACGAGCTCTATCATTCCATCGTCGGGAGTCGTCCCTTCTTCAAAGAGCTGGGATAACATTGGAGCGGCACGTGGGTCGCCGGTCATCAGTTTGTACCATGCGCTGACATCGTCACATGCGAGTTCCAGGAACGCAAGAGCGAGAGCCTCATCCTGCAAGGTGTCCACTTTGCTACCAGTTATGCTTCGAACGAAGCCACAAGTTTCCATGGCCTCATAGAGCACCATGAACAGAGATTCCGAGGTGTCATCGGGCAGAGTCTCGACAAGCTCTGCTAGCGGAAGGAAAGGCACCTGGTGGCAATCGCACAGGCAATTCCACGTATATGCTCCGGCAGCGTTCATCTATCTGACGCGAAGATAGAAGAGAAGTCCCTGCTTGTCCCCAGTAGATTTGTCACTGCCCATGCACGGTCGTATGCTGAGACATATAACTTCTTTCCGGTGGATATGTCCATGAGAAGTGCGAAAAGCCCAAAATGGACGAGCTTCCGCGGATCGATATCACCCTCGGAGGTTTCGTAGGAGGTCAGATTGTCCTCTAATAGCTTAATAAGGCCAGGAATCTTCCGGTTCCTCTGGAAATAGAATGGATTAAGGTAAGCGCGCGCCGTCCGCAACATGCATGCTTTCGAGGCAAAGGTGACAGATCCATCGTTGCGCAGGTTGTCAAGGAGGATGTGGTTGACCTGCATAGTCTCAGCCACTGTGAGCCTCTTGACATTGAAATGGAATACATCTTATTCGGCCTGCTTAGAACTCCTGTATGCTTCCATCTCCTTGTGGGTGCCTAGACCGGGAAAAATCGGACATCCGTGATACTCGACGTTGGGAGGTGACTGTTCGATGTGCACCAATACACTGGAGACGATATCATCAAGATCCAACCCTCTGAGACGAAACACTATAACAATGCGAGGGCTGACGACAAATATGTCGTGGAGGCAGGGAAAGCCGTTGATGATACCCTCCCATAATCCGAATCCGTTGTGAGTAAGTACAAACTCTTCTCCTTCAGCCGCTTCCCAGACACACGTGTATTTGAGTCCGCAATTATTCCGGTAAGTGATGGCGGGTCCCTTTTCAATTTCCGTGACAGAAGTACGACCACACAACCATTCCAAGATGTGTCCATGGCCGTATTTGTCTAAGAGCTCCGCTGCATGAGTCATCATCTGGGAGTGGGAGTTGTCGAGGTAATACTGGAGGTTACCCAACCATGCTTCGGCGGATGTCTTAAACCCTTGAGATTGTTTGTAATGTTTAATCCACTCCCGCGCTGGCCCGTTCTGATCTTCGTCAAAGTAGCTATCCTTGATCCAGACATTTCGGAGGTGCATAATAAATAGGAACTTGCGGAGGTCCTCCAATGGTCTACGTTTGACGGAAAATCTTGTTTGTTGGAAGGGCTGAATGCAGGTCCTTTATCACGGAAGCCGCCCTGGATTCCAGCATGGACAGCTTCTGCTCGACTGCGTTTACGTTTTCGGTGTTATTGCAGTCTCTGTACAGATTCTGTTCGCCATAGACTTGGCCAATTGGTCGCACATCCAGGGTGCCCTTCGCCACGTCCCAATAATGGACGTATTCTGGGTCGATGCCAGTCTTTTTGAAGAGGCGCCGGCGCTCAGCCTTGGACCTGAAGGCGGGTCAGCGTTGCTAGCATTCGTACGCAGCTCAGCGTGTTATACTTGACTGGTCCTACTTGATAACGACGTAGGATGAACCTTGGAATATAGTGGTGGTACTGGTCAACCTTTTTTTCGCTGACTCCATTGGATGACATGGTTGACGCTGGCAAGGCCCATTTCTCTCAAGCGCACTGCTCTGTGTAATTCAATATAGGGGTTACCTGTTTATGGAGTAGGTGTCGGGGTTTGAAATAGACCGCATCGGTGGCTGTGCTAGCGGCTACTGCATTTGGAAGGACCTCTATAAAACCAGGGTTCATCGCAACCGACGTGTATATCAACATACCATCTAGCCATTCCCTTCCCAACGCCTGTTCTTTATTATCTTCTACCTCAGCTAACAATGGTTGCTACAGAGCCCACTCTCGACCTCATGTTCCCCCAAGACCTGATCTCCGCAGAGGTCGTCAAACAGTTACCTCCCGGATTGACCGTACGTCGTTCTGCACGTTCATATAGACAGAAGGACAACGCCGTTTCGTTAGTTACGTCCTCTCGCATCCACGGATTATAAACGCGGTCACTTATCCGTGCTCTCCGTGCTCTCCGTGGTTAATGATCTCGGGGAGGACGCGTGGGTGGCACAGTTTGATGTCATGCGGGGGTTGTCCAAAACGTACTACTCCTTGGTCATCGTTGATCAGGCAACCGACAAAATCGTTGGCGTCGGCACTGTCTTCATCGAGCACAAGTTTTTACGGGGTTTTGGAAGCGTTGGTCACATCGAAGACATCGCTGTTGACAAGAGTCAACAGGGGAAGAAATTGGGTATGCGCATCATCCAGGCCCTCACCCACATTAGCGAGAGCTGTGGTTGCTATAAGACAATTCTCAACTGCAACGATTCCAACATTAGTATGTGGCTGTGTCCTTGTTTTGCCTTCTGCGGCGCTTACTCGCCGTCTCTCCACAGCCTTCTACGAAAAATGTGGTTACACGAAAAAGGAAGTTGAGATGGTAGGTTCAAGGGTTTGATCTTCATGTTTAAACTGCCTCACCCCACTCATAGGTTAGGTACACACCAGAGCGATCGCACTCGCCGAAACTCTAGACCAATTCATCTGTGCGCTGCATATCTACCGACATATTCCCCCACATTTTTTCCATCTTGGACACTTGACACACATACCTGTATAATTATATATCCCTCGATTCCTCGGACTGATTTCTAATGGCACGTAATCGCATGCGGCATATCTGGTTTGTCCAAACGACGGGCGGGAAACATAACGACAATTACATGTGTAATTCCCAATACTAAACAAATGCTCATCGGCCACCCTTGCCACCCTTCATCTGCTGTTTCGATATCTTGGGAGCTGTTGTTACCGGTGCGCGGGTTGAGGGCTGCAAAACACATGAAAACTCCAAAACCGTTCAGGTTAACTTAAGTTACCTACCTTGGTCTTCTTTGCCTCCTTCTCTTTCTTTTCAGTCTTTGCTTTCTGGATAGCAGCCAATCGTTGTTGTGAGCGGACAGCAGCAGTTTGATTACGCTTGGCAGCGATGGCAGCAAGGTCAGCACCAACGATGCCGCGCTGGTGCTTCACAACTCGGCGTGAGCGTTTCTTGGCAACCTCCTCCGTGATGCCTTTCTTGTGCATACGCCGATAAACCTGTGTCCAGGCAATCTTACGAGGGTTTTTGCGTTGGAGGAAAAGGGAAGAGTTCTTGGAGCTAGCGAAGCGGAAAATCTGGTTAGGGACAGAATAAGACACAATCAGCATGGTACTATGAGATCAGAGGATGGGTTGCTGACCTTTGAGTCTCCGCGGACGAAAAGCTTACCCTTGGCTGGGTAGATACGGTACCCCGAGAACGAGTCGATTTCGAGCTTCTGTACGGATGTCAGCGCAGACTAAGCGAATATCGCTTGTACACGTACCATCTGCAGGAATCGAAGATACAGGTGGAAAGCCGATCAGTTCATCATGTAAACGCAAGTATGCCAAAGCACAGGTAGGACAAGGAGACGCCATCCGGAAGGAGTCCAGCTCATCCACCCATCCTAGACCCAAAACCACCCAATTTCTCGGCCCAACCCTGCATTAGGACGTGCTGGACGCATCTGACGTGTTCCATACTGCAAAGTGGCATGATTTCGAGCTCACCTTGACGGATTTGCCGGGGACGTGCTGAGTCTTTGGTGTCTGGGTCGAGTGACGGGTCGATTTGGCGGGATCTCAACTTCGGCTGACACCGATAGCCAAATTAGGAAACTACCATCCTATCACGTGTCCCGCTTTTGGTCATGCCCCTGTGACACCTTGTAAAAACTGAACCTCGCCCACTCGATCCACTTGTCTTCCCATGCGTTGCAATGTCTGCCTCTGCTCCAATCTCACTGCACCTCACTTACTGGAGCTACAACTCTCGTCAGCGTAGATGGCCATATGAACTCAAGTTCGAACTGAACAGCACACTTCGTAGGAATGACTTCGAGTTTTCCCCATACTTAGGTACAGCTTATTTCCCTGTTTACTTGGAGGGATTACCGCGTACCGGTGCGGTATGTCCGTAACAATGTCTTTATCCTTCGACCATGTGGTACATAATAATAAATCTAGGCGACGAGGCCGTTGCCTGCAGTGTATATATCAAATCTAAAGAATTCGTTGTTCTTCCAAATTGGGGACGGCGGTTAAACTTTCAGTCTGTGCCAGGCGATTGCTGGCGATAAAAACTCGTTGACTAGGTAGAACGACTTACTGAAGGGGCGTTTCGACACTGTCATTCCTACACGCATCATGACGAGAGGCTGGGGTGCGGGTAAGTACATAAATAAATTCCGGGGTGCATGAGGAATAAATACACCATAATCATAGGTGAGAGGGACAAATCCAAGGATTTATCAAAGAAGGTCGCGTGGCATGGGAATGCCCGAAAGATAATCGCCAGCGGACGACGAGTCGCAAATAAAAACTTGCGCTGTGAGCGGCGTGTGAGCGTATACAAATACTACCGAAGAACGCGGCAGTCGTGCCCTTTCCTGTGTTGCTGGCAGAGAGCGCCCGGCCGCAAGGGTTGCGTCGTGGATAAACCCGGATACGAGCAGTAAAGTGCACGATTAGATTCCTTCCGGACTGAGAATACACTCTGAGGGCGAGAAATAAGAGCTCGTGCTGGGCGCCGGATAGTGTCCCTAATATGTCTCCCACTTCACTATAGGCAGTTTGTCGGAAATGACAGGCTACTCAAGGGAATATTTGACGTCCCTGAGAGCTTTCAGCTTCATCGTAAGGGTGCCTTTCTCAATTTCGTTGCTAGGGCACACCCAGAGGCGGGAGGCCAGACCCAGCGAGTGACCCGTCGCAATGAACCACTCGGTAAGGTCCCAATGATACCAACGAAAGGTATTCCTTTGAAAAACTAGTCAATATATGGAATCGAACATTATACAGCCGATATGCGCTCAAAGGAAACCTCTCTCGGAATCGTGTCGGTATCATATATGTCTGGCGAGAACGGTGGTGGTGGAGAACCTACCAGTAATACGACCGATGAACTGCGCTTGCCCCACCCAGGATGAGGAAAACCTGCAAGAGAAATGAGGCGTTGTACGATCAATGTGGCCACAGATGATACGACGATGCGATGTAAGCATGCCGCTACAAGACGTGTAGCTTCCGGGGTGGACCCACAGTAATGCCTTCGAAAGCAGTGCATTGTCAGCAGCGCCACAAAGACCCATGTCTAACGAGTTCACGTACCGAGCATGGTGTGAATGTAGGAACCTGCACAAATGTCCATTTTTGAGATGATCGGAACTCGCAGAAAGCCATAAAGGGCTACGGCGTGGGTGAGTACCTACACACCGAGGCTGGGCTACCTGATTCCGGTGGTGGTAGGAAATCTTGTTGTGAGGTCCTGGACTGGCAGCATCTAGAGGGTCGGAGGAGAAATGTGAGTAGAGAAGAAGGGCTCGGGGGACGAAAACCAACAACAGAATTGTTATCCTATCGGCAGTATACCCGACCCCTTCCACAAGTGGGAGATGATATCGAATTGAAGCAAAGACGGCGGAACTCTTCAAATTTCAAACCCAAATTTCCCTGGAACATCCATTTGGCACCAGATGAGGTAGATGAACGTACATGTGGCAGGGCGCCCGTCGTAATTCAAAGGTGTTTCCACCTGCGTAGGTTTTTTTTACACACAAGTCGTTCTGATCAGGGTTTGCCTTGCCGGTCAAGGTTGACTCGAACTGAGAAGGAAACCATTGGAATGCGCATGGAAAAGCCCGCCAAGCTGGAGATCGAAGCCATAAATACCCTGGAAATATGCGCTGACACGATCGAGAACTCCGCACGAAAAACTTGAACACTACCCAGTCACTCCGCGGAACTATCCGCAACTGTGGAGCAAGGTTGGGAGATCTCGTTCGTAGACGATTTGCTTCGCAGTGATTGAGCTGCCGAGAAGATACACTCGCTTATCCACTGCAAAGACAAGTTTCACCACAACAGGTTGGATCCACGAGTGAACCAAATCTACAGTCACTTGCAGAAACTCAATTAGGAAAATCTTACCTTATTACACATACAGTCGTTAATGCGATGGAATACCGACTTGGAAAAATTCGAGCACCAGCCTGGATAAATCTCGACATCCAGTTTGAGTGCACCGTAAGTGTTGTTTTAAAAGGGGTCGCGGTCCATATGTAGTATGATTCAGGCCTTGAGCTTGAGAGGCTACGCGTGTGACTGTGTCACGTGGGAAACGACATCGCCTCCTCCCTGCCTAACCTTTCGTATAGCAGCCCCGCCGTTCCCCTCCTCTGCCAGCCGCAGCAGCCCCTTACAACAACCCCGCACGGTGAGAGACTAAATTACCAGGTCTTCAAAACCACTCACTGTGTACAGTCAGGTTTCACGTTGTCGTCATGTTCGTTTGTGCTATCTGTGGCTGCTTGCGTGTCAACCATATTGAAGATTGTTCACCCTAGGTCCGAACCTTATGACCCCTACCTCCCCCGCAATGGCTCCTCGTCGAACCCAAGTGGCTCAGGCGGAAACCCGAAAACGGCTGCAATTCAGCAACAGATTGACGATACGGTTGGTATCATGAGAGAAAACATCACCAAGGTCGCAGAAAGAGGGGAGAGGTTGGATTCCTTGCAGGACAAGACGGGTGAGGGAAAATGGTTGAGCTGAGGTGACCCGGGCCATCTCATCGTTTGTCGCAGATAACCTTGCAGTCTCTGCACAAGGGTTCCGTCGTGGCGCAAACAGAGTACGGAAGGTGAGTTTCGTGTCTTTCGCTTTTCTTCCCAACGGCTCATATTTTCGTTTCGCAGAACATGTGGTAAGTGTTTTTGAAGTGAATTCTTAGGAGCCCTTTTTACCATAATGTCCTTGTCAGGTGGAAGGACATGAAGGCGAGTCGCATTTACTTCGTATCATTTGCCTATACTGATGGTCGTATGCAGATGCGCCTCATCATAGGGTTTACGGTCGCCGTTATTATTGTGATTATTGTCGTCACAATTGTCAAGACGACTCAACACTGAGGGTGTTTCGTCGACTGTCCACTTTGCGTGTCGCTTACTCGCGTGGTGTTGTATCTATGTCATGTCCTAATTCTTCCTGTGACTTGTAGCTTCGTTTAGCGTTCGAAACCTGGACATTTGATGCACATAGTTTCGGTCTTTATGTTAGCCTCCTTGTGAAATTCCAAGTTTCATTTTTGATGCTGTGATTGATGACGAGGCTGACTTCCCACGCCATTTTTTGTGCCTCAGTTGGAGTAAATGCCCAGCTGCCGCCGCCGTGGCCTCTGACAGCTGCTCTGTCTTTCACAAATCCTTGCCCAGTTCTCTACGAATTTCTACTTGTCGATTGAATCTCTGTTCCATATATTGCGGCCACCGCGCCCGTGCCTCTCCTTTCACCCCCCATACGTTAAATTTCACAAATTGTACATGCTCAAATGTCTGTTCACGGGCACAAACATACATTTTCCGTGACCCAAAACCACAAAGCTCAGTTAGCTAACGCCTATAACGAACTCGGGAAGGAGCTGTCGTCCCAAAGAATCAGGATTATCGGAAATTACACCTTAGGAAAGGTCATCGGCGAAGGCAAGTCCTCGCTCCCACCTCTCATCACCCGGTAGGACTTGATAAGATACCCCCCAACAGGAGCCTACGGCAAGGTGCGCATAGGGACCCATCGCCTCACGTCCAACCGTGTTGCCATAAAGCAAATTCCGAAAGCTATGTCCGCTTCCCTCACCCGCGAAATTCATCACCACCGCCAGTTACATCATCCACATGTCACCCAAATGTACGAAGTCATCGCCACGGAATCATATATCTGGATCGTTACTGAGCTTTGCTGTGGTGGAGAACTGTTTGACTATCTTGCAGAGAAGGGCAGGTTGTCCGAGGACGAGGCCAGAATTATTTTCGGACAGCTTTGTCTCGCTGTAGCGTACCTTCACGACAAGGGTATCGTCCATCGAGACCTCAAGTTGGAGAACGTGCTCTTGGATGAGAGATGTCGTGTTAAACTCGGCGATTTTGGATTCACACGCGAGTACGAGAGGGGTGTATATATGGAGACTTTCTGCGGTACCACCGGCTTATGCCGCCCCAGAAATGTTAAAAGGAACACGGTACCTTGGCCCAGGTCTGTGAGCGCAGCGCTAAGACACGTCGTGCTTACTCGTTTGACAGAAGTCGACGTGTGGTCAATGGGCGTCATCCTATATTGCCTCTTGACAGGAACTCTACCATTCGATGACGACGACGAGGCTGTCATGAAGGAAAAAGTCATTCGGGGGAAGTACGAAGATCCCCAATGGCTCTCCAAAGGCTAGATCGTTCTCTCCCTCATATTATCCGTTTTTTGACCAAGGTCAACAGACGCCCGTGATCTCATCGGTAACATCTTGCAGATGGACCCTTCCAAGCGACTTACTATCCCTCAAATACTTTCTTCACCGTGGTTTACGACTAAGGACGAAACAGCGTCCAAAGAAGAGCCCGTGACGCCATCTGTGTCCGACACACCTTCCTTAACAGTGCGACCGACCACTATATCAGAGTGCCAAGATATTGGCCTTCCTTCAGCTTCTTCGGCAACCTCGATGGTGTCGGACGCTACTTTCGTTTCAGCCACTTCCAATATCTCGCAGCCCTTAACTTCTGACAGTGCCCTCGAAGATCCATTCCTCTCAAATGACGGACCTTCTGTGCAAATTCATCCCAATCCCAGTCAAAGTACTCTTACAAAAGGTGATCGTGTCACCAGAAACGGATCGGCGTGGCAGCCTGGAACCACCATTGAAGAAGAAGACTCTGCGCCGTCAATGCGGTCTTCTAGTAAACACAGCTCGCGTACCTCCTCACCCTACCCGCACTCCCGCAAGAACCAAGCGTCGTTCCGTGTCATCTGGCCTCTCTGAAAATGGGGCTCAGTTTGACTCTCCTATTCCACTGTACCCACCGCAAGATTTTGCCTCGCTTCTGAACACGCCCACTCCGATCATTTTTTCTACCCCTGCTGAGAGAGAACTCCTCAACGCTTTGAGTGCCCTTGGTTTTGACACTGCTCAAATCGTTCATTCAGTCCTTGTCAGACGCTTGCGACGCAGCTGGTGCCATTTGGTGGATGCTTATGCGCAAACACGAGAAACGCATCGTCGATGAAGTACGTGCCTCTTCCACGGAAGGCCCGGCCCCTCAGTCTGGTTCTTCAAAAAACCTGCAAGGACGAAGAGCACCATCCAAGTTCGCGGAGACGCGTCAAACGTGATGTTTCTGTTCAGACGGATGAATCGGGGCGGCTCGCTCCTGAGTTTGCAGTCGTACCTCCGACACCCACGGCCAATGCCATACCAAGACCTTGCACGCCTCCACGTGCGAAGTCGCCTTTTTTGTCGCCATCACCAACTACGGCGGAATCTTCAGGTCGGTCGAACCCAGTCCACACCAAGCGGAAGCACAAGAGGTACAGAGGGGAAGGACAAAGATCCCCTGAAGCAAAAGAGAGATGGGAAAGTCCGATCTGGGAGTATCAGTATTATGCAGCGTGCGACAACTGCACTTGGTGCTGCCGGCCTCGTGAGGAAGAAGTCAGCCGATGGAGTCAGGGAGGAGCGGGAAAAGACGAAAGACCACGAGAAGAAAATCTCAGGCGACGATCCTCGCTCCTCGCATGGCAGCAGCGGGTCTGCGAAGTTAACAAAGTCGCCGCCGGTGAGAGCGAGGGAAGGTCCTGCAGTACCCACCTCCCAGACATTGGAATCGTCGGCCATTCCTGGTTCACCTTGGGTTGTAGCGGGTGGTCGAACTTCTCCAATGCAAGGCCAGACGCCGACCCCTGCGGCTTCGCCGGGCGACACGTTGACGTCACTACCGAACTTCAATGAGGATGGCTCGCGCATAGGGGCCCATCGTAGCCGTGCGAGTATCTTGTCGACCCTACGCCTTTGGTTCAACGAGGATAGGAAGGGCAAACGCAAGGAGCCTGCGCAGCTTCCTCAGAGTACTAGTCGTGAACTAAACTATTCTCGTACTGTGGTCGGTCCGCCACCTGCTTCCGTGGCTAAGACACCCAAAGTTCCCGTTAAAAGGCGGACGAGTGACTCTGGGCGTGGTCGTCGCGTCAAACGCGCATCCGTTTCCTCTCGCCGTTCAAGTAGTGTGAACTCTCGAAGGTCGTCGGTCAACTCTACACAGGTGTTCGTGCTCGACCAATCACATCTGGAGCAAATACCGTCTGTGAGGTCCTTCGGCGGTGACACGCCCAACTCGGAGAGAGGTGATCCCTCGTCGCGGCCTTCGTCAATACAGAGCTTCTCTCACAAGGGCAAGCATCGCAAGTCACCATCTACAGGGTCGAATGGATCTACCTATTTTCGCGCCTCTTCCCCATTACCGAAATATCATCATCGTCGGCATGGGTCGTCATCGTCGACGAGGGTGGTGCGGCAGGTTCCAACTACTCCAGTCAGCACCTCCCGTCCCCAACATAATCGTACCAACTCGGCTGCATCATCAGCCCATTCGCTTACGTCATCTCGACCCGCTTCATTCTATGAGGTGTCAGAAGGTGAGGGTACACCATTCAGGGGTTATCCTTCTCGGAAGTCGGACGACAGCACTCCAAGACGTGGTGCTGGCACATTCATAGCACAGAAGCGATTGACACCATTTACGAGCCCGCATGGTTCTGGTACTATTGGACGTACATCGTGGAAAAAGAGCTGGGGTAACGAACCACCTGGTTGGCAAAGTCGGAGTACGCATCTACCTGTTGAAGTGCTTGTTATCTCTCCCGCCCCAGACATCCGAGACGTATTTAGTGCTGGCGGACGGCCGAGCCTGAGTTTGGGAGACGAAAGTGATTGGGTAGATGAGGACGAGGACGTCCCGGAGTTTGCAGGTGGGCTTGGTCAAATGTCAGGGGTTCCGTCGAGCGCAAAAACAAATGTACATTTACCGTCGGAGAAGCCCACTCCGCTCGTTTTGTCATCTCCACGAAGCCATCATTCTCGTGGTCGGACAACAAAGACTCGCACGGGCGGTGTTGGTAGAGGGGGTCGTGCCAAGGGTGGTCAATCCCCGGTCGGGAGGGTTTCACCTGCCCCTCCGAGCGAATTGACATATGAAGCACCAGAGACAAGGGGAGGAAGATGGCAACTTCCGGGTGTGCGAGGACCCGCTTTCAGACATGCCATACAAGAGGAGGATGAAGAGGAGGAGGAGTAAGGTGAGCCATGTAGACGTGTTCCATTAGTTCCGGTCGGACTTGTTTGGTGGTGTCTCTCCCCTTCCCTTCCATATCTTGGTTACGTTGCTCTCCATTCTGCTTTGTTTAATGCTCCTGACGGGAATGAACTCCACGCTGCGACTCTCAAAGTTACCTGCGTCATTTTTTCATAATGAACTATCCTCGTTTTGGCGTTCCAACCTTTGCCATACATATCTTGATGGATTACGAACATATTATTATTGATACCCGTCTGTTACTACACAGCTACTATTCCGTTTTCCGCCAGGTCGCGTGCCTCTTTCCTTCTAATCTTTTTTTTTGTCTTGTTTGTCGGTATGTTTTACTTTCATGTTTCATGTGAACCCTATGAGGATGCTCTGGTTATTTATGAAGGTAGAATAGTTATGCAATGTGCTTAGATAATACATTGTCGCGGTGTGACATGTCGCGTGTGTCACGGGTCACGCGCTCCCAAGCTTTGTCCTGGACTTGTTGATTGATTGCAGCTTGTATGGCACCCCAGGGGCGAAAGTTTGGACTGTCGTCCAGCGGTGGCAGTCGGGGACGTGGAGGGTTCAGAGGAGGATCCAGAAGTAACACGAATTTCCGTGGAGGACGCGGAAGAGGACGTGGAACCGCGACCGGACGTGCGCCAGCGGACGGCCCAGCTCCCCAACGCGAAGATGATGGGTCGCAATTGGCAGAACGGTTCGAGCAAGTGCGTCTAAGTGACGAAATCGACGAAAAGCTCGGGTTTCCGCGCGTACAGGAGGGCCAGCGACGCGAGGGCTGGCTCATCAATATGCATCCTACGCTTGTCAAGGATCCCGACTACCCTGGCGGGCGCGCTGCGGTGGATTTTTATTTCATCACGGACGAAGGAGGGTCGTTCAAGTGCACGATGCAGTATGAGCCTTATTTTTATATCGCGTGCAAGGTGAGAGTAAACGCGGCTTCTCCTGGTTAACGTATTGAATGATTGGATGGGGGGCTCTTAGAGTGGTTCGGAATCAGCGGTGGAGGAATGGCTCATGAAACGCTATGAAGGCATGATATCCAGAATCGTTCGAGACAGGAAAGAAGACCTGAAGCTTCCTAACCATTTGATGGGCTACCGTCGCCTCTATCTCCAACTTTGTTTCCGCAACGTCTCTGATCTCCTCACTATCAGAAGAGATGTCGCCCCTCTTGCCCTTGCCAACGGCTCTAAACGGGATGCTGTCGACGCATATGCAGAGGTCGTTAGCGCTACCGCGAGTGCCAGCACTAACATCGAGCTGGAAGGGGAGTGGAGGGAAATTGGCGGGAGCTCGAGTGGAGCCGGTTACCGGGACAAAGACCCACGCGAATGCATCGTCGACATACGCGAATTCGACTGTCCATATTACCTTCGTGTGGCCATGGATAACGAGATGCGAGTGGGGCTTTGGTACGCGGTGATCTTTATAGCTGGGCAGCCGTCCTTCACGCACATGGCGGAGAGGGTTAAGCGTGCAGACCCAGTCGTCATGGCATACGATATCGAGACGACCAAGGCCCCGCTCAAGTTTCCCGACCATGCCATTGACCAGGTCATGATGATCTCGTACATGGTAGATGGCCAGGGATATTTAATCACGAACCGGGAGATAGTCAGCGAGGACATAGATGACTTCGAATATACGCCGAAGGAGGGTTACGAAGGACCGTTTGTCGTGTTTAATGAAAAGGATGAGGTGCTTCTGCCTGCGTCCCGGTGGTGAACCCAGTTGACGCTTTATCCAGGCAGCAACTATTACCCGCTTCTTCCAACATATTCAAGATGCGAAACCTACTGTCATGGCCACGTTTAACGGTGATTTCTTCGATTTCCCCTTCCTTTGTGCTCGTGCCAAAGCGAACGGCATCGATATGTTCATGGAAACCGGTTTTGCAAAGGATTCGGAAGACGAGTTCAAGAGTCGGTGCTGCGTCCACATGGACTGCTTCCGCTGGGTGAAACGCGATTCCTATTTGCCTCAAGGTAGCCAAGGTTTGAAAGCTGTGACAACGGCGAAACTAGGGTATAATCCTATCGAATTGGACCCAGAGCTTATGACACCGTAAGCGCAGGTATCACCGAACCGAGACAAATGCTTATATGCGTGTAGGTACGCGTCGGAGCGACCCCAATACCTCGCGCAATACTCCGTTTCCGATGCAGTGGCAACCTATTACCTCTACATGAAATATGTCCATCCGTTCATATTCTCGCTGTGCAACATAATTCCCTTGTGCCCTGATGAAGTCTTACGGAAAGGTAGTGGTACTCTTTGTGAAACTCTTCTCATGGTATGTTCCCCTGACCTCTCAGTCCCCGCTTCCTTATAGTTTCGTTGGGCAGGTTGAAGCATATCGTGCGCACATCATAATGCCAAACAGACACGAGGATCCTCATCTGAACATGTATGAGGGACATCTGCTTGCATCAGAGACTTACGTTGGTGGTCACGTCGAAGCTCTTGAGGCCGGAGTATTCCGCAGTGACATTCCTGCTGATTTCAAGATCGTTCCTGCAGCCGTCCAAACAGTTCGCATTTCCTAAAAAGTGCAATCTCCACGTTTACTTATTTTGTGTTTCAGCTTATCGACGACCTTGATGCTGCCCTTACATTTTGCATCGTGGAAGAATCGAAATCTTCCCTCGAGAGCGTCACGAATTATAACGAAGTCAAACAGCAGATTCAAAGTGCGCTAGAACAAATGCGTGACCAGCCAAAGCGTACCGACAAGCCCCTCATTTATCACCTCGATGTCGCGGCCATGTACCCAAATATCATGTTGTCCAACCGTCTCCAACCTGATTCTATGGTCGATGAATCAGTCTGTGCCGTGTGCGATTATAATCGCCCGGGCAAAAAGTGCGACCGGAGATTACAATGGGCCTGGAGAGGAGAGTTCTTCCCTGCCCATAGAGACGAGTATAACATGATTCGTCATGCACTAAACCAGGAGACATTTCCGCCTAAGAAGCCAGGAGAACCGCAGAGAAAGTTCGTCGAATTAACTGAAACCGAACAGATGGCGTTATTGCACAAACGGCTTGGTGACTACTCTCGCAAAGTGTACAAGAAGATGAAGGACACGAAGGTGGAGACCCGCGAGTCCATCGTTTGCCAAAGGGAAAATCCTTTCTACGTGGACACCGTCCGCCGCTTCCGTGATCGACGCTACGAGTACAAGGGGTTGCACAAAACGTGGAAGAAGAACCTGGATACATTACTCGGCGAAGGACGCTCGCTTGCGGAGGTAGATGAGGCAAAGAAAATGATCGTTCTCTACGACTCTCTTCAGCTTGCCCACAAGTGTATCCTGAACTCATTCTATGGTTATGTGATGCGCAAGGGTGCGCGGTGGCATTCAATGGAAATGGCTGGTATCACCTGCCTGACGGGTGCGACAATCATCCAGATGGCGCGGGCGCTCGTAGAGCAGATCGGTCGCCCCCTCGAGCTCGACACCGACGGTATATGGTGTATGCTTCCGGGTGTATTTCCCGAGAACTTTAAGTTCAAACTCTCGAGCGGCAAATCTATTGCATTCTCGTACCCCTGCACAATGCTGAATCATCTGGTGCACGCTCGCTTTACTAATCATCAATACCACGACTTGGATCCCGAAACAGGGGAATACGTCATACACTCTGAAAACTCGATCTTCTTCGAACTGGACGGCCCATATCGCGCCATGATCTTGCCTTCGTCAAAGGAAGAGGACAAACTGTTGAAGAAGCGTTACGCCGTCTTCAATGATGATGGTTCGCTTGCCGAGCTCAAAGGCTTCGAGGTGAAGCGTCGCGGAGAGCTGCAGCTCATCAAGATTTTCCAGTCCCAAATATTCGAGAAATTCCTCTTAGGTACCACTACACAAGAGTGCTACAGCGCGGTTGCGTGCATAGCAGACCAGTGGCTCGATATCCTCTTCAGCCACGCACAAACCCTAAGCGATGAGGAACTCGTCGACCTCATCGCCGAAAATAGAAGCATGTCGAAGACACTTGCGGAGTATGCAGGCCAGAAGTCTACGTCCATCAGCACGGCCCGACGACTTGCTGAGTTCCTAGGAGCTCAGATGGTCAAGGATAAAGGCTTGGCGTGTAAGTTCATCATCTCGGCGAAGCCACAGGGTGCTCCTGTGACGGAAAGAGCAGTTCCCGTCGCCATTTTCTCCGCCGAAGAATCCGTGAAACGTACATATCTGCGCAAATGGCTCAAAGATCCGGCACTGACCAACTTTGATCTTCGTGCTATCTTGGACTGGGAATACTACATTGAGCGCCTTGGCTCGGTGATCCAAAAACTTATCACCATTCCAGCTGCAATGCAGGGCGTTCCAAACCCTGTGTCAAGAATTAAACACCCGGACTGGCTGCATCGAAGAGTTGCGACGGCAGTGGATAAGTTCAAGCAGAACAAAGTCACCGACTTTTTCTCTAAGGCTGCCCAGAAGCTTTCAACGGATGAAGAGGTGATGGAAGATTTTGGTGTTCCAAAGGCACCCGATACCGAACGCATTGCAATCGTGAACCGTAGGCCTAAGCGGAAGCCAAGCGTGGAGCCAGAGGAAGAAGTTACCAACGCTCCTCTCCCAGACCCTCACACCAATTACTTCGCCTGGCTGAAAGCCATCAAGCCTCGATGGCGACAAACGCGAGAGGCCCGTTGGGGCGGTTCCGCTGCTGCTATTGTCCCTTCTATTTTCAAAGGCACTAAAATACGAACTACGCAACGATGGGACGTGGTGCAAATCCGACCTAGCAAGATCCCTGGCCGCTTTAACATGTGGGTACTCGTAGATGGGCAACTCACGCCCGTTCCGCTTCGCATTCCACGACAATTTTACCTTCATTTCAAGACAAAACCGAGAGATGATCTCTTCCGTACCGAATACTACCAGTGTATAAAAACGGCCAAGCATCTGCCCAGAGATATTCCTTGCAAATATTTATACGGAATCACAGCCAAGGAAGACGTGTACCTCGATATTCAGGAACACTTTACGGACCTCATGCATGATCCCAATGTCGACGGGGTATTCGAGCGCCAGGTAGATCTAGTGCTCAACATGCTTGTTACAGTCTGACTCTGATGTAGGTTCCATTGGAGATGCGTGCCATTCTAAAACTGGGAAAGACGTGTATAGTCGACGAACCTGGACTTACGCTCAATCGTGCACAAAGCAGTGGAATGGAACTCGATCAACTCGACCGCGCGGGTACTTCTCTTTCACACAACTCTTATCTCAGTGCCGTGCGCGGAGATAAATACCTCTTTCTGTACCATGCATGTTCGAACAGCGCTCTGATTCACGTTTTCGCCCTTTTCCTTCCCAGCGGATCCGTCAAACTCCATCTAGTTGACCCTGCAACACGACGGCAAGGATTACCTCGCCTCCGAGAGCTTTACGCTGAGCTGTTGAAGAAGCGGAGATCTCAGCATGGAGACCCCGCTTCGATACAGTATCCGGCGTCCTGCGATTTTACGACCACGTACCATAGCAAGGACACGACTGCTCTCAAAGCAATTTCTAGGGAGCTTGGGCTTCTGGAGAATATGTCGTATATGGTAGTCATCTCATCGTCTAAAGAAAACATCTACTTCGATACCTGGATGCCAAAGCTCTCCAAATTCCCTCTGCTGTCCATGTCGAAAACCAAAGCCCCACATTCTCTGGACGTGTTCCCCTGGCAGACACATGTAGCGCAAAAGATGCTTCAACGGTACCTGTCCCTGGGCATGTGGCTTGATCGTTCAATTGCGCTCGCAGACTACTTCGATGTTCCAGTAGGGCACGTCGACGGAGATCAACCGCTGCTGCTGTCTGACATTAGCTTCGCGCGGCGACTGATGCAACAGGACATTATCTTGTGGTGGTCTCCGTCTGAGCGACCTGATTTGGGCGGCAGAGAAGCAGATAACTCGCCCATCGAGGACCTACAGCACACGGAATTCGTGACCCCAGGTTGTTACTCAAATGTTTGCCTGGAGGTAACCGTCCGTAATCTCGCCGTGAATTCTGTACTGCACTCAGTTGCTATCAACGAGCTCGAAGGCAGTGGTGGCACAACCGCGTTTGACTCTGTATCTCGCACACTGGACGAATATTCAGAGGCTGACGACCAACGAGATCTCACGCTCGGAGAATCGAACATGTCCGCACTTACGTTTAGCATTCTAAAGGCAATGATCCGGACATGGCTGTTGGACAGGATACAAGGCAACTTTGAAAGCCCCGCAACGATTACTATCGACCACTTCTGGCGCTGGATTAGCACTAGTGCTTCACACCTTTACGATTCTCGTATCCACCGCTTCATCCATGGTTTAATGCGGAAAACTTTCATCCAAATGCTCGCTGAATTCAAGCGTCTAGGTGGTCAGGTCATCTACGCCGACTTCAGCCGGATCTTGTTGGCGACGTCTAAACCCCCTGGCACTGCCCACGCCTATGCGACCTACATTACCACGGCAGTTACGTCGCACTGAGCTCTTTCAAGCACATCTATCTCAGAACGGACCGTTTCTACTGATTTCTTACTATTCATGGATTATGCCAACATGGGTGGCGTTGTGTGCGAGGATCCACTGGCTGTTGAACCACCAGAGGAACTTATTGTCGAAATGCGTTGGAATATCCAAACCTTCCTCCCCTCTCTCGTTCAAGGACGATTTTAACGCAGTCATCCAGTACTTCATCGTTGAATTATACAAGATCAGACAGAAGACGAATGAGGGGACTCGCGCTCCCCTCAGAGTTGTCCAGAACTTGGCCCCCGACCTCACCCAACGAGATGCTAAGAAAGCCGACGAAATGGATAACATTCGCGAATTTATTGCACGGAAGCTAACGCGCAAACTCCTAAGGATTGTTGGTGCGATTCAATCCAAGCATAGAGACTCGGTATACGACGAGGACCTCCAGCAACAGTTCGTCTTCCCGATCCTTCCAGGTTCCTACCTTGCGTTCACCAACCCGGTCCTGGAATTCGTCAAGTTTGTTTGTGCTATCCTTGGTCTAGCACAAGATTACCAGGTGGAAATCGGCTTGCTGAAACGCAACTTACTGGAGCTCGTTGGTGTTCGAGAATTTGCGAGCGACGCTGTTTTCCGAAACCCATGCGAAACGCTGAAGTTGTCCAACATTCCCTGTAAACTTTGTGACAGCCTTCGGGATTTCGATTTCTGTCGTGATCCAGAGTTGATGCCCAGTAATCTGGATGTGGGTCCTCCAAAGTGGATATGCTCAGGATGTGGGGGCGAATACGATCGCGTGGCAATCGAACTCGAACTTATCCGCATGTTAAACTCTGTCGAACGTGCATTTGTGCAGCAAGACCTCAAATGTACGAAGTGCAAACAAATTCGTTCTGATAACGTTTCCCGATACTGTCAATGTTCTGGCGCATACCAGTTGACGCTAGGAAAGGCTGAAGTGAGGAGGAAACTAAAGACAATATTAAACGTATCTATCGTTCACGGGTTGTCGCGGCTGAAGGTCAGTACTTGTCGGTCTCCTTCCTCACATCTCATTGACGTGTTCCTGTACACAGGAATGTGCTCAGATAACCCTGGAGAACTGGTGATTACAGAATTTCCCGCAATTTCATGACCCATGTGCAATTTTGTTGGCTTGCTCGTACGGATTGTATTTTACGTGATACGCCCTTCATTGTCCGTTAGAGACTGTACTTTTCTCATATAGTGACAGTATTCTCTCTTAAGTGCTTCGCTAACGCCACATACCTATACATATCTATCATCTGATATAAAATCGAAGGGGGACGAATTGTTCAAGATGCACTGGTAACAGGAGGTATGATACAGCCAGCCTATAGCGAATAACCAGATTCGGCCCGGAGACGATGCGCAACTTCACAGGACAACGAGGTCGGTAGTAGATAAAGATAACAATCATGCAGGGAGGGAGCAGCACAACAACAATGAAGGAGACGAACGCGACGAATAAGTACGTGGCGGTAGACAAGGGACGGGCGGGCATCACAGATTCTGAACCTGGACTATCAAGAATTGCTTCTCGTCCTGTATAGGAGTTGAATCAGGCATGGCCTTTGGTCGAATTCACAAGCATGATACTCACGCTGAACTGCTCGTCTTCCTTGTCGTTATGGAAGTTCTTCAAGAAGACTAGGAGTTTTTCCTTGTTTCTTCTCAATATTGTTTCGATTTGGGGTGGTTTTTTCGGATTTGCGACGAAAACCTTGAAGACATGGAAGGCCTCAAACTGAATATTCTTGCTTTTATCGCGCAACATGTTCATCATCATCTTGAGGTTCGCATCCTGTGAGATGTACCTCGTCATGACATTGAAGTTTGCGCGATCAAGCAGAATTTCGCCTAAGAGCTTAAGCGACTGCCGTTTGGTAACGTAGTTATTGGATAGTATCAAGGTTGTGTAAGAGTTGAAGAACTATAGTTTTATGGGCAGACAATCAGAAATTGCAACTCGCATCGACAATACAAGAGTCAACCTCACCCTATCATAGTTCTTCTCTAGGTATTCGGCTACCATTGGTTTGTGTCGTGTCAGCGTCTCTTTCAAGTTGGCGAAAGAGTCACACGAGACCCCGAACGATGTCGTTTCTACATAATGAGGGAACGTGTAGAAGCTGGTTGGGCGTCAGCCTGCAGTGTCTGCAGTATCATCATTTCTGAAGGGCGAAGACTCACTGATCCGAATAGAGGAGTATCTTAGCCAACTGTTCGTGCCTCAGCATCTCCCTCAATATCATCCCCGTATTCAGTGCAATTTCTTCGTTCCCGTACCCAGCTAACGCTGCAAAGATCACATCCTCGTGTCTTGCGCAAATATATTCCACTGTTGGTAACCGATTTCCGATCTGCCGCCGTAAGAGGTTATTGAATATCTGGACTACATCCTTCCGTGATTCGAAGTCGAATTTGTGCATGTTCTGGAGAAGAATAAGGAGGAGATCCGTGGAATACGTCTCTTGTGCGAGCTGAGCGATCAGTTCAGGTATAGGTTCTACCATGTATTTGATGAGATAGATGAACAAACGGAAGCGACAAGGATCAACATACCACCATCACCGTATAATATTCCTTTAATCGCCTGAAGATTTCTTGAGACTTCTTCGCTCGCCTAGTAATAAAATCGCTGGTAAATCACAGGGTATAACCTAGCAAGTCTAAGTAGCCCCGCACCTTCCTCCTTGACTCAGTTCCTGGTGGCCCGGCATCCAACTTGGGTATAACGTCTCGGAGTCCCCGTATGAGATCGGGAGGTGTGCGTGGCTTCGTCTTGAAGAAGTTCATATTGATGCGGATTCAGTCTACAACGTCTGTCGCAAGTGAGGTACGTGTCGTGGTCAAGGTTCGTATACAATTTCTATGACACAAGGAAGCTGGGTATTAGCGCTGGAATGGCACAATGCAACGAGTTTGGGTGATGCAGTCAATTCAAGAGACGGTGGCCAACCACCTTTTCCATTTTTGGTAAGGTGTCAGTTTCTGGTGGCTGTACTAACTTCGGTTGGCCGCTGTCAGCCAAATCATTATCGCAATCTTCTCAACTCATAGCGCCGAGCCCCACTTGTAGTACCTAAAGAAGTGAGTGCTCGCTGTGTAACGCTAAAGTCTAAAAGCGTGCTCCCCATTTCCTTCCGAAAGACCACACGGTGCGGGAAACCCCAGAGGCGGCGTTCGTCTCCTGCGCGGTGACGGGAACGGTCGAAGGGGACGAGGTATAGATCAAAGGACATCCGAGCCAATTCCCCCTAGGTGCAAACTCCAGATATGAATCACACTAATCGTTTCGCGCAATCTCTTGTGCTGTCACAGCAGTGGAGACTGCACGCAACGACCAGCTCATGACGGTAACTTTTTACGTTTTCACGTTCTCTGTATGATAACTTAACAATTTGGCCACTCGTAATTTTCATTGCTTCCGGTGGGACGGGAAAGCACGAGACCGTATTTTCTATCCCTCTCTTTTTGTCTTCTTTACCATCACCATCTGACAAGAGATCCACGTCTCCGTCGATGAACACCGAAGGGATGGTGTGTGCGACACATGCAGAGTGCACTCGGTCATGAGCTGCCAATGCGGTCACTAGTATGAAATGTTTGGGATGGACCCCAGTCTCGTGTGGAGCAACAGGTTCAGACAGTATCTGGCCACGATGACTGGCTCGGTGTCAGAAGAAACTCGGAGGCACGACTATCGTGTCAGAAGTAGATGGGTATATAGTCGATACCCAGACGCAGCGTCGCTTGTCCACTTACGACGCGAGATCGGAAAATGGCCGACTACATTATGGATGGTGTTGCATAACTAGTAGGTGCTCTTGCAACGTCTGATTGGTACCACAGGTGATTAAACAATTATAATCCATAGCTGATAGTGCATCGCGAGGTACTCTGTGGAAGTTACTTCCATAATGCGCTACATACTAGGGAGAAAGTCTCATTTTTCAGTTGGAAGTCTCCACCCTCGGCCTTCTTACTTTCTTCCTTGTAAAGAAGGCAACTCCAGAGTTACTCGATCCTCAACATCACTCGCTCAAAGGGTGCTATTCCTCGGCTGGATTCTACCATCTTGAACATGTTCATCAGGCACGAAGTGGGGTGTATGTCTTCATGGAACACTTCTTCGGAATGCGGCAATCCGAAAACACGTCATCTGTGACAAAAGGCTCTACCCCAGATAAATCCTAACGGATGTTAGCCCAATGCCTTGAGCCCTAACATAGCTGAACGCCCCCGAATACTCACCAACCGAAACAACCCATCATGTACAGAGCAATGTACCGAGGAACGCAACTCTGCATTGCTAACTCCGGGTTGCTGCAAGTTTGCAATTTGTCGTACAGGTCATCAAGATCTACTCGGTCCACTTGCTTATTTGTAGAGAGACCTGAAAGCCGCACAGATAACTTTGGCCAACCCAACTCCAGGCGCTTTGTGAGCCACCGCAGGAGAAGAAGATCGAATGCTTTGTGACAATAGTAAAGATTGTATATAGTTAAACTTTTGAGGTTTATCCAATGATTTGCTGGGACTGATTCCGAGTCACAGAGCTGATCCTTAGGCCTGAAAAATGCGTCCGCGCCGAATGCACTCAGGCTTGCATGCTGCATCCCACTGAATTCCTGGCAGAGTGCATCTTGACCTTCCCCACCATACAGGAAATGGAGAGTAACCCTTTGAACATGTCTGAATTTCGACCCAGCACTGCCGAAGTTGACAGGGCGCAAATGATTACGATTCGTATCCGAATATTCAAAGCCCATAAGCCCCGGTGCTATAACGGCTTTCATGACTGAATGGGGATTGTGGACCGCAAGCTTGAATATTTCAAGAAGCGGAAGGTGAATGTTGTCTGGCAGAAGCATCCAACCAGAGGTGTCGCCGCCGAGCGAGAGCACCGTTAGTGACTGGGTAGGGATAAACGTAGGATGCACGACCTGGTTCCAGTGTCCTCTAAACTTCAGTTCAAGAGTCGTGAGGGTCGTGGCAGCTGCAAATTCAGGGGTAGGGGAAAAGGGTTGAAGTTTCAAATTCCGGAGGGTGGGAGCCTCGTTAGGTAGGAGAAATCGCGGATAGACGAACACCTCATCCATATTAGAAATGTGAACTTCCTCGAGAAAAGGAAATTGCAAGGGGCCCTCAGGTGCGCGAAGGATGTTAGGCACCTATCACGGTCGACCCCAACTATGTGAAGACATTGCCAACGATCGGCGCTGGAGACAAAGCTGTCCAGCCATAACCGTGCCTGCGAATAGTAGGCAGATGGCAAACCTGCAATGTAGACATCGAAAAGAGCATTGCCACTCATCATTAATTGGGTCTTCAAGGCTGCAGCAGTCGGAAGTCCTCGACGTAGCACAATATCACTCCAGATTTTTGGTGTGCCCAAGATCGCGCTCCTCCAGAACCGTGACACCGTTGACAAGTTTGTCCTGCGGTCCACTAGCAGAAACTCCCCCAACTCACATCGGTCATCGCAATTTGGCAAGGATTGGAGTATTATCTGCGAAAGGATTTCAACAGGGAGAAAATTGATCGCTGGAGGGCCTTTCTTGGCGAGATCGTTGACCTCGCTTTTCTGCGTCTTTATGGCTGCCCGGATTTCTATGAGCTGCTTGAAGTGTTCTTTCGGTCCCTTCCATCCAGTCCAGCTCGGCGCGTGTCTCATCTAATTCATCCATGATGGGCGGGTGACAATACTAGCAGCCAGTATTAACGCAGCAAGATATCGTGCACCCCGAGTCCTACCTATGACTGGTGAGTAACGACGGTGACGAGCCTGGCACCGATCGGATTTCAAACCAAATAAATACAAACAGACCGTTCCACTCAGGGGATTCGCGATCGCTGTTGCCTTTGCGATCCCGGAAGGAGAGTAGACTATGAATACAAGACATACTGACCGTGTAAATTTCGTGTGCAGATTTTTCTTACGCGGCTCAAGATTCATACAAGATATTTGTGCAGCCAACCTACACGCAGCTGCAAGGTGGCATGTCTATACAGCCCGCAAAAGTACACGCCATATACATTCACACTACAAAGGATACCTTAACCATAAAAACCAATAACAATGACACTTTGACCTGAAGTACTGTCAAATCCCCTTTTCCTTCAAAAATTTCTCCACAGTATCCCACAACTCTCGTCCTCTCTCATCCAATTCCCTGTCTTCCTCGATCTCTTCCTTCCCCTTTGAATCCGTCACCTCCTTCTCCCAAAGCCACGACCACGACGATCCGTCTGGCCTAACTAATCTCCCCACAGGCGCCAGATATCCACCGCCATACTTTTCCTGTTCCTTCCTCACAACTGGAGCAGTAGCAGCAAACACCGTATTGTAAGCACCGTGTTCGGGTGCGGCTGCGAACGGGGAAACCATGAAACCAACGAGCGGGCTGAGATGGAGGCGGGAAATCTCAGGCTTCTGGGAAAAAGTGTCGACAAATCCAGGGTGGACGGAGATAGCCATGATTTTAGGCTCGACCGGGTCGGCGGAAGAGGAGAAGCGGCGATTCAGTTCGGAGGCATAGAGAACGTTGGTCAGCTTGCTAAGACCTAGTAGCAGATGGGTGAACAAGGCGTCACGCTTGTAAGCATCTGGTTGAAGACGGGCAGCTGACATACAGTATCGAGCGAAGCTGGGAATCCACGAGTACGAGCAATCGTCATTCAAGTCCTCAATGGTTGCAAAAGAGTGTTTGCCTCCGACGAGTTTGTGTCCATCAGACGAGATCTACGTACAGTCACCCGATGACTAGTTAGCAAGACGCCGTATGAGATTAACTTTCTTCCATACCACGACGACACGAACGTCCGATTCCGGCTGAGAGGCTGTATTCTTGAGGACAGGGACGAGTTCTCGGGTAAGCACGAATGGGCTGATAAGACTGGAAAAGATGGATCAGTTAGCTAGATATGAAGAAGGCATTGGGACGAACTTGACAACCATGATCCTCTGTACGCCTGCGCAAGAATCGATCACACTTCGGTGTGACGTACTTATAAGGTAAACGTACCGTCAGCCAGTATCTCGTATGGTTCAAATAGGCTGAAATATATTCGTCAGTCGAACAAGAATCTGACGCTATTCACGTACACGGCAGCGTTGTGAACTAGAACGGCATTTATCAGAGCGCTCGAGCTTTACAGTGTGTAATGCAGAAAAAGAATACGCACTCAGAATATCGAGCCTGCTTTCCTTGCTCATAAATTCTTTGGCCGCCGTCTTCGCATTGCGTGGGTCGGAGAGGTCGAGTTCGAGCCAGACGACCTGTTCTAAACCGACTTCTTTAAGCTTGGCGATAGCTGCCTCTGCCTTCTCTTTGTTTCTGGCAGCCATGTATACCTTCGCCCCTCTGCGAGCGAGATGCTCGGCAGTGGCGTGCCCAATTCCTGCACTGTGTTCACGGGACCGCCCTCAGTGGAGTTTTAGCATAGGTTAACTCGTACACACTTTCCACCTGTAACGAGTGCAACTTTTCCTGTGAGGTCAGGGATGTCCCTCTCTGGATTGAATGTCTTAGACGAGAATATGCCCATCTTGCTTGGTGGCGTCGATTTCAAGACACCCCTGAGGATTAATGTAGGCGCCCGAACAGAGACGTCATTAGATTACGTCATCAAGCCTTTGACTTCTGACTGGAATGACGTCGTTCAGTTGGAGGCCATCTCTTCGACGAGTCGCTCACCAAACGAGGGGTTTTGCCACGCTGAAGACTGCCAACTTTGGCGAGACACTGCGGACAGAATTGCCTGGCACGGTTCCTCCACACAGATGTTACGTCTTTCTCCACACGCCGAGCCCCCCCAGCACATATCCAGCTAAATTCTCTACTCCGGTCCAACGCGCTCTCCTCCGTGAATTAATGCCCATTGGTGGATCGGTCAATTTTAGCTGGTCCGAAGGTGGGCCGTCGTACCCCCTTAGACCGGAAGACGAGGAAGAGATGCAGGAATACTATCTCACCGCATTTTCGATTGCAAGAGGGAAAGTCGAGGTGCCTGCCGTGTCTATGAAGAACGTAGCAGAGATTGGGAGTAAACTCAGGGAACACGCAGAAAGTCCCGTGCCAGGCGGTGCGGGTGTGCCTATGTCAGATGGCATCCATGTGTATGTGTGTACACATATGGCGAGGGATTGTCGGTGTGGAAATACAGGAAGTGCCGTTGCCAGAGCTCTTCGCGAGGAGTTGCACAGACGTCGGAACCTTGACCACCAGGACCCAAGTGCGCGCGTTCGGTTGGCGGAGACGGCACATGTAGGCGGGCACAAGTGAGCACGAATCCCACCCTTCTTCCCCGATACTCATCGTCATGCAGATACGCAGGGAACATGCTGGTGTATCCTCACGGAGAATGGTTTGTAAATATTTAATTTCTACCTTATGCTGTGCATCTGATCGCTTCGATGCACAAGGTTGGGTCTCGTCCAGCCTGAGGACGTGCCAGATATTCTAGATACTATCCTCTCTAAACCAGTTCGTTCTTTCAACCCTGATGATAAGCCCATGATGTCCTTCCCAATGGAGAGGGCGGATGGGCCTCAGCAAGGAAGCACAGGTGGAGCTGTTCAGTCGATACCGTGATTAGCGCTATTACCATATATATTCCGTGTTTGTTGCAGAATTCTATAAAATTTCCTCCCAAACTGCCCGACTCCTACATATGTGGCCAAATCATTGCGGGTGGCTTGCGGTTGAGCAAGTACAGGTAGGACGCCACAGACACGAGAAACTGAATCCACGACTAAGCGCGTAGGAAGCAGCTTGCAACGACTGAAGACTTGTTAACTCAGGAACAATGCGCTATGGCTTAAGGTCACCTTCACCGTCTCCTGTGCGAGAGTGAGTGATCGCGCATCACGTTGGAGGTTCATTTGACGAGCTTTTGTTACCAAAATATTTACCCTCAGGAAACAGACAGGGCGTCGCAGCTCTGCGTACGGCCTTCCCTCTGATTCCGACGAAGAAACAGATTCCCTGTCCTCCGAATCTTCTGTCTCAACTGACGATGACTCGGAAACTGATACAGGACGACTCAGGCGTTGACGTAGGGAATGCAGTCGCAGCGAGGACAGCAGGGAAAGCCAGAGAACTGACTGTGGCAGAGAGGAAGAGCAAAGGAACGGCGAAATTGGTGAAAGATGTCAGTGAAAGCGAGTCGAGTGAGGAAGAGGAATTTTGGTATGGCGAAGACGACGTCTCTCTGAGGTCAGTCATTCGTGTGGGTGCCAGCCCTATCGTGCTTATAGTGTCTACATGCTACACAGACAACCGTCCAAGCATCTGCCTCAACAATCGCGTCTCCACCTTCAGCACTTACAGACACCTCAGCAGCATCATAAGGACGCCAAGTTCCTCGCTGATCGACGAGCTCTTGAGGACACCATCGCTGCCATTCGATTACGGACCAGACATTATGATCCGTATGAGGAGTGGGAGCGACAGACGAGAACGGATGCATTGGTTAGTCTTGTAGTTAGTTACCTTCGCATGTTTCACTGACGGTCGCCTCCTTCCTTTTTTATGGCGGGCGGGTTAACTGCGTAGCGCACAGCGCGTCATCTGCGCACGACTATCAATGCCACCCATGCGTCTCACCTCGAAAATACACACAGATCCGCTTTGCAAAGCCAACAAAGGGCATATAGTTCCCAAGTTACTGACGTCACACGACTTCTCGAGGCATTCCGTATCAAGGGGCGCGATGAGGAAGTGAGGTTGCGACAGAAGTGGAAGGAGGAGGACAAAGCGAGGATAGAGAGACTTGAAGCCGTCATTAGGGCTGAAGAGGCGAAAGCACGTGCTGACGCCGAAGCGGAACGAAGAAAGCGGGAAGAGGCAGAAAGACGACGACGCGAGGAAGAAGAGAGGAAATGGAGAGAAGAGGAAGAACGGAGAAAGGCTGATGAGGAGAGGAGGAGGGCAGTTGAAGAAGAAGAAAGGCGCGAGAGGGAGATAAAGGAGGCAGAGACACGAAGGAAGGAGAAGGAGGCCGAAGAGACAGAGAACAGGAAACTTTCTGGAATGGCTTCTGCTGATGAAGACTGGAAGTACGCGCGTGAGACGTTGAAGGCGAGTGTTTTCTAATTTCCCGCTTTCTCAAGAGAGAAACGCTGGGAACTGCCTCATCCCTCTCTCCTTGAGGTGCGGGAGACATACGAAATGGTGGGGCTACATATGAGCTAACTTAATATCATACCCGTATTAGAACCTCAAAGCTGGCCCTATGAAGACAGTCAAGGGAGACAAGGCACTTAAATCGCAGTGGGGTGCCATCCGACGACAGATTACGCCTAAAATCGGGCAACTTACCCAGGACCAGGCGACCGTTACGAAAATCGTTCGTGTCGTTTCCATTGGCTCTTGGTTAACCACTGACACTTGATGTGTAGATAGGTCAACTGATTGAACTCGTCCGTCCGCCAACTCCCCATCCCCAAGCTCTGTACCTTGCTGCCCTCTCCTCTCTCTCCAAATGTATCCTCCTCCAAGCTGAAACTGAAGTCACTGCAGAGAAGAAATCTGCATTCCCACTAGCAGCCGTCACGTGTACGTTACTTCACCATCCCTCGTTATCAGACACGTTCCCGGATGTGTTTTACGCCAAAATGGTACAACGCACTGGTGGATGGAGTGTTCCTGTTGTCGTCCCAGCGCACGATGTCGATGGGCGGGCGTGGGACGACACTGAGAGAAGGAAAGCAATGGGGTATCGCCGAACGGGTGAGGGCGACGGAAGCGGGGAAGGAACATGGGAGAGTTCTGGGGATTATGGGACGCGCCTTGCAGGGATCATGAGGGTATATTTCTTAGTTTTGGGTATGTCTGCGTCGATATCCCCAGCAGGACCGGTTGGAAGGGTCCAAAGGATCTTCCAACTACCTTGTTTCTGGGTGTACTTCTCCCGTATCCTCGGCGATCCGCGATTGTTGGAAACGGCTGTGGCTGCGCAGATCTTGCATGGTGCGTGACGAAACTGGTCTTCCCGGGATCCCTCTAGGTGACTAACAATCTCACGTTTATAGCTGCCCTCGATGTAGCAGGCCTGGAAGCCCGGAATATCTGGGGTAAGCAATGGATAAAACTCCTTCAACTTCTCTACGTAGCGAGCACAGAAGGCATCGGCAGCGTGCCAGGCACGAACGGAAAGAGAATGCTTGGCGGGCAGACGCCGGAGGGCAAGTCTGCACGAGTGAGGGTACAGCTGGAGATTGAGAGGATTGTCCAAGCTCTGTAGAACATCTGTCCGCCTGAAACCGTTTATGGGCCCTTTCGCTGTTGTAGCTGAATCCCACGACATGGTTGACAATTGGACGGAACTATATGTACACTTGATTTTATGGCTACTTCAGCCGTTATTTCCGTAATACCTTAACCTTCGAGATTAGCATGTACTTTTATAGATGGACCAAAGCTGGGTGAAGAAAGGACTTGGAAACCACAGATACTAAGACGCTAGTGGATGAGGTGAGGGTCCAGATGTGCGGCAGAGCGGCAAATGAGCAAGGCCAGCCCCCTATGTATCTCCAACCATTACCTAAGGTAGATAGTTGCAGCTCGACTTCCTTGCCCGACTCATTTCGCACCTCCTCACCACTCCCTTCTTCTGAAGTTAATTTCTAATGTTACACAACAGATAGTACATGGATAGACATCTAAGGCTACGCTGTTACCACCATCTTAATCTCAGCTGCATGTCCCGAGCAAGCAGATGAACCTACCGATCCAGCGGCTCCACCCCGTTGTCGTGCAACCGAGTCCCTGCAGGTCGGAGACAAGACCCAATTTCTTTGAACACTTCCAGTAAAGATCCAGTCCAATCCAGCAAAGATATTATCACAGATGAGCTATGACGCATTAAAGCAGATCATCAAACATCAGGCTGCTTATACCACTTCAGCAGAAGGGAAGACGCAACCACAGAAACCGAGCTGTAATGCTGGTTGGTTAGTGCCAGAGGGGTAAGGGAGGAAAAGACTGCTCACGATAAAGCCATTGCTAGAGATGCCCAGGCAGGAGAAAGACGAATGTGACTAGCTGGGTACAGCACACCAGCAGCAATGGGAACAGCGACGAGGTTGTACCCTATTGCCCACACCTGCAGGTAGTCTAAGTCCAACCGTGCTAAGGTCCAAATAGAAACACACCTACAAAATTCAATTTAACTCGGTTCAGGACTTTGCGAGACAAATCGGCCAGAGTAAGCAGACTTCGTAGATTAGACGATAGTAAGATAAAGGAGGCGCTTGATATTGCAACCTCGCTGCCGGACCCAATCGCAATGCCCACGTCTGCTGCAGCCAGTGCCTACGAGTAATTTTAGTCATTGCCATTGCCGCTGTGTGTCCGGGTAACGTTACATACCGGAGCATCATTAATCCCGTCGCCTACCATTGCGACAACACATCGTTCACTTTTTACCGGCTGTTGGAACCATTTCCGCCACCTTGATCGAAGTCGCTTATCCCCGTTTTGCTGTAACCATTCGATCTTTTGAGCCTGTTGGACACATTAAAAACGAAATTCCAAGTACGATGCTGTCGCAGTACGAACCTTCTCGTGTGGTAGGACTCCCGCAATGACATTACTTAAGGGAATTCCCACCACACTAGCTACTGCCTTTGCGGTTGTCTCGTTGTCGCCAGAAACCATCCACGTTCCAATCCCGTTCTTTTGCAATTTCTGGACAACGTGGCCGGCCTCGGGTCTTAACGGGTCTGTGATCGCGAAGATGGCGACGACCTCTACGGCACCACTCGCGACATCCTTGACTGCCAGCAAGGCAACACTTTTTCCTTCTTTCTTCCATTTCCGCAGGGCAGAAGATGTGGATACGTCGATCGCCGCACCCTGTTGGGTGATCCACGTCTCACTTCCGACGACAGCTGCACAGCCAAGACTCTCGAAGCGAGCCTTCATACCCATTCCGGCCACTTCTTCCAAATCAGTCGCGTGCATGTTTGTAGCCCCGTGGATCTCAGCATGACGCCTAATTGCATTGGCCAGCGGGTGGCTTGATGCCGATTCCATCTCTGCAGTGATTCCAAAGACTACGCCGCGAGTCCATTTGCTCGACGAAGTGGTAATCTGGTAGTCAGAAACTCGTGGCTGCCCGCCTTCGGTCAATGTGCCCGTCTTGTCGAAAACGATGGTGTCTATTTCAGCCATGTCCTGGAAGGCTTCCCCCCCTCCCCTCACGAGGATACCATGTCGAGCGGCTACTCCTGAACCCACCAGGAGAGCAGTCGGACCTGCTAACCCAATGCCACATGGACAAGCAACCACAAACACTGCTGCAGCGAACCGGAGAGACCATACCACTATGATTACAAGTCAGGGCTGTCACAAGAAAGAAAGGAGTACTGCTTACCCCATCCCCCTGTATTGATGTCAAGGTAGCTACGGGGAAGTGCGCCGGAATAGCCCAATGACAGCCAAATCACCCAGGTAGCGATTGCAAGAAGAGTCACTATTGGAACGAAAATCCCAGTGACCGCATCCGCAACTCGTTCGATGGGAGCGCGACGCGCTTGTCCCTCGCGCACGACATCAATGATATGGTCCAACCTACAGCGACGGTAAATGATGCCGATGAGAAACAGTGCCTCTACACTTACATTGTCGTACCACCAACCGCATCTACCCTAATATCGACGACCTTCGATTTGTTGATAGTCCCGACAAGCACTTGGTCGCCAGCCCTCTTCTTCACGAGTTTTGCTTCTCCAGTTAACGAGCTCTCGTCGAACAGTGCCTCAGTATTCGACACGATCGTACCATCGCAAGGAGGACTAGAACCGTTTAGAACTCGAACGATATCCCCGACTTCCAGTGAGTCAATTGAAACCTTCTCCACCTTTTGGCCGGGAGCTACAGATAGGTTGCCATTATCTGAACTACCACTTCCTTTCTCGACATCGGCATCGAAGTTACTGGATTCTTCCATTTGAACGAAAGAGGGGTTTCCGTAGAGTAGTAGCAGCGCCTCCGCAGGCCGAAGGGAGCCTAGCGCTGTCAACGCATCTGCAGTTCGTGCCTTACTGTATATTTGCAAATACTGGCCTACATCAAGTCGAACTAGGTTAGTCTCGACAACGAGTATACCAATGAATGAGCTTGCCGAAGAGGAGAAACATAGTCAAGAAGATGACGGAGTCGAAGAATGTGGTCGTATCTCCCACCCCATTCACCGCCGGCGGCTGGGAAGCAGCCAGAGCTAAAACGGCCACAGAAGAAAAGTAAGCTACAGATACCCCACTTGATATCTGAAGAAATTCGTTAAATCGTGCTCCAGGTGACTAGTCCTTGTTACTTACCAGGAGATTCATGCTCCCAAACCTGATAAGACGCTTCAACACTGGAGTGGTGCTCCCCTTGCGCCACAGAGCTCTTATCTCTTTTGCGCTCCGTCGATGAAAGAGCCAAGCACCATAAACCATGACAGGTGTAGCTAAGAAGAACAGGATCCACTGCGCTCGTGAAGCATTCCCTTTCCATATAGGTTCCATGAAATAGCGTCTAATTGGATTTTGAGAGGAAACCAGGCTCATATAAACGACCCCAATGATAAGTGTTGGTACAGCGAGGGCAGTGGTGAATACGAGGCGGTGGATAATAGCTCGTTGTTCGTGCTTCAGCATGGAACGCGCTCGACTCTCCAGGGTCGGGGGTTTGAAAATCGAAACGGTGAATACATTTGGATCAGCAGAAACAACGGCAGACATAATTGTGCGGATGGTAAATTCTGGAGAAGAGGGTTGGTAGGAAACTTCCACGATAGGATTCGTGTGATCTATCACAGGTTTTGTCACCGTAAGGCGTGGCTGAAGGCCGTTCAAAGCCTTCATAACTTTCCCTGGACAATGCCTACTCCAATGAGAAAAAAGATGGGAGCTGTTTTGTGCACACTCACCGGCAAAACATCCCGTGTATTTGCAAGGTAACAGTCCTAGAATGAGTGGCAGCATCCTCACTAGTTGAAGAGGAGAGTGCTTCTGCAGCGAGCAATTCAACGCCAAAACCACAGTCGTCGATTGCTTCTATCACGGAGGCAATCAAGTCTTTGCTCTCGACAACTAGCGTGGCTGAATCGCCTAGGACATTGACAGAAACTTGCGAAACTCCGGGAAGACGAGAGACAACTTCCGTGATGGAGGCAGCACAGGAAGCACAGGTCATGCCACTGACCGCCAGACTGAGACGATGAGGTATTCGGTCGTCTGGTTCCGGCTCGAGAGCGGTTACTGGGCCATCCTTTTCTCCGGAAGGACCGCCTTCTCTTGCAGTTTCGTCGATGCCTGAGAAGGACGGGGCAGAATCAATTAACCGAATTTCCGAGGAAATATCTTTCGAGGCAAGTAAAGCCTCCCGTTGACACGAAGAACATTGTTGGACATGCTTGGTACGCTTTCCGGCCTCCAAATCGCCATTCGGGCAATCAGCTCGACAAGTCGAGTCACAAGGATAGAATATTTCGAAGCCAGCATCTCCGAGGACAAGTCGGATCGTACTCGAGGATAAAGAAAAGGGATGCTGAACGATAACTGCCTGATGCACGATGGATACATCGATCGCTATGGGTTGAGGTCGGAGCGCAAAGAGGCCGTCCTTGATGGTACTGACGCAGCTAAGACAATGGTGTGAACTTGTCAGGCTATGGGTCAGTCGTGAAAGACATACCTGGCACAGTGCAGATTTGATAAGAGCAGTACTGTCGTGGTAGGCATTATCGACCTGTTAAATAGATATGGTTTCGTGCCAGTCGATGTGAGAGGGTACTCGCCAGCGAGACGGGACCTTATAAGCCGGGCCAAGGAGGGTGACATTTTTCGGTGAGACACTTGTTCAATAAATGGCTCATGTTGTGATATAGCTTGCACCAATGATGAAGTTAGCCCTGTATCCAATAAATGCCTCATCAACTTTAAAAAGTGCCTCACCCCAGGGAAGCGAGCCTAATTCGTTATGTGGCAGAGCTTACTAATAACCTGTTGCCGCGGTAAAGCTGACTCACCACCCGAAATGCTACGAAGTAGTGAAACGACAGGGAGTTCTACACTGTGGCCCAGCGTGGTGAACCTTCCCTCTCGAACGTTGGTAAAGGTGTGTCTGGCACCCATTTACACTTGATTATGAATCCATTCAAACTACTAGCGATCGGGTGCTCGGTAAGCCCAACCATTCGTCGTGTGAATCACCGTTTCGTAGATACTGTTCTATTTGATCACGAATGCCATGTGTCAGAGATTTTATTGTGCGACTCGTATCCTCGTATCGTCGGACGAAGTCTACTAATTTCCTGCCGAGGTGGTGTTTCTCACACGAACGCCTTGCTGGCGCTCCGAGGCCTTTGTTCGGGGCAAATATCCTGGAGGCATTAACGATCAGCTTGGAACACTCGCTGGCCAGCACGGGCTGAGTACTAAAAATTTCCTGCAGGCGAGGCTTTCATCGTTCATCTGCGCTGAGCAAGTGAAGAGTAACCTCGATGCCCTGGTCTCACTGGCATCTGCGCCGACGCTCACGCGGCTCGATTTGCGTCCATACAACCCCACCCAACAACCCTTGTGCCCGAATTATCACATCTCAGTCTAACATCTGTGCGTTGCATCGGTCACATTTTACGCCCTAGCGACTCGGAGATGATGACTCACCAAGTCACAGTCACCAAGTTGAACACCGAGCGGGCGGTGCATCGTAATATGCCTACGAGACTATACCTAGGGTTGCGAGCGCTGCAACCCCCGGCCTCCCACAGACGGTCGTCGAACCTACGTTTACTCGTTAGAAAACCGAACAGGATTTGATAGCCTATCTGGGGAGCTCTACTGCGATGGAGGGCGGCCATCCGCATTTAAGCGCTCAGCAACCCAACTACGTTTGCCATGCATGCCTGTTTCCACGCGGTATGCACTCCACTTCCATTCCCACAGATCCTATCGACCCTCCACACCGCAGCTCGGATCCTGGAGGTCTTCCCCTCCGTTCTCGGAATGGGTTGGACGTTCTGCACACGAGACTAAAGATGGCGGCGCCACAATTGCGCTTCATCGATAAGGCCCCGAATCATGATGTGGACACCACTAGTCATCTACGGTGGCGTGTATATGAATCTGGCAGACCATGAGTGGACTCATCAGAGCCATGGATCGTGCAGCCATCCTGTGTGGTGGCTTCCATGACTTGACACCCGTATAGGAGGAAAGGAACTTATCCTTATCGGCAGAGCTCGAACTGGATCCTGGAAGGGATTTTCCGCAACTGGTTCACACTGGCAATTCTTCGATGGTCGATTTCGAGAATCAAAGGCCAGCCAACGAAAAGGGGGCTTTCATAAAGCACTTCTTATGCAGGTAAAACAGCCACCTTTGGTGACAGATGACAGGGATACGTACTCAAACGTAAATTAATGTGAGTTTCCCAGCGTAAGTCGACTGCCGTCCTCACGGCGAGCGGGAGCACATGTCGCCCGTATATGATCATTCCATACCTTATTCTTCGTACCCGACCTGCATCACACGAAATGAATGGAAATGAAGGTAAACCGACGGTAATGAGAACGTCCTGCGGGGAACTCACCTGTCAGCATCAATAGATCTCAGTATGGATTTCCAACCGTCGAGAACTTGCTTAGGTTTGGTGGCTAGTTAAGTTTGAGGGGTCACGGATTCCAGCCAACGGTGGTATTTCGTGAATGCAGTGTACTTGAGCCTCGTGTCGACCACCTACAATGATCACTCATACGCATCGTAATGTGTGGACGGGGGAGATTGAACCTATCTAGATTTGATGTAGACGTATTGCATCATGCTGGTCGAGAGCAGCGTATATCGTAGCGACTATCCCCTAAAGTCAAGTGGTGCGGTCGACGCCGAACTGAGTGGAACTCAGGTTCTATTAGGTAGGATTCTGCTTTCTTGTGAGTCTTTCAGAGTCACGCGCCTACATATGATCACTTTCCCACTGAGGATATCAGGGCGAACGTAACTTCCGGATTGGCCATGGATTGATGAGGATGGTCGCACCTCGATCGTAGAAGATAGAGATAGCCGCTCGTTGCGATCATGATGGTGGGATCGGGGTATCAGAAGTGCCGTTGCGCCCATTCTGCAGTTTTACCAAAGCAACAATGCATCTTAGCTAGTGCGTAGAGGAGGGAACTCATCGAAGTTTGATCTGTGCTGTGAATCGCGAAACGGAAGTTGACACGACTTGGTTGGCTTCTAGCTGCGACTACCACGGAGACCACGTCTTCGATGTCTGGTTCGACAGAGCACATAGACCGTAGAGCAGAGAGACAGAGAACTCGTGGGTCTCCCCATGTCTCGCCCGAAATGTGATAGTCGCGCCAGCACTATGGAATCGACAACAAAGCAGCTTTATGCTCTGCACAATCACAATGGCGGATGGATGCTATGTATCCTCGGTGCCTAGAACATCTACCATATTGTGTCACCAAATCACGACACTGAGCATTGTACCGACTGGTACCTGATCTGATTCTGATATGGCACAGCTCGGAAGATAGTGGCTCGTCTAAGCGTTCCGGCTTGTCCTCCGAACATCCTTTGACCATACACCCACCGGATGTCCTTGTACGGCACGACATGGGAGACATGTTCAGATGATTATAGATCAGGCAGTTATCGATAGAAGATATTCCATCTATAATCCGAGATAACGCCCTACATACACAGGGAGGGAGTTGAGCGGTAACAGCCTATTAGCACGTTTCGTCCTGTCACCGGCAACCTTTATGTCGGAATGGGATTTAGGTGTGGCAACGTGTTTTCAGCTTGGTCACGGAATGAAAAAGAGGTTTTAATAAAAAGAGCGAAGCGAGGGGATAAGATATCAGTGTGCGTGTATCTGGTGGAAGAAAGGCAATTCAGATAAAGGCTGGGTGGTGCGTATCGAGAAAAAGACGTCAACGCTTAGTGTGGGCCAATGGGCTGAGTTTGCGAGGTATCCTCGAGTCGGAAGCTGACGCGCTGACGGAGGACTTTTCTGCACAGCCTGGAAACTTGCTATGCCCTGATATGAGATCTATCGTGAGGCAATGAAAGGGCCCTTACGACAGTGATAACCAGGGAAAACAATCAACTTAAGGAAAAATTGGGCAAAAAAGAGAGATTTCACGGGTTTCCAGTGGATATACACAGGTGGGTTGGAGGGGAGGAAGCCACACGCAGTCCAGGGACTGAAGTGGACCAACCCTAGCGGGTGTCGTACGCGTCGTTGTCCATCAAAAGCCGCGCAACGGAGACGGCGGGCGCGCTGAGACCGGTCTTTTTTTGTCCGCCGCCCAGCGGTTGCTAATGAGGCAAAGTTCGCACATAAATTAGTTGCGGTTAGAATGCTTCCAAAGTATGGAAAATTATCACAGCGACCAGGGCTAAGAGCGGCTTCCAAGCCATAATGTTACCTATTCCGTGTGAGTTGTTAGTGGTGCGGATGCCATGCGACGGGACGCCGCTAACTGAGCGAGGCGAACAGTTGGGCATCTCGTCATACCCTTAGCCCTAACCCTACCTTAGTTCTTGGCGGAAGCAAATAATAACAATGGGACGAGTTCACAACCTCCCGCAGCTCTCAGATAACTCTGGAATGTGCAGGACTTGAGGATTATCAAGATCTGAAGTGTGATACAGTAAAATGACGCGTTCATTCACAGAACATGCAGAGATCCGGGCATCTGGTTTGTAATGTGGTGGGACGGAGCGGTGCCTTTATTTGTACAGACCAAATTTTATTCGACTGTAAAGTTGTGGCTGGGCCCGATCGAAAGATTTTCCTCATGCTATTTATCCACCACTGCGTCAAACCAGATCCCTTGTCAAAGCCCTCTTTCAACCTGTAAACCTGGCAAGGGTTTCTGCGTCTTGACCCTCATGCTGGCGCTCAGTCCTGGTTCAGTTTGCGACGTGTGCGCAGAAGAGTACAGTCCGCAGTGTATCCCGCACTCCATTCCTTGCGGTCAGTCATCCCCTTCGCTTTGCAACCGTGAATTTTTCCCTCATCCTACCCAACAGGCCATGTCCTGTGTTCGAGCTGCTGCCATAAAATAGTGGAGAAGACCCTGCCACGCCTCAAACCGGTCTGTCCTTTTTGTCGGGAACACTTCACCAGTGACGACGTTCGTCTCATCCGCATTGACTTCTCTGCAAGCGGATATATCCCCTCACGGCGTCGAGGTGGTATGCACGAGGCCCATGACGCTAATGACCACCAGCCGGCTCGACGGGAAGAACGTTTTCCTCTCGTAGAGCCCACTTACCCGCGTTCCCGAGGTGAGGCTCGTCGGCTGGAGGATAAAGTGGCCAAGGTGGCCGCCAAAAAGTGCTCCGTGGAGGAGGTCTCCACCCTCCACCAGGAGCTACAGGACTGGCTGTCGCACGATGGCAGTCCAAGTGACCAGGTGAGTCACTGTGTATCCGGTCGACTCGTCTTCCCTGACTCGGCGGGCTGTGCACCCGGAACTAGGTATCATCGCTCGCCTTGAGTGCTGCGCTGCTCAAGGCCATCCTGACAAATCACTTCGCTCATTCTGAAGCAACAAAAATGGCTAAAAACGTTGAGGCAACCTTAAAAGGAAAGCTGGACGATATGGAATTATCTGTCGTCAAACTGGAAGCCGAATTGAAACAGTAAGTTGTTCCCTGCCATCCATGGATCAACGCGATAACTGATTCCCTTATTTTAGACAGGTTCGTCTGTCCGACGAAAACAAATTACCCATATACTGACTTATCCTCCTTCCAGCAAACACTTTATACCCAAAAAGTACAAGAATGTCAATCTCTGCGAGCAGAGATTAGTCGCCACGCACTTAAATCTTCGGTGCCCGGGATCTCCCCCACTCGCCCTACCTCTGCTGCACCAGCCATGATGACCGACCATCTCCGGCAGCCGGTATCTTCCTCAGCAGCATCCGTCTATAGCATGCCCAGCACCCATAGTCCACTCTCCCGATACGGCTCATCTCACATGCGGAGTGTATCCTCGTCTATCGCACCCGGGTCTAGGCCGGTGACCCCCGCGAGAGCCACAACTCCGGCGGTCCGCTATGAAACGCCGTTGCAATCATCCCGCCTTCGCGCTACTTCTCCCGTGCCACCTCTCCCATCTAGACCTCGCAAGATGTCATTTTCAGCGACATCACCCCAAAAAATTCAGCGGTCGTACTCTGACGAATCGGACCGGGAGATAATCCATGAACGTTGGATGCCTAACCCCAACGTTGCGTACAGCCCCCCCAATGGCAAACTCGTCAATTATCCATACGCCGTTCCAGCGGCTCGTTCTCGTTCGTCGGGTTCGACAAACGCTGCATGATACCAACTACCTATAGACGTCTCGGTTTCTCTTACTTTTTCTCGATTGCAGACTGGCGGTCTTCCGACTACTACTCTAATATTGCTTTATTGCTATCTCGTCTCGTCTCGTCTCGTCTCGTCTCGTCTCGTTTCTTTTGGTTTGGTTTCTCGGCTTGTGTTTCCTATATTTCTCGTCTCGCCTCGTCTCGTTTCTCTCATCGTCTCGCTCCTCCTTGCGCTACTCATCTTCAGTTGTATCATACCTTATTTCCTTTGTTTCGTCTCCGGCAGGTGAATATATCAATCCTGTCACGGTTTCGGTTTTCTTTTTCTGCTGCTACTTATTCTCTTCTGCTTTCTTGAATAGCCAAGGAGGAGTTATTTTCGCACTGTGGTCATACAGCTCACAGTTCGCTGTAGCATGACTTTCTCTGCTTTCTTCCGTTCCTCTCTTATTCATCTCACTCTCTTACCCCAACGGGTTCTCCGAGCATATGGCTCGTCCTTCCACACCTCCTTACACAGGTTATGACGCGTACCACCCACTTTACCTACCGTTCCAGATTTGACAGATTTCTGCGCTTACGGATACCCTAATGACTCTATTTTGGTACTTACGATTTGGTTACGAACGTTACAGACAATGATGACTCGTTTACTACGTACCCCCTGCTTGGGATTCGCCCGCGGTTTGCTTCTTCTGTGCTCCAAGAGATGAATTTGGTATATTCGATGCATCAAGGTACGTCAATTATCCACTGGAACATTGAAGCTCGCGTCAATGTTTGCAGAGCGTTCAGAATTCTTAGAATGTTCCATCCCTTCTCTACGTTTTCTTCACATTTCGCGGCAAATTGGCGACAGAAGGTAATATGTCGCAGGTTGACGGTTTTACTTGGGCTTCCGTTCTTCTGGGCTGACCGTTCCTTGGCCGAGGGATACCGATCGAGCAGTAGGTCTACCCTCGTGGATGACCATTCCGCGGGAACGCTACCATATCACAAGCGCCAAGTTCTATTCACGAGCTGACCGTCTCTCTTCGACAGCCAACAGTCCCTATGCGACCTTTGGACCTCAACCTTATCCCAAATCGGTGTGGATGAGATTCAGGCATGACACGCGCCACCCGTGCAGTTTGAACGTGGCATGGCGTAGGGTTGACGTCTGCACGCCCTGTATGACTGCTCGGGGATACGGAGCTTCACGGCTATCCATGTTACCCAAACAGTGAGCGCAGGACAGTCAGGGTCGCTCATGCTCAAAGTCGGGAAATCGCATGGGTTCCGGCCAGAATGACAGCGATCCCTGATTCCTGGCACTTCCGGCCCGTTCGCTTACATAGTCGACGAACTGCGCAGCCTGAGCTGTTGATGCGCCCTGTACTCATGATGTTTTACGGACATGATTTTGGATTGTCAAGATCAGTATTCTTGCAGATCAGAAAGTTAGCCGGTGAGCAACGTTTTCTACACGTGTTGCCGAAATATTCGGGTAGTTCCAGTAGGCGCTCACGATAGATCTGCTATTCAACGCCTTATGGCGTTCCAGCGTTTCGCGTATTGCGCTGTTCGACTGGCGAGCACAGACTGGCACTCAGTGGGCCCCCTAGGTATTCCGACCACCATCCATGAACAAGTGAACGATCCTTATCGTTCGTATGCCGATCGGATGCACGTTTTTTCATGCTGGCATCGAAAGCGGGCTCCAGCCTCGTGCTAGCAAGGTGGTAAGGATCATTCAAACAACAGAGTGACGTACAATAACCTTTTCCAATTTCGCATATCCCTGCACTGAATGACAACTTAATACGGTCTGACTGACTGATCGCTGATAACGCTCTTGCCCCTATGAGGCAGCACTTTTCCAGGGTGAGGGAAGCTATTGCGCATTCGGGGTCAAGGGGGCCAACATGGTGGTAAGTATACCGTGACCATGATGCCCTTGTGATGGATCAGTGTACTGTTGGCTTCGGGTTGGTCGTCCCCCTCCCCCGTGTGCCAGTTGTGCTGGAGCCCGCTATCACCAGTGAAGTTCGCCGCTTCCTCGTATCTCCGCGTTGGAGCCTGTGTTCATACATCCCAGTGATAGGGTGGAGGTAATAATGGAGTGAAAGCGCTAACCTGCAAAATCCCCTTTAAAATCGCCCGTTCATGACCCTGAATCACGAAGTTTAGCCTCAACATTTCAGCGTGGCATGTCATAGGGAGTAACGGCATTCCAGAGATTCCTTAATTCATTGCTTTGACCTTAACAGTTGCCCCTGCTTCTGCTTCTTTGAAGCTCTCCGCTCTGTGCGGCGGGGGTGTACACACCTCCTACACTTCTTCCATTCATCTTTGGCTAAAAGGGACATATGGAACGAATGACAAATACTCCGTGCTTGGTGCAAGTACCGCAGTTTCCATGAAGGACCCGTACTACCAAGGACGCCCATTTCGGTACGGACAGGGGGGTGGAGCCCAACAACACACAGCTTCTTCCCGCCGCGGAAGTCCTCCCAGCGGAGACAGGTGTTCTTCCTTGCGTTGCGCGCGAGGATTTCGCTGAGCAAGACTGCATCACTTCCAGGATCGTGTGACGGCATGAAACGTCACGAGAACTGTGCGAAAGTTAGACCTTCGAACTTTGAAGTCATGGAAGAATATTAAGTTCGCCAATTTCATTGCGCGGAAGTGCCAGTTTAGACTTGTTTGCATTACCTACAGTCTAATGACCTCGGACAACACGTTAATCGGCTACAACGTGGCTGTGGAGATGTTGCAATGACAGGATTAAGGCTTAATCATCGGATTATCTACCAGGTATGAATCCCTTATCTTATCTTGTCAGACACCTTTCCTAGTGCTATGATGTGTATCCATTATTCATGCACACTGCGTTACATTACTGGTACATTCGAGTACACTTGAAAATGGTTCTTGAGTGCTCTGGCTTCAAGCAGTGCGGTGAGCAGAACCACCGGGCGCCTGAAAACGGTCTCGATCGCTGTAAGTCAACTGGATTGAGACCGCGTCACTCACCCCCGTGATGTTAAGCGCTCTCGCAAGTTTCCCGAACTCTTCAGCGGTAGGGTGAACTTTAGCAGTGCAAACTTTTCATAAGATGGGTGAGATGATGACAAGTAGATTGAGAAGAGGACGATAGTGTGAATTTGATGAACCTACTCTCTTGCACGCGGTGCGGCGTAGAACCGATCTTCGCTGCTAGTCCGGCGTAGTCAAGGCCTGTGTGAAATGATGGCATTGACATCCGAATTTATCGGAGGCGAGTGATGAAAGAAAGTACCTTGCTTTTTCATAGCACTAGCAACGGCACTGCACTGAGGAGAACTCGTCATGGTGGTTGGTGTAGTCGGTCAAGCTCAGTCTGAGAAACCTTGCGGAGTGATAAAAGTCGGTTTTATATCCCCGACATCAATGAGTAAGACCAGTCTTACCATGACAGGTGCAATAGCCGAACTGTGGGAGATTCCAAGCCCTCACGCAGCAGGCAGTGCGTGCGGAGAAGAAGAGTTCGTCACTGGTCTTACTGTCCGTAATTGGTTAGTAGTTGGACTGCGCGGATGTGGCGTTCCGCCGGGCCGTTTTGTTTGTAACTATTTGGTTATCGTGCTGTCCTCGCATCCTGCTCATCATCGCTGAGCGCACAACACAGTCAACGTAGTCAATTCCAGCAAAACACCGACATGGTACGTCTATTTCACATCGCAGATGGCATCTAGAATGTGCAAACTACGCTCGTGTCGTCAATTTTGTCGCGAGATGCTGTTCTTCGGTTGGATGGTGTGGCTGACAATCAGATGTAGCCTCCCAAGAAATCCAAGGCACCAAAGGAAGAAAATACCGTCTCTCTCGGCCCTCAAGTTGCTGAAGGAGAGCTCGTCTTTGGAGTGGCACACATTTACGCGTCGTTCAATGACACCTTCGTCCATGTAACCGATTTGTCCGGCAAGGAAACGATCTCCCGTGTCACTGGTGCGTTCATCTTCGAAGTCATATCGCCCTCATAGCGTGACTCAAATTCCATTCTAGGTGGTATGAAGGTCAAGGCAGACCGTGACGAGTCATCGCCTTACGCTGCCATGTTGGCTGCTCAAGACGTCGCAGCTCGTTGCCGTGAAGTCGGTATCACCGCTCTGCACATTAAGTTGCGCGCTACTGGCGGTACTGGAACGAAGACACCGGGCCCTGGTGCACAGAGCGCTCTGCGTGCTCTTGCCCGTGCCGGAATGCGTATTGGTAGAATAGAAGATGTTACTCCCATCCCGACCGACTCCACAAGGAGAAAGGTAAGTTTTTCGGGTATATTACATTTTGTCTTCCTAAATGAGTCTCCTCTAGGGTGGTCGTCGTGGTCGTCGCCTGTGATTTCGTTTTCCATGTCTATATTCCACACGTGGATGCCACGAGAAAAACAGTCATTTTGCATGTTACTGCAGCATGTACTTAGGTCTCTTCTGTCAAATGGCAATGGTCGCTGTTCAACGCGCATCAGGTGTTTCTGTTTGTAACAGACGCCTGCCCCGTGGTTGAACTTGTTCGTATCTTATCCATGTATTTTTGCATGAGAAACTCTGCCAGGATCGGCTTCAGGTGAATGATCTGTGATCTGAATCGAAAGGGACTTTGCGTTCCAAGAATCCCCTACTTCCTGTCCCCCCCCTCCCCCCCAAAAAAAAAAAAAAAAACATACGTCATCCAGATTTGAATTTGATCCAGATCTACCATGCTCGACTGGCTCGTGCAATGACCAAGACAGGCGCGATGCACTCTTTATCTCTTTATATCACGGAGATCAAGCAACTCTGCTGGAGCGACCTGTTATCATGGTGTGTTTCAGCTCACACCCCACGAGTGGTGTTTGAATCTGAGGCATTGTGATACCCTTCCCTGTGATCGCAGGTATTACTGTCGCATCCTAGACCTACTACTTGGCACAGTTGAATTCGCGCGACGACCACATCGAAAGCAGCTTTGGCCACTTTTCCCTCTAGTCGCGTCCACCAACTAGCTTGACACCAATTAACCTTGCGGATGATGAAAGCACCTCTGTTTACAGAAACATGCTGAGGGGGGGGGGTTCTTTATCGCGCCGTCATGATGACCAGATGGATTTTTGGTCCAAAGCGTCCTCAACGGCTCGTTCCGGCCATGCGTGTGTAGATTTCATGAGATTGGCAGCTAACCCCTTCCCTGACGTTCGCGAAGGACACCCAGGGGAATGTTAACCATATTACCGGATCTGCCCGAGACATTTAGACATTCCGATGGCGCGGCTCCGTACGTATCTATCCCCTTGGGCTGGAATGTAAGTTTAGTATGAATAGTAGGTTCTCCGAAAGTTGTGAAGTCGAGGGCCACGAGCCGAGCCATTAGCTACATGTTATCAGCAGTGGTCTATCTCGTAAAGACTTTCCTGCGGTATAATGCCGTGCTCTAATGCTGCTACATTGCCTCGCGAGCAGCATGCAGGAGGCCTGCGATTTTGTCGGACCATATTAGCGGAATCGATCGAGCAACTACGACACCTTCCATAAATGGTGGCTTAGTCAGCAAGGTCCTAACCCTTTGCCTTTCCCTGTCGCTCCTTCCCGTCCTTACCGCCAACACGTTTTTATGTTATGTGGTGATCGTCAAGACAGCCGCTTTCTGCTTTGAGTTTCGTTTCTTATTTGGATATTTTGATTATTTGATATGCTCGTTGTTCACCCTGCAAGTACCTGTGATATCTGCCTGGATCCATACAGCATCACCGCCGAGCCTGTTAAGTCACCTCATGCGATAGCCTGCGGTCACACTTTCTGTCTCACGTGGGTCTCCAATCCTTATGACATTTTCCATCCTTTTTTCACCTTAGCTAACCTTCCCAGCTGCCTTCGGAATCTCTCTCCGAGTACCTGTCCTCTCTGCCGCAAAACATTCCGGCAAGACAGCATCAAAAAACTTCACATAGCGGAACTGCCCGAACTAGACAGGGCTTCCGAAGGAGCGGAAAATGCTCAGTTGTTGTCACTTCTCCAACGAGTAGCCCTTGCTTCCACTGAGGACGCTCCCGACGACGAAGTAGTCCAAGTCCTTGCGGAGGTGGACGAATGGCTCTCCCAACACTCAGAGGACTCCAACTCAGTGAGTAACCTGCTGTTTTAGTACGGTAGCGATAGCTACATAGTACCCTCCGAGCGTCTCCGAGTGGGCGCCTAATGCTGTTCTTCGGTGCCAATTTTCTAACTGTCTTAGCAGAACCAACCTCTGCGTTCTGCAGTAGCTTCCCTTCAGCGATACAAGGCCCTGCAAGATCAAACAGCGCGTGACAAAGTCGAGCACAAGCGACTGCGTCATGAACTGAAATATTCCAGGAAAAACGCCGACCAAGACTTGAAGTCGTCTCAAGCAGTAAAGGAGAGCCTCCTCACTCAGATCGAGGAGCTCAAGGCTATGCATTCTCGGTGAGCATTCCTCTACGTTGTGACCAGCACAGTGCACTGACTGTTAGTTACAGCGAAGTAAGTTCGTCCGACGATGGGGGGTGAAGCGGATGAATTTACTGCACTTATTTGTTCCAGATATCTCGTCTGCAAGCAAAGATCGACTCCTTGAAGAACGCTCAGCATGCCCAGAATACCCATATTTCTCACCGTAATACTTCGAATCCGCTTCCTCCACCACCTGAACCTCTTCCTCTCGATCGGTTCCCACCGTTTCTCAGACCCGGTGCAAATGACATCGACCCGCGTTTGGATCCGGCGTCCTACCCTTTGCATAATCAGGAGTTGAGGCAGGGTACAAACTTACCTAACGGAAGCTCTTCCACTCCTGGGCCCTACGTAGGGACCTCCCATACCTATGTGCAGATTTCTCAGGTATCTCAGCCGATTCCCATACGACCGAAGCAAGACGAGGCCCCACAAGAGGACCAGAGAAGGAGGTCCGACAGTTATCAGCACCACAGGAGGTACAGCTCCAGCTCCACGCGTAACCGGCATGCCGACTCCCCTCCCCCTGACTCGAGGCACAAGTTGAACGAAATACCTCCGGGCAGCATCATCCATGGAGCCTCTCCGTCTGTACGAGTAGTCATCCGATCTCCTTATTGGACGCATCAACCTCTGGTGGAAGAACGAGGAACCCATCGAAGAGATAGGTCTAATGGTCCGAAGGGCTGTAGATCTGCGTCGAGGGACGCTGGGGTGCAAGACACGGACACACGCGCAGCTGTGGCGTACATGCACGGGTACGATGCTGGCTACGATAGTGGTTATCGAATTGTCGGCGAACCCAGCTCCACCTCGTCTTCATACGGCAGTAACTATTCTCGGGGAGAACGCGGATTTCCTGTAGAGGAGTCTCCAGAGGTCGTTGGTGGCCTTGGGTTGGTCAATGTGCCTCCTCGAGTGCCGTCTGGATCGGTGATTATCTCAGAGGAAGATCATGATTCTACACCAGTCAACCGAACAGCACGTCTCAACAGAAGACATACCACTCACGTAGTTGGTGTTGGGCGATCTCCCCATAGATCAGGAAATAACTCATTGCCCAATCCGCCTGCCAACGGCTCTAGTCAGCTCATCCATGAGCGGACATCTAACCCCACTCTTGATGTCCCAAGAGGATCTACCACATCTAACGGTACCGATCGTATGGGCGCTGTATTGACACGGCCGCAAGCAAGAGTTGCCCATCCAATCACCATTCCTTTGGCGGGGGATGATGTGAGTCCCAGGAGCGACACTACGTGGGGTACGACGTCGACTGATACCCTCGACCTTGGGGTACTGGTTGGTCTCCATAACGGTGGGGCGAGAGGACAACGGAGTGTCAGTGATAGTGTGGCAGTTGGTCGGAACGGGGTTGACGGTGATATAGCAAACGGAGGGTTGGGTAACGAAACTGATGGGGGATCAGGGACACCTACGCTTCCAGGGGCGTTTGCGCCCATGCCTATTGGTACATCGGCACTTGGGCTTATCACTGAAGAGGACCCTTCTGAAGTTGTGAGAGCCCGACAATATAACGCATCTCGTGCCAGCGCCACCATGCAGCAAACGCAAGTCGAGCAGCACGATCACCAATCGCATCATGCCAGACGAGCCGAAAGAAGCAGGGACCATCGCCGCCACGTCTCGCAACCCACGCGCACGGAGGTTTTGCCGCATGCCCAAGAGTCTGGTAACATGACCAATGCGCTATATCTTCACTTCGATGCCTCACCATTCCCACATGACAACGCCCATGTGGTTTCTTCTGCGCGCTCAGGCGCCGGGCGTGGCCCTAATATCGTCGCCCCCACACCGATTTTTGGTGGACCCAATGTCGCCCATCTCTGGGCCAACCGCGTATGAAATTAGATGACCTTAGTCTCTCCCCCCTGCTCTGCTGTCATACATGTAGATGCTATCCCTGTTTTGTAGTCTGCGTTGTGTGTATTGTTATTTTAGTTCCTTTTGGTATGTGTACCCGATTTCTCTTGGACAGGCTTTACTATCTGAACTTCGGAGTTTACACTGATGGGTTCTGGGGTAGAGATGATGAGTTCATATACGCCACTCCATGCGGACTTTCCATCATCAGTCTCAAATGGATAACGGCGAACCACCGAGGCTTCCGCCGCGGCACATATACGTTGGCCAACGCCTTAGAGCAGTTTAGAGCCTAATGACAATTACAATTGTACAATTGCCACTGGAAGTACTCCGCTATGACATGGGTTTTATAATTGCCATCGTCAGTATGATGTCGATGTCAACAGGGAATTCCTATCCTGGTTGATCTCGAAAAGATGTCTTAGGTTGGTGCCAACTATATCGGAGGAGATCCCATCATTCGGTGGATTAGTCGATGTGGAGATAGGCACAACCAGTGATTCTTTTGAAACCCTTTTGGAGATGAACAGGTGGATCAAGGCAAATGCCGAGTAGCGGAGCGATTGTTCCGACTGAGAAGTACGCTTGTTTTGATTTCATGTCGTTCTGGATACCGAAGTATTACTATCAGCATGCGTGGAGGTGCATCATAACCAAGCTGTGTGTCGGCGAACAAATAAGATTTACTACTCCGGGTACCGGGTTGGATACACCCCCACACGATGGATGCGGGTACAGTGAGATTCTTTCATTAAGGGGGATGTGCCAACTGAACAGCGGTAGTTGTATTTACATGGTTAGGAGGAAACCAGCTATGAGAATGGTGGAGAATTCGGGGAGAGATCCGGTTGACTGCGAGCGAACGAGACTTTCGGAGTTCAGTAGTGTCCGACGTGCCTGCCCAATCGAAGTGGGAGCAGTTAAGATGTCCAAGTAATAGTAATGGTCATCGGCAGCCACCGTCTTTTCACTGATCCTAGATTTCCGATGCGGAGTGATGAAAAGATAGTCCGGCCATGCATGAACCGCAGTGGGGCACAGGCACCTGGACCCGTAGCAAATTGGCCTCCTCCACTGTGCGGCTCTGAGACTTGGCTAGCCACTATAAGGTTGGCCAGTTCATATTTCTACTGGAAGGATCAGATCCATGGCACCCACAGGGGAGGCCGAGACCCAGTCGATGTGACGATAACTCAGTGGTCACCTGCGATCCCTTGGCCAAAGAGGTCAAGTGGGAAAACCAGAGTGAAACACATAGTCAGACCTGCCAACCATTCACATAAGTTAGTTAGCTACGTTCGTGCCTAGGCCAGGGTCGCCATGGCCGCGTGATCAGTTGCGACCAACTAACTTGCCGCAGGAAATAAAGCGGAGAAAAAACCCCGCCGCAGACGATACTTATGATGCAATGCATGACTCGGTATGGGCGAAAACTGGTACTTGCGCTGACAAGATGTAGAAGGTGGGGCCGACACGAAAACACTCCGCATATCATGACGCTGTGTTTGCAACGTGCACCATTATGCAAGGATAAATACCTCGGAAGGCACGAGGTTGTGTGAATTGGCCAAAACTGTTTGTATGACCGCAAGATCCGACTCGGGGTTGGGGGTACTGGTTGAAACAAGACACTGACGCAGACTGGCAAATACAGGTTGGAGGTGTTGGTCTGCGCGCCTCGTGGTCGTGGTCGGTGCACAGCAAGGCCTCGTGTGAGTAAAACAAACGCGTAGTGTAGATTCGTGTCCAAGATCAAACCGACCAGCACATGATAACGTAGATTGCAAGACACAGCCAACTGGTCAACGTTAGGCCGGACGACTCTTTCCCGCCACTAATCTGCAAAGTTCAACGGGAGTAGCTGGAATGGAATCACGGCACCTTCGTTCTGAGAGCACGCAAGGTTCATTGCAGAAGGAACGAAACCTTGGAACACGGCGATAAAAAAGATTCAACGTTTGTGATCACCGCTTTTGCGTCGTCGCGTGGAGTACTTGCTGCAACGATGAAGAACATTGCATGCATCGTTGCATGGTCGGTTTTTGAAGTGTGGCTGAGCATGCTGCAAACACGAGGCCCGGCCCGGTCGACAGTCCCAGGAAGGACGGTCTCTATAGTAGCAACTCCTTGAAGCCGATTCCACGGCGAAGGAGCCAACCCAACAAGTTCGTTATCTATCTATCTATCTATTTAATAAGGAAGATAGATGATGAGATGGTCCAGATCACCCACGGAACAGTTCAGGTCACAGCTACTTCCTTCCCGGTTCTTCCTTTCCGGCGTACAAGTATATGTAAAGGGGTCAAATAATATATCGTGTAGGCGGGGACATTGGCATCATCACACGTCGCTTAGCACATGCCTCGTGTCTGCCATATAATGTCCTCAAAGTTCAAAACGAATCCCCCCTCCATCGAAGTGCGACCCGTTCCGGGACACGCGATATAGGCCTGGCCTTGATTAATCTCAAGCTCCCCCCCTTGCACACTCTTTATTATACCCGTCCTCACTCTCTCCCCAAGTCATTCTGAAAGGGTCCTTAACCAGTCCCTTCTTTCATCTCCTTCTCTTCTCCTTGACCATGCTCGTCGTCGGCCCAAATTCAACTTGTGATGTCTGCCTCGAGTGTTATACCAACGGTGTGAACATCCCCCACGCTATCAACTGCGGCCACGTCTTTTGCCAGAAGTGAGTTCTCTTTCTTTCTTTCTTTATCGTCGTCGTCGGGTTTACGTTATTTCCCCTTTCAAGATGCCTCGAGCATCTCGTGCAAAACAAATGCCCTCTTTGTCGCATGCGCTTCGACCCCAAAGAGGTTAGACGGCTCCATGTAGACCGTGATCCAAATGTAAAGGCGATCGTCGACGACGACGAACCAGCACAGTCCTCCCCCTCTTCGGTTCCGGTTGCCGATGGAGAAGCGCAGCGTCTCTTGAACGAGATCGCACGCATAGTCAAGGAAGGTGCCAAGGTCAACGAGATACGTCGAGTGATCGATGAAAGCAGAACATACTACAAGTCCCAGGGTGATCAGGTGGGTTTCTATAATTGTGCGATGGAGTCTGGTCTGAGCTGGTTTTGATATCAACTATTGTATTATGTAGTATACTCCTGTGCGGGTCAGTTGCTTGCTTCTGCATAACCTGGCGGAATCCCAGCGCAAGCTTTCCCTTCAGGCAGAGGAACTGAAGGGTCTTCGTGCGGAGCTCGACGGTATTCGCGAGCACTTAACGGAAGAGCTCGAGACTGTCAGGCGTGACTATGAACAGCTGCAGCGGACAAGCCAGAAGGAGAAGGAAACTCTCTTGGCAAAGGAGAAGTGCCTCAGGGATCATTACGATGAGATGAATCAGTCTTGGTTGTGGTATGTGTCTTCCATCGCATTACGGTCCCAAAAGACTGACCCGCCCTTTACAGTGAAGTAAGTAGCTCTCTTCGACCATCGTTCACTTGTTTTGAGATGTTTCTTCGAGGTATTGTCTCTTGAACAAGAGCGCGATTCACTCAAGCAAACTCTCGCGCGTTTCCAATCATCGTATTCCGAGTCCCAACGCTCGGCATACTTTTATGCGAGTGAAGGGAAACGCTCTCCCTCTGGTAGTGAAGATCCGTCGATGCTCAAGAAGCGTAGTATGATGAAGGAGAAATTCATAGATGGTGACGAGATGGATTTCCATCTGTCACCTCTCGCTGAGATTGCCGCACCCCTGGCTTCGACTTTTCCAGGTTTCTCTGCCCTTGCAGACGAATCTGATGACGAAGACATAAAGAAGATGAAGAAAAAGAAACTTCTCGGCACCTTGGAAGAGGACGAGTCCTGTCCCGAGAGTACGCTGGCTGACCTCATACGCCAACCTCTTACATCAGAACCAATCCCCATTCCTTCCCGAGAATGCCTCTCACATCAACCGTCGAATTCCGTCGCCATGTCTGTTACTGCCGACTGGGTTTCCGGCTTTCCGAGTTCTAGAGCAGATGACGTTGTCATGGGTGGCAGTCGTCCATCTTCCCCATGCCGGCGGAGTTCATCGGATCGCCATGTGCCGTCGTCGTCCCAGGCGCCTCGTACTAGTATGAAGACATCCCGTTCACGAGATGATGACCCTTCGGAATCTCCCCCGAGACGGCCCGACCTCAATTGTCGAAGACACCTGGCAAATCGTATCAAGCGGCGTCTCCAAGTTGCACGATTTATTGGACAGTCCTCGCCCGCCACCATCTCTTTCTCAATCTGCTGCTACTACGAGTTCTCGGCCCGATATTCCTCGCTCGTCTACTGCTCGTCCTCCCATACTTGCGCAGCCTAGTGCTTCCCGGCCATTGGTCCCGGTGCGTCCTTCCTCAGCATCGGTACACCCAGGATCTTCCTCTTCGGTTGTATTCGTCGAGGATTCATACTTTGCACCGTCCGAACGACGACCGCTGGTCAGCGCGAGCGAAGCAGCCATGCAACTGGAGCGGGAGCGGCAACAGGAGAAGGAACGCCGTCGTCAACTGGAATCTTCTTCGGCCGCTCAGAATTCGCTCAGGGACACCACCAACGCACCCATTGCTTCTTCTCACTATCACCAACCCCACAGGTACAAGTATGGTAATGACCGGATGAAACCCATGCAACCCTTACCCAGTGCAGCGTGCGTTTGAGGACGACAACTGCAGCATTGGCTCCCCCCACCTCGGACTCCTTCACAGCCTAGAACGCACGATGTAGGACCCTGTCTGTGATATACTTTGCCCAACTCGTTTGGTTGGGTAGAGCTGCGATACCTCGTGTAGTGATAAGTGTGTATTTGTTGTACTCTTTTGTGCATCTTTGACTTGGATACCGACTTATCACGTTCCATATGCATTTTACTCATTGATTCGAACACCACTCATTCTTATCTCTGACGTTCGTGCACTCAATCGATGACGATCAGTTATGCTGTGTGCATGAAATACACGACCATATATATACAAGAAATGCTACACAGGCAGTGTGCTGCAAGAAAAGGTAATCGATCGTACACGAAATGGGGGGACGTGACAAGATGCATCAGGAAGCAACCCCACACTGTAAAGCGGCTCCACAGAACTGGGCTATAATAAGATAGAGAAGAAGTAGCACGACGACAACGGACAGGGCCAGGGTTTTGCTATTCTTCCACCACATCTGTCTTCGGGCTGTACGTGCTCCGCGACGGAAGGCCGTCGCCTGGTGCGCCATGGTATCGGTCTTGTCAACGAGAAGTTCGATGCGTTCGCCTCTACTGAGAATTTGTTCGACGTTCTGGACCATGATATCTTTGACTTGATTGAGTTCGGCCTGGGCGCGTGCGATTTCGTCTTGTGGGGGAGCAGTGTTGTAAGTGTGCATGAGTGAGGCAATGACGGGTGAGAAGGTGCCTTGGAGGCCATATGCGGGCGTAGAACTCAGGACTGCAGCAGAAGAGGAAGGAAGTTCGAGGAACTGTGAATGAACGGTTATGAGGAGTGCGAAGAGACCCAAAGGTAGGGGACGCACCTTGCGCTGTAGATCAGCGAGGAATGCAAATGGCAGTTTTCTATATCACAGAAGTATGAGAAATCAAGGACAAATACAAAGTGGGTCGGGTACATACCGTCCCACGGAGTCGTCTGCCATGACGAGGTAGACAAAACCACCTTCTGAGATGTAGTGAAAGAGGTATTGTTCCCAAGCATAAGAGAGTTTGCTGTCATTGGGAGGTATTTTAGATAGGATCGTCTGTGTTGCTGGTAGGAAATAGAAATGTGAATCACACCAAGATTGGCATGAATTGAGAGACGTGCGTACCATGTGAGAAGTCCCGTTGGCTTGGAACTTGGTGCTCTGCAAGAACGACGGAGCCCCGTGCGACGAGGGCGTGCAACTGTCCGAATGGCTTGATTAGCACGTTCCCTTTGCCCAAGTCGGTGATACATACCAAAGACATGATGGAGTGACAGCGACAAGGAGCGGCGTCTGAGGTAATTCCGACAGCGGAATATTCCCACGCTCCTTCCACGACAACCTTTTAGCCTCCGTTGAACACACACCCATTCCAAGTTGCAAACCATGGTGCGTCGCCCAGCCCGTCCTGCGTCCAACACCTCAGCTCAACTCCTTCTAGTCTGACTCTGACAGCTCGGCACGTCCAAGCGGAAAGACCAATGCCGTAGCAAAGCCTCCAGGCGCCCAGATTCGGTGCGTCGGTATTTCGCAATATGGCGGCATTCTTTCTGAGTCTGACACAACTGTATAATTTTCAGTCGGCGTGCTGCTGGCAGTCAGGTAGCGAAACCAAACTCGACGCGTGCAGCTGGAGCAGGTGGATCCTCGGGGACAATGCTAAAGCTTTACACGGACGATTCGCCGGGTCTCAGGGTGTTGAGTGTCTTCTTTCTTTCTTAATGGATTAGTCCCCCGCTTCTGACATGCTCCGACAGTGACCCATACGTGGTTTTGATACTCTCGCTGGCGTTCATTGGCTCCATCTTTTTCCTCCATATTTCTGCCAAAATTATACGGTCTCTGACCAAGTAGTAGTGTTTCCCCATTTATATATTTTTGTATGGATTCCGTATTCTGCATAGGGGCTATTCCGCCGCGTGGCACCTCACAGTACCTGCACACGCGCTCCCCCTCACAGCATGTCCCTTTTTTCTGTGAAAGTCTGAGTATCGGTCTTCCCTTTTTTTATCTGGCCGGGATGGACAGTAGTCCGACGAAATACGTTTATTGCAACGACTTGCCCTCTGTGGCGTACGCTACACGCATCCTCGCACTTTCCCCTGTCCTTATCATCGACTGTGAGGGGAGAAACATCGGTGGACTCGATGGCGCACTCTCGCTCATGTGCATCGGCACAGAGAAGGCAGAATACATATTTATGTTTGACGTCCTCGCTCTCAAACCATTCAAGTTCCGTCTCATGCCCCTCTTCTGCGTCCTCGCCAACTCGGCAGTCAAGAAAGTCATGTGGGACTGCCGCAACGACTTTCTCGAGATACTGAGCGAATACGACGTCATGCTGACCAGTATCCTCGACCTCCAGCTGGCCGAGATTCAGGCCCGCACGGCTGTGAACAAGGAAAAAGACTTCCAACGCATACAGCGTTTTTCATGGGGCAGTCGTGCCGTGCCACTGCGTACGATCAAGCAGAACCAAGAGCTTTTCTTGGGAGTACACCGTCTCCAAGGCATGGATGCCTGCATTCGCAAAGCTAACCTTCCCACCACAGGGAAAGACCGTACGTATAGTCGTGTGATCTCCTGCAAACACTCGGGGCTAATCTATTTACCCGCCTCGTCAGCCCAAGTCGTCGCCATGCACAAAGCCGTAGGTTCTGCCATATGGCTAGATCGACCTCTCCCCCCTAATCTCTTAGCATACGCCGCCCACGACATCGAGATGATTGCAATGTTGTACGAACACTTCAAAACGAACTCATGGATTACGTCTGCTAACGAGCTACTGCTCGTGGCTCAGAGCATGCGCTATGCATATTCACTCTTCTACCAAGGTCGCGTAGCCGACAACGACGTCTTTGGGCCGTGTGCAGTGTTACCGTTGGACGTACTCAGCGAATCTCGTGGACCCCATTTCCAGTGTCATGGCTGTCACCGGATGCAGTCGCTATCCTGCTATAGCGTTAGGAAACAAGGCAAGAAGCCTCAGGCGAGGTCGAACATTTGTCGTACTTGTCAGATCAAAGCTTTGTTGAAGGAAACGAAATATCCTATTATTTGGGTGGCTGTCAGTGTCCCTGAAATCAGTTTATCATGTTCTTTTCCACTGACACGCGTATTGGACTCTAGGTGTGATCGTTTGTGCTCTGTTGGGTTGTTGTAGGGTGAGATACCATATCTGGGTTTCCGCGTTGGGGTGTTACCACCAGTCTTTTCGGAATTGATTCCTCTTATGTCGCTCTGTCTCTGTCTCTTCCTGTGTAGCATGTGAAGCTCCTGTAATATTCCATATCATGTACAGTAGCTGAATAGACAGTGTGCCAATATTAGGTCCCGTGCCTAATCGAGGTAGATCTGGTTAATTGGTTCCGTCCACGAGTTGTCTACGAGTTCCGTCCCACCCCAATCATTCCATTCTGCCACTGTGAACAGCACATCTGTGGTATATTCGATGCCTCCTGAGGGCTTGAAGGTCATCGTTCGTGCAACATCAGGTCTACAGAATGGTTGTCCTCACAGTTTTGGCTGGGTCATTTTTTTTTGCCAGACCAAGCACATGTCATATACACGTAGATGCCAACTGATCCGCTCTTGTTTCCCCGCGTTATAGTGGAGAATAGGTGTCTCGCGATATGCGTATAAGTTACTACGCTCGTCACGCTCGCAGATTCAGGCGTCGCGTACCTGTCTTTGGTCTGGGTCAGCGTTCCGGCGTCACACCCGCATTCACGCTCGTGCTGGTGTTCGTTCGGCGGTTTCCCGCGTTGGAACTGTTATCACTTTTCTCTCCGTCGGAACAACCCAGATTTGAGCCTATTCCAATCCCAGCACTCGAACCCACCTCCGGACCCGCCGACTCATGCATGAATCAGCCAGCCACTGTACTATGGTTCCATGGACACTTAGGTGAACGGATGGGTATTGGGCCTGTGGAGATGGAAAGGTAATCCTGCGCACTTTCGAATTGTATGCGTTTGTACAGGATTATTCGATGTGTACACACATTCGAGTTCACACTCTGCCTGGCACCTGGAATCGAGTTTGATGTCGCAGTCGACCATCGAGCCCTCAGAGGACTCCCTCGGCCGCGACTATCATATATGAGTGTTGTTGTCATCGCTAGTCTCGTCCTCCACATTCTCATTGTCATGATTCCCTCGCCAATGTTGCCCTCGACCGCGCCCGCTATTCATGGCCACCAGGGCTTGGTTCGCATCCTAGCCAAGGAGGGGTATCACGCATCGTCTCTACTCGTGCACAACGACGTGTCTATGTTGTCGAATCCAGTCCGGGTGCACCCACGAACGTACCTGGATCGTCCTTTTCACCCAGACCGCGACCGCCGCTCGACAATGACTAGGCAACAGCCATCGACGGTCGCGCATGAGCGCCATGAATCTTGTTTTTACCTACATATACCTCGTGCTTGACATTTGGGCCAGGCTCTGGAAAAGCAGAAAAAAAGTCAACGAAAGTGCCAAATCATGAATGGCCCACCCAAAACACCGCAGGGGTTTTAAACCAGCTACCTTGCTTTGTCAGAGCAAGTCGCATAAACCTCACTCCCACGTCTCCGACAATGATGTTTGTGTCGCTATGCACCCCCTCCCTTCCCCTTCTTCTTCCGTCTTTCTGTTTTTGTGCTGGCGTTATCCCCAACGCCGATCTTTCTGGACCTCTCTGACGTCTCGAATCACATGATGTTTGCGCCCGTGACGTCCAGGGGTGCGCAGAGGGTTCTTGGTAAGTAGGGGACGTCATTTCGCCGCGTGATATCATGAAACGCAGCGGGCGCAGGACGCGCGCTTCCCCTCCTTGTCCCTGTCTCTGTGGTCTTTGAGAGACTGGGTATACTCTCGTCGTCGTTATCTGGCCGGGATGGACAATAGCCGAACGAAGTATGTTTTTTGCAACGACTTGCCCTCCGTGGCATCCGCTACACGCATTCTTGCACTTTCCCCTGTCCTCATCATCGACTGTGAGGGGAGACTGATTGGCACACTCACTGGTGCCCTCTCCCTCATGTGCATCGGCACTGAGAGGGCAGAACACATATTCATATTCGACGTCCTCGCTCTCAGGCCGTTCAAGTCTCATCTTACGCCCCTTCTCTCCATCCTCACCAACTCACAAATCAAGAAAGTCATGTGGGACTGTCGCAATGACTTCCTCGAGATACAGAGCGAGTATAATATCACTCTAACCGGTATCGTCGATCTCCAACTGGCTGAGATTCAGGCCCGCACGGCCGTGAGGGGGGAATCAGATTTTCAACGCATACAGCGCTTTGCACGGGGCAGTGGTCCTGCGCTACTGCTTGCGCTCAGGCAAAACCGAGAGCTTTTCTTGGGGGTACATCGTCTCCAAGGCATGGACGCTTGCATTCGCCTAGCTGGAGTTCTCGCCACAGGGAAAGACCGTAGGTGTTGTGTGGCGTGGTACATTTGGCATACTTACCCCTCGCCAGCCCAAGTCGTCGCCATGCACAAAGCCCTTGGTTCATCCATATGGCTGGATCGACCCCTCCCCCCTAAACTCTTGGCATACGCCGCCCACGACATCGAGCTGATTGCGGCGTTGTACGAACATTTCAAGAAGAGAGCGTGGGTTACACCCACTTACGAGCCGCTTCTCATGGCTCAGAGCATGCGTTATGCATATTCACTCCTCCACCAAGGTCGCGTAGCAAAGGACGACGTCTTCGGCCAGAGTTCAGTGTTGCCGTTGGACGTGCTTAGTGAATCTCCTGGACCCCAATTTCAGTGTCGTGGGTGCCAAAGGATGCAGCCGCTATCCTGCTACAGCGTGAGGACACAAGCCGAGAATTCTCAGGCAAGGTCGGATATCTGCCGTACATGCCAGATCAAAGTTTTGATTGAAGGAAGCGTATTTTCCCGTTTCTTGGGTCGTTGTCGGTGGGTCCAAGATCAATCTGTCAAGTTCTCCCGCACTGACCGGCGTGTTTAGGTTGAAACCCAGATGTGATCGTTTGTGCTCCTTTGGCTCTATTGGATTGCTAAAGGGTGGGATATCATCGTTTTCACGTTCCGGTATTGCCGCTATGTAGTCTTCTCAGAATTGATTCCTCTTATGTTGCTCTCTCTGTGTTCCCAGATGCTGCCTCAGATTCTTGTGCACTGTATGTAGTATATGGTGCTATATTGCACGACTTGTATTCCTCCATACCATGTACAGTAGCCGAATGTGTACCAATTTTAGGTTCCGTACTAACCCCTAATCGAAGTGGTTTTCCACGCCGACAGAGTGTTCATCATGATTCCATGTTTCACGGGTCCCGCCCCGCCTGGCAAGATGATTCCATCCTCTCCCGCTATGAATACCGCAAGATCCATGGTCTATTCGATGCCCGCTGAGGGCTTGAAGGTCATGATTCAGTACAACCCTCTCAAGTTTGAAAGACCACCCAAGAAGGATATCATCAGAGTCGTTATCGACGACCTCGAGCACCTCAGGGTCCATCTCCCTACTCGGAAGAATATCCGGCGTCGAGGAGATAAGTGGGTAACCCTGCATTGGCCAACGTCTCGTAAAACCCTTGGAAATGTGCGTGGAGTTTCACGGTGGTCTCGACAAGATCAGGGTTGGCTAATGCATCAGCCTGTTCGCACGCGCACACACTCAATCTCATGGTATCGACGGGGAAAATATCTCGTTCTGAATAGAATTCGCTATACTCGCGTTGGATAAAGTTATGCCGTGGCGACGAGTCCAGACAGCTTCTGGAGAGTCTCTTGATGTAGGTCCTTCATCTACCATGCAGTGCAGTGGAGCAGCAACGTGTCTGTTTACCACTTCTAACTGAACTCGCACACCGCCTTCTTTGGCCCATTAGAGAGTCCCTCTTAGTTGTAGACGGGTAAGTCATTAAGTTAGTCCGTTTATTTCCCATTTATCTCCCTGCATATGGATGCATCATATTATGTGGGCGAACTGACACTGCCCCCTCCGTTCTCGTTCAATGGCGTCAGGTTTCGCATTATCGCTTCTACCGCCCACGATGGGAACAAAGCTACACAGCAACCGGTTCGCGTATGTGTTCCAAGTGTCATCCTGTGCAGGAATATCAATACTTATAACACCCCACTTTCAAGACGCCAACCACTATCCTACCAGGGTCGTCTGCTGTACCTGCTGTGTCCTCTGGCAACTACAGTGTGAGCGGCCAACATCATTCTTTTATCGTCACCCTCATCCCGACTCAACGCAGCCTCCGAAAGCAATGGGCCCTCCGATTCCACGAAAGAGGCGCTTGAGCACCCCCGACTCTCCCACCTACTCAACACGCCAGCGGTTGGACAATAATCCAACGACAACGGGCATATCCATAGGACGATATGCTCTTGAAGACCAAGGGTAATAGTCCCGCCAAATCACATCCGGAAAGCATATCCGATAAGATTCTTTCTACGATCCAATCAGAATCGACGACGGCGACGCGTCATCCACGCCAGCATAACCACAGCGCTCCCTTTCATTCGTCCTCTCCACAACAAACAGCGGCAGCAGACGTCGATCCTACGACGGCGGTGGCGGCAGGCGAACGTCGATGCTGTGCTGAAGGAGAAGAGTTTGGCTGTGGTGTCCATTATAGCAATTCTGGGCAGTCGGCGACAGAGAGGGTCCGCCTTCTGTGGCGGGACGTGTTGGAAATTCGCAGGCAGCAAATGACGTTGCGAGACAAGGAAGAGGTTCTCTTGGACGAGATGGAGAATCTGAGTGGGAAGCCGCGGCCTCCCAGTAGCACAAATTCCCAGCTTCGCACTACTAGTTCAGCTACTGGTAAGTCTTATCTATCGTATCTAGGCGATACGTTCCGGACTAGGCTGATCTCATGGCAGAGAGGCAACTAGTTGAGATGGAGGCAGAGCTGCGAGAGGAAAGGGATAGACGAGTACGAGCTGAAAAGGCTCTCGAGGAGGTCGAACGGGAATGCAGATCGCCGTTCGTTGTTCCTGCGTTGTTCCGGGCATTCATGACGATCTCTGAACTCTCCCCTTGACCTTTATCGGTCTCTGCGGTCCTCTTCCCCTCGACGAACCCTTTCTGGCTACCGGCTGCTGATGGAAAGATACGAGCGTTAGAGCAAAGACACTAGGACGCACACGGTGAAGTGCTGCCACAATCTATCACCACACGCGCTTGATTAGAGAGTCGGAGTTCTTCCTATTCGTTGCTGCACAACGTATTCCACGGATAATCAGTTCTTGTTGTATACATTGTACCATATTCAAGGAGCCCAGTCGCATGGTAACGCTGTATGATGTATGTCGTGCAAAGAGCAGTGATGGGCCCGGTGTAGAGGCATCGTGTACACTTTTACAACGGTGGGACTCCTCCAGAGAATGTGCTGGATGGGGTGGGCATGCATTCTGCAGGGATGTTGAACGCATTTGGTGGTGGTACAGGGGGTCGACGACGAGGCTACAGGAACCGGTGACGCTGTGAATTTGGACCCGAACGAGTCTCTCAACGACGCTTGGCTTGGATGGCACAGGCAGACACACCTCCTACGTGGATCATCACGACTAGTGTTATTTTTCAGACAGCTGTGGCTGGACGAGGACGACGCCCAGTCAAACAGTCCTTCGAGTTTCCGACAGTACTACTCCTGCAGTCAAAAGTCATGTGCTAGAGACCACCTTCCGTCAAAAATAAGTAACCATCGCAATATAGGGGTGTCGGACGTCGAGCAACTAGTCGTTCGGCTCTTGAAGGACAGTAATTCCTCCCTCACATAAATGTGTGCAGATGGGAAAAGGGACGATGTCGATTAGGGATCTTGGTGCGATCACACAAGTAGCCGATCTGCTACATGTTGGAGACAACCAGAACAATAAGACGTCATGGAAGATCTTCGAATCGATCAGAGCACCTGGCCACCCACCAGAGCGGATACCACCACTCGCTTGAACAAAGTCCAGCGCATGCGACCCCACCACGATGTGAAATTCCGAGCAGCGAGCCACGGCATCACCCGTTCAGGTCCCTCCATTTCCAAGTACTCCATGAAATCCGGATAGATCATGTTTCGCGGGTTTAGGTCTTGATGGACCAGATCGCGTTCGCAAGGTGGGGAGAGCAGAAGCTGTGGGAGGGGTGGGCAGTTGGGCAGTCGGACCTCCACAAGCCACCAGCCGAGATAGTCGCAGGAAAGAGAGGGCGAAGGTTGTGGCAGGGACCATTGATCCTCTGGATCCACTTTGAGTGAACCGGGCCGGAGCGTAAGCCCTCAGTCTCCTCGAAGTAACGGTGCGTACAGCGGATACGAACGACCTAGGCTGCCAAGTGATGCGGACGTCAAGCAAGGCTTCGTTGAACTCTGAGTCCAGCTTGGAAGATGCCATGCTGGTGGCAGACATGTCACGAAGGAAGTGAAGGACACACGCACCAGGATTATATGCTGGGGGGACAATTTCTTGGTGGTTAATGTTAAGTCTTTGTTGGGTTGTTGCTAGTAGCTCCCAGTGCGCGGTCCCGCCTACTGCCCGCCGCCGACCTGTCCCAACTCCGATCATGCATGGGGTACACGACCAGTTTGATGCGGCATGCCCCCATGCAACAGGCTCATGACGCCCACCCATGCGTTAATCACACCAAAGCTGTTCACGGCCATCCGAGCGTAGAATAAGGTACGGCTCACCCAGCGCACAGCGAGTGCGGTGGGCCCGCAACGGTTGCGCAAGCATGTAGATGATCAACAACGATTGCGACGTTGTAGATCGGGTCGACGGGGACGAACGTCAGTGTGGGCACGAGCACAAGTCGTTGTCAGGACCTCGTACCTTGAGTTTTGGGTCTTGTTTGCTCTCTGGCAATATCTCTATGTTGCTAGCGAGTCGTGCGTGGACAAGGCAGTTGAGATGAGAACACTTCCAATGCAACAGTCGCGTGCTCTGAATAGATGAGACCTCAAACGCTCAACGTTCGTCATTCTTAGAAGCTCAGGTACTACAAACTCGTGGACAAGGACAGAGTAAAGTGGTTATACGGGTACATGGGTGATAGTACAACAGAAACTCAAACTAGTGCATGACTGCAAGCATGTCTGGATTCATACCTTGAATATGACAAACGGCTCATAGAAGAAAGGGAAGCATAGGTCCACCTGGTTTGTATAGATCGGATGCCAACTCTCATTTAAAAGAACCTGTGGGTTATTGTCTTCACACTGGAGACCGAACCTTGCGTCAGTTCGCCCTGTTGTATGTAATGGACTCGTCGCAAAATCATAAACCAGCTCAGAAACCGCACCCAGCGGATCGAAGCAACCCCGCATGATACGAGTCGCTGTGATATCATGCACGGGGCCGAATTCTCTCTAAAAATAGCGATACCAATGTCAATATTGTAGGGCTTGTGCACAGGAAAGAGTCCACCCACGTGGGGATTCTGGATGGCATCGCGAAATAGCGAGTCTTCATATGCGAAACACACTTCACCGAGCAGTAAAGTTGGTTTTGTAGGAAATTTCTCCTCCGGCGATGTAAAATATCTGTAGAAATCATCTTTCCACAAAGCCAGTTTGATGGAGACGGGTGGGCCCGATGGGCCGAAACGGCACGGGAGCGGGGTTTCGAAGTGTAAGCGGGAGTGAACACAAGGTCGGAGGAATGTGCGACATTGAATGCCACGATTGGTCATGACCCATGGATCATATCGGTCCCTTCGTATGTAGGGCATCAACCAGAGCTGGGGCATCTGAAATCTGTGGTGTCGAAGGTATTCGTCGGGAGTTATCAGCTCCATATTTTCACAACCACGGAAGAAGCTTGGGTCATCAGCGAGGATGCTGCCACTCCGCTGACTGTCTCTGTGGAAACCCCATGCAAAAATGCTCCCGTCGTTCGCCTTGCTGACGAACTCCAGCTGAAGACGTCGGAACGCTTCCTTCCCCTCTCCATACATTACTGGGATATTAACACCCAGCAGACCGAACAGGGAATACACTTTGTCTTCGACTTCACTCGTCGTCCGATCGGCGGCCCATGACATGATCTGGGCAGCGCAGGGACGATTATTGGAGGAGAACCTATCCGCCAATATATGTTGTGGGACTCGAGTGATGCGAGACAAGGTAGGTGCAAGCGTCCTCTTGTCACCTAAGGCCTTCCAGTCCTTGTTAAAGAACCGGACATCCGCTGGGGCTATCATCTCCTGTAGGGTCCAGCCACGGGAGAACCACACTGGCCAGCCCTTGGAATCGGGGTACCTCCTCTCGCTACTTGCAGTGGGAAAGGACAGGTCGGTAATGTCATGGAGGTACAGCGTAGCATACGCTTGAGTTTTCATACCACCGGTACATGGATTTGATCGACCTGGAGAGCTCGGAGATGTCTGGCTTGTTGATACAGCAAGTGTCGATCCACAACCATTTATACCCGTCCCTCTGAGCTTGCTCACAGCTTCTGATGATTTTCTTGTAGCCAAGGCGCTCACGAATTTCGTTCTGCTTGGCCTCTTTCATCTCTGCAAGTTTGGTACATCTCCTGATAGTCGACTTCGGCACCCTCTATCCACCGATGGGATATGATCGCATACTTTGTGGCTTCATCATCACCAGGCTCGAAGACCTTGGTTCGACTGTCCACTGGCTTCCCCTCTCTAATCAATTTCTCCCTTTCAAGAAAGCCGTTTACGTTGATCAGGCGTATCCTACACAATTCCACGCGTGTCAGTCCCAAACCATCCTCGACAATGGTGAATAGTATCCATACATCGTGCAATTGAATTGGCGACCACCTGACTACCAGGCCACAAATGCTTGAGGTATACGTGAAGATGTAGCGATATCAGTTGGATTGGTAGTCTTTAGTTGGACCTCTTATATGCATCACACGAAGGGATTCATCAGCTTGGACCCTTAACGCAACGTTCCAACCCCAACGATCTCCATGCCGCAGCCATGTGAACCAATGGCAAGTTACTCATACAGCCTGTTACGTTCTTGCTTATCGATCTAATAGTATTGATCCATCTGATCACTGAGGGCGGCTTCCAATACAATGAGCTTCTGAAACCCTTACCATTTGCGATGAATCTGATTTGTGCTTGGAATGTGCAATACTGATGGGGCCATCGAAAGACGCTCAATCTCGTTGAGGCCTTCATGCGCTGAAGGTTCTCAATTCAGCCTTCACTGCATCTCTGGTACACTTCTTTCGTTCGTTCATTGGTCCAGCATGGTTACACGTGTGCAGTACTTCCAGACGCGCAGGATCTCAGGTGGATTTGGGTGCAGTGCAGCTGCTGGGGCGTAGTTACAGCAAGTTCATGCCAAAACTCAAACGAGCGCTTCTATTTAATTTCAATTTCGGAACGTTGCCAGTGAACAATGTATTATCTGGCTCGTATTACTGGGCCTGCTACTGTCTACTTTGTACTGACAGTCTACTGGTGAATTGAAGTTGAGCCCTTGAAGCACTGGAGTACCAAGCGCCCCATGCTGGATACTTACTAAAATGAGTTATTCCGCAACTAAATGAAAAGCGCTCATTGGAGTTTTGATCTATCCATATATTGAACCTTGCTGTATGACTTCTAGTAGCTCCGATGGTGGGCTAATCACAATCAAAGTGGCGACTTCAACACCAGCGGGCCCGCCAATCCTCATTCCACAGAGCCTTGACAATACAGCAATTCATATCGATAGACCACAACTAACCAAAATTCAGACGAGCGCTACCCCTTGTTTGTATTATCAGGCGCCCACCATCCCTTGCTCGCATTACTGGGATGCTCTGCTACCGTCTACTAAGACTACAGGCAGTCTTCGCCAGTGAAAAGTACCTGGGAGTGGCTGTTCGATCAATCAGCTTACTGTCACCAAATGTCGGGCCTTCCACGCAGGATAAGGATGGTGGGCATTGGAAATTCGGACCTAGTAGTTGCTCCTACGTAGTACTGACAAATGCCCTTCGAAGTAGGGAAAGTATGCTTGCGAGGTGAACGGAGGATTACACGATCACAGGTGTGGCCGCTTGCTACACCCTTCCGCAGACACCGGAACCCGCCACAGGCTTGCGTTTGAACAAGTGGGAAAAAGTCCACCTTCAATGTGACATCGGACGTCCTGTGCCTTCTGCTGGAGACTAAAGATAGCCTCATACTGCAATGCTTGATCAGCATGGCTACATCCTATTCTTCGCACAGCTTACCTGCTCTTGACGTAGTTAGCATTGGTCGATCCTCAACACCAGCGCAGCATCGGAGGTCAGTATCCAGTGAGCAGGCCGTACTTACTGTAACTTAAATGCAGTCGTGCCTCCAACTTGCGCTATTGTATAGGTCACCTGACATACAGCAGGAAAGCCCGGAAAGATCATACCTTAGAGATAGTAGGTGAACACTAAAACCTGTAGGTTTGTTTTTAGTTCTTTAGTATTATTGTTAAGAACATTTTACCTCCTTTCTCAACCTCATCAATGATGGGCAAAGAGTCGGTGTGATGAACTAACAAACTACCCTGCTCACAGTGTGTCTAACAGCACTTAACGCCGCACATAAACAACGCCGTGAAGCGAGTAATCCAACATAATCAAGAGGAGTAAACCATCGCCACACATAATGATCACGACGTCCGCTGTCGTTTGCAGTACCGGTCGATGTCCAGCTCATTTGAAGTGCGTTCGATGTGGTCAAATACAGTTCCAAGGGAATGGGCCAGATCTGAGGGCACGGGGCCTGCTGCCGCCGCGGATATCAAGTTGTCGAATTTGCGCCTGTGCCCCTCTAATTGGACAGCTGAGAAAAACACAGCGGGCTACGGTGCAAAAAGGACAAAAAGTCAGGAAGAAGGAAACGCTATCGTAGTACACCACGTACGTGATGTCTCTTGCAGTCAGAAGTCACGTGCCAGAGACCACCTTCTGTCAAAAATAGGTCACTATCGCAACATAGGGGCATCGGACGTCGAGCACTAGACATTTGGGTCTCGAAGGGCAGTAATTCCCCCCTCACATAAATGCATGAAAATGGGAAAAGGGACGATGTCGATGAGGGACCTTGGTGCGATCACACAACTTCTGTTTCGTACGACCTCATTTATTGATACGAAGGCATGGTCAAAACTCTATTGACCGAGACTAGTTTGGGTCAGACACTTGGCCAAATCGAGCAGTAAGTCTTGATCTCACCCGTTCAATCCTTGTGTGCCAATGTCGCATTCTCGTTTTACAGTTGACCGTCTTGGACCTCCCAAGAGAACCCGTCTAATTTTTTGTGACAGGAAGATCACCGGTCACCCACTATCCGTACGTGGCGCATCTAGTGGTAGAAAACAGCACCGACAGTAATGCGTACTAAATACCAGATCACATCGAAAGACGACTGACATTGCTGACCTTGGACGCATAAATAGATCAAAGGCAGCCCAGCTGGAATCAACACTCATGAAGCAACCGTGTTCGAGGTTTGGTGCTATCATAGCGCTCCTGACAACACTTCGGAAGGTGTGTTGTCGAGTGCGAGGCTGCCAAGGAGTGGAAAGTGAGGGTGCTGTTCCGTACAAATATAATGTACCATGGTCATCAGTACCACCAAAGAACGGGAATACAGTTGATCCTTGGTAGAAATCAGTAACGCACTTGTGAGTAAGCCAACTCGAGAATGGTGAGCGTGCCCGATTTGTCCCTGATTTTCAAACGTTTGAGTGTGGGGCTATGTGCCGGTGGGAGGACCCCGCTCTTCATTCATATCGCTGAGAACGCCCACAACAGAAAAAAATCCCACGTTGTTCAGCACTTCCGGTATGTCTGCTAACTAGGAATATCGAACTTTAGACATACGGGAATTGTGCCAACGGTTCGCGGTCGAAGAACGTCCAGAACCGCGGGTCATGTGATCCAGCATTGATCCGGATTGTGGCCTTCAGAGGTCCATCGCTACTGCAACTTCAGGGTTGGGAGTGGATCACACCTCCACCGTCATGGTACGCTAGCCAAGTTCCGCCTCAGCCGACGAATTACCGAAATTTCGTTTGCTTTCCTCTCCTCGTGAACCGGAGAAGGAAGCAACTTGGATGTCCACATAGCACGAAGACCATCGATTGCAAGGGGTCCTGCCTAAGATGATCACATCGACATTGATTTCTGGTCCTTCATGGCCGTACTACCGCCTGGCAAAAGCTTCTCGAGCTGGGCTAGCTCAGTCTGCACGCGGCCGCTATATTGAGTTCCGCATGGGCCGTCGGGCTTGAGCGCTGTTGGTAACGGGATGTCAGCTTCATGTAATAGTGCTCTTGATATGGAGAAGTTGATGTCATTCCTGATAGTAAAATCCTGAGCCCTGACTGGGACGCCTGGCAAGCTGCCTCAATACGTACCACATTATCGTTATCGCAGCCGCAATGCCGCCTTGTATATGAGCGCCACTGGCATTGAGAGAGACAGGCACAGCACGAACGTGTCGGCAACAGAAGAAGCTAGTCTGCACTCTATCCAAACCCCTATCAACGGTCAACGTCCGCGATATCCGAACTACCCTGGGACGACTCCCTCAAAAGCCCTACCACTGCCATCGAAAAAGCTTCGGATGCTTCGACCACTCCGTTCTACTTTCAGAGTAAGCCAACAGCCATGCCTCGTCAATTCTTTGTCGGTGGAAACTTCAAGATGAACCCGATTTCTCGGGCACAGAAGAAGATCATCGCCAACGAGCTGAATGCCGCCGATCTAGACCCCAACACTGGTGCGTAGCCACCCAACTCTTGAAATAGATGAGATAGCAAATTGTGCAGAGGTCGTCATCGCCCCTCCATCGCTGTACCTCCTTCCCCTGAAGGATATCGTGAGGGACGACATCAAAGTTTCCGCTCAGAACTGCTACTGCAAAACATCCGGAGCGTATACCGGCGAGATCAGGTAAGACGGAGCACTTCGCTGCAGCGTACTCGTGTTTCAAATACTCTTAGCTCTGCACAGCTCGCTGATGCCGGTGTTCCCTACGTGATCATTGGTAAGGGTTAGTTCTCCAGCCACGCCATGCCGTTTAACGCCAGTTCGTACACAGGCCATTCCGAACGCCGAACTCTCTTCCATGAATCGTCAGAGTTAGTCGCCCAGAAAACGAAAGCCGCCCTAGATGGAAGTCTATCGGTCATCCTTTGTGTCGGAGAGACCTTGCAGGAACGTGAGGCGGAGAAGACTACTCAGGTCGTCGAGAGCCAGCTGCGGGCAGTTGTTACCGTTCTGAACGAAAGAGACTGGGAGTTAGTTCCTTCTTGCGCTCGTCATTTTCTACAGTGCTAACGACACGTAGCCGAGTCGTGATCGCTTATGAGCCAGTGTGGGCAATAGGCACAGGGAGAGTCGCTACTGCCGCTCAGGCTCAGGAGGTTCACGCCCACATTCGTCATTATTTGTCAACCGCCGTGTCTGCTGCTGTTTCCGAGAACACGAGGATCATATACGGTGGGAGCGTCACAGCGTCCAACTGCAAGGAGTTGTGTAAGTATAGTGAATCGTCTCAGACCGGTCTTTAGCTCACGTAGATACAGCTACTCAGATTGATGTAGACGGATTCCTCGTCGGTGGGGCATCGTTGAAGCCAGAGTTTGTGGACATCATCAATGTGAAGAGAAACTAGACTGTAGTCCGTGAATATGTACAAGTTTTTCTTGTGTAATTGCTTATGTAACGGAGACTGCCATCCCGCCATCCAGACTTGGTTTGCCATTGTACGCTACTCTCTGTTGTCGCCGTCTTACGCGCTGAGGGTGTCCGACGACTGAACTGGGATGATCATTGACGGACCATGTTGAGATCACTGCTATTACCTCTGCGGAATATTCGGGAGCTTACTCGCGAGACTATGCAAGCACGAGGCCCTGACACGGAGTACATCCATCAAGCCCAAGTACCGCCATTGAGCCCCTGCTCGGAACAGATGAAAGATGCAGTGGAACAGCTCAAAGCAGCCGAGCTCACTGTCGGCAAAATTACGGCGAGGCCTTACACTATTCAGTCGTGTCTCCCAGTTGGGTTGAACCTTTGTAGACATTACGACGCATATACGAATTGATGAACAAGAATCGTCATGTTTTGGACGTGTTTTGCGAGTTGGATGGCTTTCCTGCTTTCATACGTATCCTTTCAACTCTTTCCGCCTCCACGTCTACTGGGTTGTCAAGTTCGTATCACGCCCAGGATATTCTCGAGTGCATGCAGTGGGCGTTTATGGTCGCTTCCGAGGCCTTGGATGGACACGAAGACAATTTGGACTTCTTTGAGGTGAGGTAGATCCACGCCCACTGCACCCCCGGCTTCTGCTCATACAATGGACTGTAGGAATTCGTCGGGTATCATGTCCTTTCGGACGCCTGCAGTGTATTTCTCATCAATCCGGCCACTTCTGAGAAGATGCTTGGATGCCTTCTATCGCTTTCCTTGCATAATTTCGGCCTTGTAGATGTGTTCGGCTCTTTGGTAGAATGCCGGGACCTTGCGGAACTGGATGTCAGGTTCTTGGAGCATACACCTTCGTTCGGCACATCACCATCATTGCGAAGTGAATGGGATTGTTGCAGATGGTGATGGTGGCCCTCATGATGTGCATGTGCCTGGAGGACAGTCATCTTCGTTGGTAGTGCTGCCAACTCATCTGATTCTGCCACAGGTTCAGGCGTAGGCCCAGTTGCTACCACTGTCGTCGTTGCCTCCTCGAACTGACACTTCAGAACCACAACCACTGCAACCACAGCCGCAACCGCAACTGTATCCCACCGTTCAACTCCCCATCCTTGGATCCGATGAGGACGTGACAGCACGAAAGGCTCAAGAGCCTATCGCTGCCACCACCTTCGGTGAGGTAGAGGGCCATCGTCCCCTGAGCAGACTAACAACGTCGACGAGTGGGTCCAGGTCACCGATGGGTTCGAGAAGCTGGGGACCGACCTCGCACGTGTAGAAGGACTCGCGGAAGTCGAAGTCGACGTCGGTGATCTGAGCAGCGTCGTGGGCAGCCGTACTGGAGGTAGACTTGGGGAAGACGCCAATCCAAATGGTGACAGCACCGACGACCGGTTCCTTGGCCTCGCCCTCTTCTTTACCCTAGGGCATAGTAGGACTGAGCCTCCACCTTGGAGACAGCGTGCGGATCAGGGGTGTAGGAACTGAATGCAGTACTTCCCAAGGAGAAGGTCGACGCTGGCGGGGAGATAGTAGCATCCTTGCCATCAACAGAGCTCTGAGCCTCCTCGTAGCTCCTAGCAAGGCGAATGCAGCCCTCGAGGTCTTCGGCAGAAAGCACTAAACAAATAGAGGGAAAACGAGATGGTTAGTATGAGATAATCATAAAGAAACCAACTTAGGGACAGACTGGTATATGAATCCAAAAGTCAAAAATGGCAGATCTATTAAACGTTTACATAGCATCACGTGCTCAACACGCGCTCAGCGCTCAGTGTTGGTATCTAATTAGGTCGCGGTGGCCTTCCATCCATGTTCGTCAATGGACAAGTGACTCCAGTGGGAGATGTCGGATTCGACTATATGATGCTTTACTCTGCCGGAACCAGAGAAGGATTTTGGAAAAAAAAACCGCTGTAATGTACCTGAGAAACAAACTACTACGGATTGGGTACACATAACATTGAAACAATGAGGGCCATCTGTTGAGAAGATGGGATTCCACTGAGTACGAACTTCGGCGAGATTGCCCCACAATCAACACCATCGTGTTCCCACTAATGTACACCGTGATTATGACAACAGCAACCATGATGAGGAATGACGAATCGTTCAAGAATTTGGTGCTAACTGAGGGTTAAGTATAGGATTATGAATGGTATCCATGTAACTCACCTCCGTTCACGTATCCCACGTCTCTGCGTTACAGGAGATGCACTCCAAGAATCCCAACATCTGAAATGGGTAAGATAAGGGACCGGTTGGATGAAATCGGCACTTACCTTCTTAGCCTCAGCGGCGGTTTGGCAAGAGGCCCTCATGGTGGATTCACGAGTTTCTTGGAATTTTGCCAAAAGCGATTGGAATCTGACCTCTTCCAGGCGGAGTTGCTCGCCTGTCTTAAGCGTCTCTTGCTCTATCTTGTCCAGAGCCAACTTCCGCTGCCATGGCGTCAATGCCTGGAACTGCTGCTGCCACGGCGTCGCTGCCTGGGGCATCTGCTGCCATGGGGTCGCTGCCAGGGGCATCTGCTGCCACGGTGCCACTTCGAGAGTCTGCTGCGCTCGCATCGTCGCCTCGGGAATCTGCTCCCCCTGCGTCGCCACTCGGGAGTCTGCTCCTCCTGCGTCGCCACCTCGAGAGTCTGCTCCCCCTGCGTCGCCACCTCGGGAGTCCGCTCCTCCTGCGTCACCACCTTGAGAGTCTGCTCCCCCTGCGCCGCCACCTCGGGAATCTGCTCCTCCTGCATCGCCACCTCAGGAGTCTGCTGCCCCTGCCTGCACTGCTGCTGCTGCAGTGCCCTTTTGGCTGTAAATAAGCAATGAGACCGGGAAATGAATGATATTAAGTGCCTGGTAACATACCTGCTCTCCTAAGCTTGCTATTCATGGGTATCGTGGTATGACGGCTAGTGGCAGTCAGCGATTGGGAGCGGTTGTGGACTTTTCGTCGTCCGCCGAGTCTAAAGTTCAGACTCCGCTACAATGTTTTGTTCCATGTGTGGTCGTGTTTGGACTGTGGCTATGTATTCGGCTAACACACCAGCGCAGATTTCATATCCGTCACTTCGTTGACGCTTACTTCATTGTTAGCTTCTACAAAATGATTATGAAGATGGTAACTCTGTCAGGTTTGGAATCTGTCGATGCTAAACTCTATCGTGGTCTCACTTGCACTTGGAATGTAAGTCTCCATGCTTCTTTTCATCTGCGTCCTCGGTTACGTCCTGTGAGAATGATATCACGGATGTAATTCACGAAATGTTTACTACAACGAAGGAAAGTTTTGGGGAACTCCATATGATCAATTTGAAGCCAGGAGGTGCCGACATCAACGTGACAGAGGAAAACAAGAAAGAACATGTTGACCATATCGTACCACAAGGAGCAGCAAAAACGAAAATAAGACAACGCCACCTGCAACGGTTGAATATCGATAGGCCTCCAAAACTAAACAGAGAAGGAAAGAAGCAGAGCTCACCGGAGTAAAACCCTGGATCTCGGAAACCCCCCGCCCGAGCATTGATTGCGCCTGATATCGACGTACCTGCCAACATACCCAATGCCGAAAATGACAAAAGCATCCCCACACGTCAACCCATGTCAGCCATTGCCATAGGGGGAACAATGAAGAGGGAAACATAAGTCCCACAGGCGAAGCTGCGAGGATATACATTTAAATATCATGTAGTGTATTCTACTGGCAGCAGAGCACATACCCGTATATCACCGATATAGCAATCAGCTGCCCTTGACTCGAAGCGTATGGCCAAGCGAAGGTGACAATATCGACCAGATTCGTAAATGGTATCATAACATTGAGAGGACCTGCATGACATGGTCAGATTTAGATTGCAGAGAAGTGCGCAGTGTTTACCAATGTGGTCGGCGAGCAAGCTGGCAGACAACCGACCGAACCCGGATGCTGCGTTTGCGATCGCGGCGAGATAGAATGAAAAGTTGTTCGACACGCCAACCGCCGTAGCACTGACAGGTTAATAGGTGAATGCTGTAAACGAAGTTAGCTAGTCACCACGAAGGTGCACAATGGCATGACTCACCGGTATATAGTCCGAGTATACAAGCGACACCAGAATCACAATAGATAGTGTGCGCCGGGTTTCGAAACGCGGACAAGTCCAGCAGTCCACCTTTGACATTCACAGGGGGCACTCGTCTATCTGTTATCTCGTGTCAGTGCAGCAGTAGAAATCAATAAATGTATCACATTCACAAGATTGGAAATTCCGGGGTGACAAGCATCATAAATCCGAACAAGCGAACAGTCCACTTGAACCTAAGAATTTCTACACATATCCGAGTTGAGAGAAAATAGAACACACCCTATAAGAGGTATAAGGTTTTGACCTGCGACGGGGAACAGTGTGCCTCCGAGCGACGAGCCAGCAGATACTATGCCAAGGGCCATTCCTTTCTTCTTGCCAAACCAATGAGACACGACGCTAAGGGCTTGTGGGAGGATGATCCCGCTGAACAACTGTCGACGTGGGTTATGTAGCTAATTATCGACAGCCTTCGGCACTCACACCCGTGAGAAGGCCCTGTACGAGGAAAAATTGTCAATACTGTTTACATTCTGCTGGGAGGAAAGTGCACATTACAAGTCTGCAACCAGCCATGAAATAGGGAATCTTGAAGTATCCCAAGTCGAGAAGTCTTCCCGTCACGAGTGCAGGCAGAAAGGTGAATGTACCTGGATTTACCGCAGCGATAGGACGAGGGACGTGAGCGGCAGCGACGACGAGCTGAGAAGTGAATCGGGACCTGCCTGAACCGATCCTATCCATGCTCTGCGTGCAAAGTTAGTGGAATGAAGGCGTCGATGAAAGGAATGACCTCACATACTGGATGAACTTTCGTCGGGTAAAAGCACCTGCTCCTAATAATCTTGAAATATCTGCGAGCCGATGAGCAATAAGCCAGTATATTATAGCAGAGGTTGGTACTCACACCCCACATGTTGACATACCCCAAGCTGAAGTGGATGGTGAGCTCCATATGTGATGGACGCCAATGATAATCATGTAGGGTATGCTTACGTGCAAAACGTGGCAAGCATCGACCCATACTTCCGCATCTGCATCAAACCAAAGAGCACGGCGGAGAGCTACAAAAACACATACGCCACAATAACTGACCAGGCTTTGAACCCGCCATCGGGGGTGCCGCCTGCATATTTGGCGTACTTTTCAGGCAGATCCTGAAATGTTCTTCGGTGCAGTGTCTGATCGGCCCAAATGTATCAGGCTCTGGAGGGGTCAGGCCATGTTCGACATTTGGAGAAACAGGAGTCTTTCCCTCTAATGTCATTCCATCTGCTGTATAACCAAGAGACTGATGGGGCTACCATATCTTCACCAGGTGATTTATAGAAACAAGAAAGATATTCCCATTATCGTGGCAAGACGGGTGGACCGGTGGACTTGGCAAGATTCTTTTTTTTAGAAGTGACGCATTGTACGTATAGAAGGCGGCCTCTTGAGCAAAGCCCCTGTCTCGGAATCAAATGATTGGGAGGTAACCTTTGAGGGAAATGATTGTGAGGGCCGAGGACTTCCTAATCCTAGAATTCGAAAACATTCCGGGTGGACGGACTGGCAGGCCTAGATGCTGCTAAGCCCATTCCTGATGAAACAGACACTACGCTCCCCCCTTTTCGCCGAACTAGCCGGGATGAGACGAAGTACCCTGACCCAAGCATCAGCATACGCACTGATATGTATATCGAAATCATTGCCCCCCACCGGATGTGGCACAACAGTACTCCTAGAACGCACGAGGAGTCCTCCCGAAAGGACGAGTGAATCTAGTAGGGCTCAAGACGCCGGACATACGACGACCAATTCAATCTTGTCTATTCGGGGCCCCGATCGGCTCTTTGAGAATAGAGATTTTTGGAAGAATATATTTACTTCAGTACGAAAGTTGCGCGAGATGCTTGGCGTGCACACTGAAATGACGCCACAGAATTCCTGGAGCACATTCCGCTCCAATGTCCTGGGAGAGAAGTGAGACTGATTTGGTCATAGCACGAGCAATATGGCACACAGAACGCAATCCCTGGCTAGAACTCTACCTGTCGTGATCGCTTAGGAGCCAGTGTGGGCAATAGGCACAGGGAGGGTGGCTACTGCTGCTCAGGCTCAGGAGGTTCACGCCTACATCCGTCAATATTGGTCGACCGCCGTGTCTCCCGCCGTTTCTGAGAACACGTCACATCAACCAGCTGCAAGGAGTTGTGTAAGTGTTCCGAATCGTCTCAGATCGGGCTTTAGCTCATATGGACACAGCTACTCAGATCGACGTGGACGGATTCCTCGTTTGTGTGGCGTCGTTAAAGCCGGACTTTTTGGGCATCACCAATGTGAAGAGAAACTAGATTGTAGTTCGTGAATATGTACAAAGGTTTCTGCCTCTGTCTCAGGGGCTATTGCTTATGTAACCGAGACCGCCATCCCGCCATCCACAGAGACTCAGCTTGCCGTTTTACGCCACTCTTTGCTGTCGCCGTCTCACATTGGGGTGTCCGACGACCGGACTGGGATGATCATTGACGGACCATGTTGAGATCACTGCTATTACCTCTGCGGAATATTCGGGAGCTTACTCGTGAGACTATGCAAGCACGAGGCCCTGACACGGAGTACATCCATCAGGCCCAAGTACCGCCATTGAGCCCCTGCTCGGAACAGATGAAAGATGCAGTGGAACAGCTCAAAGCAGCCGAGCTCACTGTCGACAAAATTGCGGTGAGGCCTTGCACTACTCAGTCGTGTCTCCCGGTTGGGTTGAACCTTCGTAGACATTACGACGCATATACGAATTGATGAACAAGAATCCCCATGTTTTGGACGTGTTCTGCGAGTTGGATGGCTTTCTAGCTTTCATACATATCCTTTCAACCCTTTCCGCCTCCACGTCTACTGGGTTGTCAAGTTCGTATCGCGTGCAGGATATTCTCGAGTGTATGCAGTGGGCGTTTATTGTCGCCTCCAAGGCCTTGGATGGACACGAAGACAATTTGGACTTCTTTGAGGTGAGGTAGATCCACGCCCACTGTACCCCAGGCTTCTGCTCATATAATGGACTGCAGGAATTCGTCGGGTATGATGTCCTTTCGGACGCCTGCAGTGTATTTCTCATCAATCCGGCCACTTCTGAGAAGATGCTTGGATGCCTTCTATCGCTTTCCTTGCATAATTTCGGCCTTGTAGATGTGTTCGGCTCTTTGGTAGAATGCCGGGACCTTGCGGAACTGGATGTCAGGTTCTTGGAGTATACACCTTCGTTCGGCACGATTCATCTACCCCACGTCTTTAAAATTGCGTGGGACTCCATGGCCCGCTCGTTGGCCACCAGTGGTTCGATGCGCTTGCTCATATATAAAATCCTGGAACACCTCACTCAATTTTCCCATTACAACCTTACGGTGTTGGACGAGGCGAGGGTTTTGCCGCCTGTGTTCTCCCATTTTGCATCTAGTCCAACAGGGAACTCGTGCTCGGACAGTCCGTCCCCGGAACGTCGTTTGCTAAGCAAGATCCTCAAACGGCTGTTCGAGATTGGTGCGTCTACCCAGGATGTAAGACAGCTTCTGCAGTACATTGTCAAGGAGAATGGTGCACTTGATGGAGAGATGATCGAGTTCCTCCGTACGGGAATGAAGTGCTGTTGGCCACCGCATATATCACTTCAAGGGCCATCAGTCATCACAAAATGGATGGGAGATGCAAAAGCTCTTCCAGCAGCTGGGTTCACATTCACGGTGAGTTATTAAGTGGGCTCAGGTGGTCGATGCTGCACGTATTGTCGTCGTAGATGTGGGTTTGGTTTGAGGGAATGCCTCTGGAAACGCATTCACTATTCGGCGTATCATTCTTGGTAGATCCTATCGTGCAATTGAGCATAACTGCAAATGGGACCCTTGCTCTCAGAACAAAAGTCCGGCAGGAAGCTGTTGTTCTCTCAAAATCAAAGATTCCTACTGCTAGGTGGACACATATTGCAATCGTGCACTATCCGTCTCGATCTTCCGGCCCTGCCATCCGTGCGTTCTTTACTCTAGTTTGTTCAGTCATCTTGACGGTCATATTAGGTATTTTTGTTGACGGATGTCTTACTGACTCGTTGGATTGGCCATATCCCCCGCCGGACGTGATCGGAAGGGGGCAGCTTATACTTGGTGACACAACCCCGGGGCGGCCATTGAGTTGGTGTCTCGCGTCGTGTTATTTACTTTCCATCCCACTGCGTGAGTAGTTGTGACAGACGTGCTGTGGAGACATTAACGAGGGACAGACGATAATTTGATCAAGTTCATGCATGGATTAGGCCCACGTTATCATGACAATTTTCAGGACTGTAACCTCGCTCGTTTTTTTACCTACGAAGTTTCGACGTCATTGAACATGTATTTGCTGGGCCCTGCTTCAACTAGGGATGCGTCGTCTCTCAAGAGAGCTATTCAAGAAGGCGGACTTGTCAGCGAGAATTTCATCATGCTTAAAGTGGTACCGGAAGATATAAAATCTTTCCCTTGGCTCGATCCTTGCTCCTGCTCGGACTTGCGAAGTGATTCTGGTGTCAGATACCGAGGAAACGTATGTGTAGTTTTGCATCAGCCATTCGACGTCACCCTGTGGGAAGTCGGTGGTGTCCAACTTGCCCTCCGTTTGGTACACCAAGCCCAGGTCTGTGAGATTCTTGTTTTGCATTTACCTCTTCTTCACATTGTCATTTAAGACCCAGCACGAATTATCCCGTACCATTTCTATCCTCTGTGACAGTGTACGTAACAGCTGGCAGAACTCGGAAGAGATGGAAAACATAGGTGAGAATTAACTTAGTGCTACTTCGGTTGCCCTGACTGACAGAACCAGCTGGTTACGACGCACTGGCAAATATCCTTCGCTCGAAGGGTCACTTGATCAACGTGACATCCTTTGAAACGCTGTTCGAATTTCTTGGACTGAGTTTCCGTTCCCCGGAGTAAGTACCTTCGCTTTACATGAGAAACTCTGTTTGAGCTGTTAGCGTCTCAGCACTTCTACCGTCACAAATGCCATCGCATATCGAGCAATCGCCTTGGATTTCGAGCTTTGGTCGTCGACAAACTTAACAATACAGCAAGCACACCTGGAACATTTCGCATTCTTACTGCGAGCCAGTCGTCACAGACGATTCAATGCAAAAGTATGCTTATCAAAATTGGGAATCATTCGAAAGCTGGTGTTTGCGCTGCAATCGACATGGTATCCGGCAGAATCTGTCCCTCACCTCGTGAATGCAATTGTGGTCGTGATGCAAGGCCATTTCCCTCCGAGCGATGTTATAAAACCAGTCATCTCGTACATCTCGGCGCATGTTGCGACTGGTAGGTATCTTTTTGCAGTGTTGCGCGTCATTCGGTGACCTCTTTCCCCAGAACCTTCGGATCCACCGTCTCCGAGATCATCATCAGCCTTCCTCAGTGTCAACCAGCACGATAGAGCAAAACAGCTTCTTGAGGCAGTCGTATCGCTTCTGCGAATCCCGTCCGTGTATGCAAGGGTTTCCGAGTCTGTGCCACTTGCTCGTATCGTGTTGTTATGGGTCAACGAAGTTCCGTCTCCTAGCGTAGCGTGTCAAGTGCTTTCAGTGATCGGGATTAGTCTGATATTTTCGTCGTCCTTTGGGAAGAAGCTCGAGTTGTTGAGTGGGTGGAACTTGCTCAGGAAACGTCTTCCACCTGTGTGGAACGAAGACTTGCACAGAGCTGCTGTCGATTTGCTCTTGCGACCTGCCGCCGAGGCTATCTCCAGCAAGGGCACCCCACAAGGTATCAGATGTCCGCAGATTCTCCCTGTCATTTTGGTTGCTCTTCGTTGTAGCTTGCTCGTGCGCTGCGATAAACTTAATCAAGGTATGTATTTGAAATAGTGTGGGCTAGGTGATCCACTGACGCTTCTGTGCGTCTGCAGGTCCTTCGCGCCACGTAACGGAATTGATCCTGGACGACCTGAACGATCTTCACAAAACCAACCCGTCTTTCAGTCAGCTCTTTAAATCGCAAAGTACGACAGAGGTGCTCATCGAGTGCCTTTCTATCTTGCCGGCGGGATGTGAGAATGTCAAGATTTCCACGCAACTGACACAATTCGCTTTATTGGTCGCAAATGGTAACCGCGTATCTCATCACCAGAAACAACAGGTAATGGAATTCGGGCCTTGTGGTTGTTCGTAACTTACTCCGAGCCAGATACTCGATCTCGTGAAGCCAGAGGTCAAGGCTCCTGGACCTTCACCGAACTCTTTGTCGACCATGCTGACTGTTGTACGCGGGGAAACACTGCGCAAAGTCATCAATTGTTTAGACCAATGGAGAAATGTTATTATTGCTTCTGAGAAGGAGCGTTACCAAAAGATGGTGGTTGACTTGTAAGAAATGCTATGTTGGCGTGCGTCAGTGACTTAAAGGTGATAGGCGGGAACGGCGACGACGACTTGGTTCGATCAATGCGGGTATTTTGGACGTAGGATCTGAGCGTGATGTGTGGCCCCACTTCGTTCCAGAACGAGCGTGGCGATTGGACGAGACTGAGGGCCCCTATAGAATGCGGTGCGCCGAAGTTCATCCAATGTGTACCCTTACTGAGAAGTGTTTAGCATCAAGCTGGAACCTGTGGTGGAAGCGCCGCCGGAAAGTCGACAAAGACGATCGCCCAGTATTGCAGGAGAGCCGGAAGCATCATCCACGGCACAGTTAGAACAAATGGCTGATGACGCTGCCGATGATTACGGTAGTAGTGTTGGCTATGCATCTGCGAAATCTCACAGTTGTTCTTAGATTCCCAGGCATTGGCAGAAGACATCGTCGAGGACAAACATCGTAGGGTGAGGCATGAGCTCGAACCTGGAGATGTCATCGAGGCTCTGGGCACCGTGGCTCGCGTCTCCGGAGTGGATTCATGGCGTGTGTATGCTTTCTGGATTCACGTCTTCCCTGAGATTAACTCCCTCGGTAGCTGGCCTTCTTATTTTCGGAAAGAGTCATCTCTATATGCTGGAAGGACTAGTGGAGAACGAGTCTGGTGAAGTGATCAACGCCGTGGATGCCCCGAAAGATATGTTTTTCGTATCGGGGAGCACTTCCCAGCTACGAAGTGGCCAGCCTGCACTGCGATGGTGCGCTTCAAATATTTTTGGGATTCACCACAACCTTATATATCGTCTTTGACAGGAAACTTGGGCACATAGTCGGATTCTCTAACCGGACATTCCTTTTCAGAGACATTGCGTAAGTGTTCTCCTGTTTTCTTAATACCTCATTGCCAACGCTTGGGTCACAAGCCTAGAGGTGCTCTTCAAAGACAGTCGCACCTTGCTGGTTGTCTTCTTAAGCACCTCCCAACGCCACGATGCATCTCAACGACTACAAACAATTATTTTGCACCATAAACCACAAGAACATCAATCTGCTTTCAGCCTTATTTTACGAGACATGAGCATTGCATTGCCTGGGGGAAAGGCTTCGAATGTCAACATGTCACATGAAAAAGCATTGGCAACCGCACAGCAACAGTGGCAAAACAGAACAATTAGTAATGTACCTCATCCTTATTAGCGCGGTTGTTCGCCTGCTAACGTGGCGGGTGGTAGTACGCATACATCAGTATGCTCAACCAGCTTTCGGGTCGCACGCCAAACGACGCGACCCAGTATCCCATCTTCCGTATGATTTCTCCGTGCTCGGGATTTAGTATGATAGCTGAGATCTTCGGCAGCTTGGGTCCTGCAAGACTACACATCAGAGACTCTCGACCTCTCGTCGCCCAATTCATTTAGGGAGTATGTCAATTTTTAATGTTCTCTACGTTCGCTCATACTTGAGCATGTTCTCAGCTTGACGAAGCCAATGGGGGCGCTCACGGATACACGGCGGGAGATTGCAAAAAGCCGCTACGATAACCTAGAGAGCGTAGGCGAGAAGCCATTCCACTATGGCACTCATTTCAGTTCGTGCGTAGTATCGTTCCTGTCTCCCTGTTCTGAGAACCCTGAACATTTGTAAGGTCCATGATTGTGTGCCATTACCTAATTCGATTGGCACCTTTCACAAACATGTTCAAAACCCTCCAGGTGAGTGTTTTTGATTCCTTCGTATCCATTCGCATAATGCCATTCATTAGGGTGGGGACTGGGATCTGCCAGACCGACTATTTTCGTATGTTTCCTGCTGTACCCTGACTCGCTGTCGGGGGTTCTGACCAGTTCACAATAGGGACATAAAGAGATCCTATCGCTCCGCATCACAAGACGTGAGAGGAGATGTCCGAGAGTTGATACCAGAATTCTTTTCATGTCCAGAGTGAGCGCCTCCTTTTTCGTCCTGGAAGGGCTATGTCTAAATGGTAGACATACAGATTTCTTGAAAATTTGTCTCGTCTCGATTTTGGCGTTTCGCATAGTACGGGAGAGAAAATTGACGACGTCAAGTTGCCTCCGTGGGCAAAAGATGACCCACTCTTCTTCGTTACCTTACACCGACATGTGATTATCAAGTGGTTTGCACGACCACAGGCACATGCTCATTTGCTCAACAGGCACTAGAGAGTCGCTATGTTAGCGAGAACCTCCCAGCGTGGATAGATCTGATATGGGGATGCAAGCAGCGCGACGTCGAGTCGTTGAATGTCTTCCACCCCCTGAGCTATGAGGGGGCTATTGGTATTCACCTGTCATATGAGTGCACCGTTGGCCTGATTGACGTTCGACGCAGATCTCGATAGCATCACTGACCCCCTAGAGCGAGAGGCAACGATTGGTATCATCCATAATTGTGAGCGATATTTAACTGCAACCATCGCGAAGGTCGATTGACAGGATTGGCAGTCGGCCAAACACCTCGCAAGTTATTCGATTCTCCACATCCCTCAAGAAACTTGAGCGGCACATTAAGCCTTCCGGTGAAGGTGAAGAGGGGAATTTGCGAGGATGCGCTGGCTTTGACAAGAGATGCGCATCTGCTTAAACGTAAGTAAGGGTATTGCCTTTGCTGTCACTACGTTCACCGTTCATAGTTGGCTTTGATGGCCCTGTCTCTCACATTACAATCGACTCAAGCGGGAAGGTGCACCCAATGTCACATGGAAAATTGCTGCACCCCTCCCGCAGCGATGACGGGGTTCGATGGGATCACGGCCGTGGAAGCGGGATATTGCAGGCATTTTCCCGAGGGACCGTACGAGTTTTCTCTTTGTCCTTTGTGAATCCACTGACATTCAAGCTCCAGATCGTGCAAACCATCGAGTCTATCCACCCAACTTGTGCTGCTTTCGCTGACCCAGAAACTCTTGTTACCGGATCGGTGGATTCCATCGTACGAATCTGGTATGTCTCCTATGGACAGAGCTCAGGGGGCTCGTCCTTCACTGGAAATGTAAAACATCGGAAGCGTCGGGAGCCGGTATTATCGCTTGCTCACCTGCTTCGTGGACATAGCGGACCAGTGTCATGTGTTCAGGCGTCCAGAACCTGGTCGGTTGCTGTTAGCGGCAGTTCTGATGGAAGTGCGGTCCTGTGGGATTTGAATCGAGGGACGTACGTACGGTCGCTATGGCACGTTGAGGCTAATACTCCTTCGGAGAGTGCTTCTGTTGATCTTGTAGCGATCAATGAGTCTACGGTACGTTGGCGAGGTGATCGTGACACATCAGTTAATCTTGTAATAGGGGTGTATCGCAACATGCTCCGCTCGTTATCTGTGGCTTCATACCATCGCTGCGAGGCCAATTACGAAACTTGACCTGTCGTTGACATGCGACCCCACTTCTCAAGTTTCGTCTATCGCATTCCACGAGCGCGAGTACTCCTCGCTAGGCGTTTTGGCCGTGGGAGACGGACAGGGTTCCGTGACACTCTACACCTGGAATGCAGACGGGGCTCCTCAAGGCAAGAAGGCTCAATGGGAGTTCGTGGAGGTACGGCGTCTTTCGCCAGACCCTAGCTCATCTGCAGCCGTTACAGCTCTTAAATTCTCTGGGTACGTACGCCTCGTACTCGAGCTATTTCGCTATCCATGTATTAATGAAGCATTTGAATAGTGAAACATTGTGGGTCGGGGACGCCTCCGGGAGCGTGTTCCGTTGGGCTATACCTGACTGAAATACTGTTGAGAACTCCAATGTTGTACGTCCCCACCGTGTGGCATACCATAATGACAGATGTAACATACCATGGTTGACGCACTTATGAAAAGGGCAATCGCTTGCCGCATACATACAGGAGTGTCCCTTTTGTACGAGTACTGTCAATACACTGATCGTCAATTGCCTATTTTTTTTTCCGGACCTTAACCCCAGCTCGGCTGATTCCTACCCATTGCAAGTTAACAGTCATTCAGTTAGAGACTTGATCCTTCGCCATCCCTAACCAAATCCCAGTGAGAAGGTTTCAAATCTCAGCAAAAGTCAGCACACACCCCAGGTATATCCTCTTGAAGTTCTACATTGATGTTCTGCACGTCGACTCTGGCCGGACTGCCACCTGGAGCCACCTCATAGAGTTGAGCCCAATAACGTACAATGGAATTCGGACTGGTGGCTTCCGACATTTACTAATATTTGACCCATTCCCTGTACAAGTTTGCCACATTTCGCTAGTTAAGAACGCAGAGCCTTTACAATTGATTTTGCACTATACAGGTCATTTCGTTGTACCTGAATCAGCCAATTGGCGTAATTAGTTATTACCGTCTTCAACTCCTCACTACAAAAGTACTTAGTTCTTCCAAAGAAAATGCTCAGCACTCCTCCTTTCTTGTAAGCCAGTAGGTGCCATTTACCAAATGGTGACCGCAGCACTGCACTGTTTAGTCATAAACGTCGCAAACTTTTCAATTGTCTACTGGCGCGGCGACGTACCAAATGTAGGTCCTCAAGGCCTCGCAATCCATCAGTACGGCTAGATCAAGAGACGCCGGCATTGATAGGACGCCCAATCTACATTATATTTAGGAGCCCGGGGAATCAGCTGGTCGTCATCACACTGCTGTTATCATGCCTGGTATAACTCTGCCTGCGTTTCCCGATAATGTGCCCACTCACTTCCTGCCTACCATCGATTTCGAACTCGTCAAAGCGGGAAATCGAGCGGAAATAGACCATCTGTGGGAGGCTGCTGTGACATGTGGTTTCTGGTAGTGAGTGTTCTGGCGATACACACGCTCTGGATTGCGAGATGCACATTACGGGAGAGGAACGATAGGTCGGGCAACTGACTGATTTTATCTGTAGCCTCAAAAATCATGGTGCTGAGCAAGAGGTCACAGCTATGTTTGACCTGGGAGCAGAAACATTTGCGCTTCCCTTGGAGGAAAAAATGAAGTATGAGCAGGGCGACTCCGGTCGCTCGTGCGGGTCTGTGGAGGTTCCTTTCCATTTTTTTCTCGGCCATCTAACCATAGTCTAGATACAAGAAGATAGGTGGAAATGCCGTTGATGCGGCCGGGTAAGTCAAGGCAAGAATTATTCGTTCGCGTCCCTTGTAAACTTGGATCCGGCCGGCAGGTTGCCAGACATGACCGAGTTCTTGAACGTCACTAAAGATGACGTTCTTGCTTTCCCCGAGGTGGTTCACCGAACTTATCCTTCTACGGTGACTGCTGCGATCCCATCTGTCGTGCACCCTTTTGTATGCAAGTCCATCGAAGTTAATAACACCATACTGCGGATCTTCACCCAAAAACTGGGCCTACCTGAGGGTACTCTGGAAGAACTCCATGCTCGCGACTTACCCAGTGGTAGCGAAAGCAGGGTAATTAGGAGCCCACCGATGCCTGGCAAAGATACTGCCGACCGTCCTATGATCGGGTCTCACACTGATTTTGGATCTCTTGTAAGCAACCTGCCGATTCTGATTCCACTGTAACCTATGTATGACCATGTTCAGGCATTTTTGCACAACATCCTCGGAGGACTGCAGGTCCTCCTCCCTGGGGAGACGCAGTGGGCTTACGTGAAGGTAAGTGCATTTAAATATTTACATACGTACATCTGCATCAACAGTTATCGCACTCCACGTATCAGCCAATTCCTGGACATGCCATTTGTAACGTTGGAGATGCTCTCACGGTTTTCAGCGGTGGTATTCTCAAGTCTGCCGTCCACCGTGTGGTCCCGCCTCCTGGAGCTCAGAGAGAATACGAACGGTGGTCTCTTGTATTCTTTACCCGCCCAAACAATACTCAGGTGCTTCGTGCGTTGGTGGAGGATAGTCCGGTAATCATGGAGTTTGTAAAGCAATATCCAGAGGTTGTGTTTGAGACTGGGTCCACTGCTGAGGAGTGGTTTTCCAGGAGAACCAAATACCAGAGGCTTGGAAATAGAGAAGTAAGCCGTGATGTAATGAACGGTTGTATTTATCTAATGGGATACAGGGATCCCAATCATGGGCTGCCAGCAGAGGGACTGAACACAACCCAGTAGCAAGATAATTTGAAAACCGATGGAAGATTTTGTTGTACGATAACGCGGGGATGCGCTGTTTGGTGTTGTGCGTATATTTGCTGGCATGTCTCAGAACGGGGAAGCTTTTCTCGATGTCATATTTACCTGTAATATATAGATCAGAAATGCCCAAATCATTCGTGCGCCAGGTTCACTTGGTAAGGATCGATATCGTCACACTTGTCAACTCATTGGCATTTAAGTGACCGATCTAAGGTTTAGGGGTGTGAGAAGGGGCGAAAACTTTGGAACACCTTCCGAGAGGGGCAGCTGCCACTTCTAATCAGTAAGAGATTGCTCGCGCCGTGCATTAGGTACGCTAGTACTGAAGACAAAAGTTACTAGTCACCTTCAAAGTATCCGTTTGATTTGGGGGGCTGTCGAAGTAATCCTGGAAGCAGTCATAGTCAAGGTCTAGAAACTTATCTTTATCGTCAACGTTTTCGACCGCCTGGCGTTAACGAGCTCGTCGGCCGGGTCACTTTTCCTTCAAACGAAGGCGCTTTCACTCGACAGTAGACTCGTATAGATATGGTCGACACTAATGAAACACGGAATTGTATGATTATCGCAAACAAACAACATCGTGGCGCCACCGTGTCGACAACCCTTAGTTTGTTGTTATTTGTACCGAGCTCCACTTGCTAGGCAGCCAATTCGATTGACTCATCCAACTCCGAAGTTCAATGACATCCCAGAAGCATAAAGCATATGTTGGCCAATTACTTGGCCTTAGGTACAGTGTTTGTGCAACCGATATCAGTTCCTCCGATCATCATGGCACGCAGCTCGATCCAAAGGAAAGGCGCCATGACTCGGTACTCAACACTTATTTCGGACTTCCTAGTAAGCAGGTAGGTGATTACGACCAAATAGCCACCGAAGCACTGCAATGTCTGTCCGTAAACGTCAATTATTCGCTGGCAACGTGCCAGATGTAGGATCTTATGAATCATCCATGGGATTGGAATCTGGGTAGAGGCTCCCGGTGATGGGGCACCCGCTCCACTTCAGTGGTATATCTAGGGGCCCGAAGAATTGGGATTTGGTCGTCAGCATCTGTAAGCCGCACCTACGTTATCATGCCCGGTATAACCCTGCCTGCGTTCCCCGACAACGTACCCACACATTCCCTGCCGACCATCGATTTTGAACTCCTCAAAGCAGGAAATCAGGTGGAAATAGATCGTCTGTGGGAGGCCGCTGTGACGCTTGGTTTCTGGTAGTAAGTATTTACGTACTTCGGTGAAACACATACTTTCGCCACTCGTGGGATGTACATTTCGGCAGAGAAACGATAGCTGGGACAGCTAACTGAGTTTCTCTGCAGCCTCAAAAACCATGGTGCTGAGCATGAGGTAAAAGCCATGTTTGACTTGGGAGCGGAAATGTTTGCGCTTCCTTGGGAGGAAAAAATCTTGTATGAGCAAGGCGACTCCGGTCGCTCATTCGGGTTTGTGGAGGATCCTCTTCATTCTTTTATCGGCTATCTAACCATCGTCCAGGTACAAGAAAATGGGGGGAACTGCTGTCGACGCGTCTGGGTAAGTCAAGGAAAGGCCCCGTCGTTAGTATTCCTGATATACTCGGACTGGGCTGGCAGATTGGCAGACATGACCGAGTTCTTGAACATCGCCAAAGATGACGTTTTTGCTTTCCCTGAGGTCGTTCACCTGACTTATCCTTCTGTGGTGGCTGCCGCGATCCCATTTGTCGTGCACCCTTTTGTATGCAAGTCTCTGGAGGTTAACATTACCATACTGCGGATCTTCACCCAACGACTTGGACTATCCGAAGGGACTCTGGAAGCACTCCATGCTCGCGACTTACCCAGTGCTAGCGAAGCCAGAATAATTAGGAGCCCTCCACTGCCTGGAAAAGATACTGCTGATCGTCCTACCATCGGATCTCACACTGACTTCGGGTCTCTTGTAAGGGACTTCTTTGACTCCGTTCGCACTGCTATTCATGACCATGGAAGACATTTTTACACAATATTCTCGGAGGGCTGCAGGTCCTTCTCCCTGGGGAGACACAATGGGGTTACGTCAAGGTAAGCATATTCAAATATATGCATACATGGATATCTGCATCAACAGTGATCGCACCCTGTCTATCAGCCAATTCCTGGACACGCTATCTGTAACGTTGGAGATGCTCTCACAGTTCTTAGTGGCGGTATTCTCAAGTCTGCCGTCCACCGTGTGGTTCCCCCTCCTGGAACTCAGGGAGAGCACGAACGGTGGTCTCTTGTATTCTTTACCCGCCCAAACAACACACAGGTACTCCGTGCCTTGGTGGAAGATAGCCCGGTCATTGCAGAGTCTGTGAAGCAGTTTCCAGAGGGTAAGTTCGAGACTGGGTCCACCGCCGAGGAGTGGTTTTCGAGGAGAATAAAATACCAGAGGCTCAAGAACAGAGAGGTCAGCCGTGACGTGACCAACGATTGTATGTATCTGACGAGGTACAGGGACCCCAATCATGGGCTGCCAGCAGAGGGACTGAGCACAATCCGACAGCGAGATAATTTGAAAACCGATAGAGCGTTCTAGGATATGGCTATTCTGCGTTGTGCGCATATTTGCTGACACCCGAGGTGCCAGAACAGGCAAGCTCCTCTCAATGCCGTAATTACTTGTAGTGGAAAGATCAGAAGCCCGAAATCATGTCCAGTATGTGCGCCAGGTTTGCTTGGTTAGGATTGATGTCGTCACACTTAGAGGTCTGCTTGTGTTCGCATGTCCTCGAAACCAGAAAGAGAAATACATAATTGACGACGGAATAAATTTTCGCATAATTTCGTATCTATATTCCGCACGCGCTCATTGACTGGAGCGTGACCGGGGTCGGCAAGTACTTTCTGGGCCGGAGTCTCCAGAAGTAACCAATAGCCTCTCCCTGACGGTCGCGAAATCCAGCGCGGATCCCGTGTAACCTTGAGAAATCAGCGTCAGCTACTCGAAATACCTGTCGTATAACGAAGCGGATTTGTACGCCTTAGGAGCCTCCTCGTCCGAGGTAGATGTAGAGAAGTCTACGTTGTAGTCGACAACACCGTGGCGGGCCGTGACCTGCTCTGTAAAGGTTTGCAAGGCATGTGCGGGCACTGCATACCTCGAGTCGATGACAGCAACCTGTGCACAGATACGCCATGCTTCCTCTTCAGCCATTTCTTCAGCCCAGATGTTACCCATTTCTCCAAGCGAACAGCGTCAAGGTACGTAAGTTAGCGCGGCTGTGTTCCCCAGCTCGATCGCGCAACACGCCAGCCTGGGACTAGGATCTAACACCTAGCTGTTCCGCAAGTCCATCAAACTCGCAGTCGCTTACGAACGTGCAGAGCACAGCAAAGATCTCGACCCACCCAATCAAGTCGGCGTTCTGAACCACGTCCCGCAAGATCGTTCGTGACGATGCTCTGGAACAAGCGCAGGTATGGGTGTTCTGTTGTCCGCCGAGCGAAGTAAGCCTGTGCATTGGTCCTGGCCACCGTTGATTAGTAAGGGTGTTGCTGCTGCTACTGCTGTTGTATCTCCTTTAGCAGTGCAACAGCTTCTACCTCTCCTTTCGAGTGACCTGATAGCGTCACAAGCTTATCTCGTGAGCTGGCACGGAATAAACTGAGTATAGCCTTCCAGGTCTCCACGGCACGTGCATCGCCATGCTGGTGCACATCCTCGCTACCTTGCGTAAGTTGATGACACGATTCACGACACCTTTTTCAGTGCACATTACACGAAGTAGGGAACACTGCTTTGTGTGTGGCCTCGCGCAGCTGGCAAATTGCACACGCTCGCAAGTTGTCTCCAAAGTCAAATGACACCGGGGGTTAGAATCATTTTTGGGCTGCTGGAGGCTTCCTTGTGCACGGCGCTTGAAATATATGCTTTGGCTGCGACGAAGGTGATGGTGTGATTAGGATGGGGGGTGTCGTTGAACGGTATGTAAACTTGAAGGAGCGTGCGGAAGACAAGACCAGACAGAGGTGCACTTGACAGCGGTGTTGAGGACGCAATGATAGGTCGCCGAGGGTTATGCATTCTTGATGGTCTTGGTGCGCCGCCCTCCGGTTACAACGGAGAAGCCGAACACAGTTGTTGTAGACATACCTACAAGGACATCATAGTTCAAATCGACGTGAGATTAGGCCTGGCTGGGTTGTGAAAAGACGGGATTGCGCGTGTTATCGGAGTACACTAATCGAACAAGTGCGAGGGAAGCCGTTCACATACTAGGACTTGCCTCTGCATCCTGAAAGAGGAGTACTGGACTAGTGGTGGAAAGTAGTGAGACACAGACACAAAAGCTGCTTTGTGGTCACCCATGAAGGGATATGCTATTTGTAAAATTGGAGATGCTCTGATGGTTTTCAGCGGTGGCATTCTTAAATCCGCCGCCCACCGTGCGGTCCCGCCCCCTGGAATTCAGGAAGAACGCGAACATTGGCTTCGTTTGTTCTCTACCCGCCCAAACAGCACGCAGGTACCCCGTATGCTAGCGGAAGATAGCCCGGTCATTGCGGAATCCGTGAGGCAATACCCAGAAGGTAAATTCGAGACTGGGTCCACCGGTTTCTCAGGAGAGTAAAGTTTCATAGGCTCGTAAATACAGAAGCCATGTTGTGATAAACGGTCGTAAACATATCTAATGGGGTACAGGGACCCCAATCATGGGCTGCCAACAGAGGAACTGAGCATGACCCGACAGCAAGATAATTTGAAAACCGGTAGAGGATTTTGTTTAATACGATGCCGCGGGGATATGCTTATTTGGCGTTTATGCGTATATTTGCTGGCACTCATTGCCAGGATGTGCGCAGGGTTTTCTTGGTTAGGATTGAAATTGTTACACTTAGAGGTCTACTTACGTTCGCATGTTCTCAAGACTAGAAACAGAAATAGGTATTTGTCGACAAAACAAGATTTCGGATAAATTCGTATCACAGTTTGTTACAGTGTCGTGGGCATGTGTGTATCGCAACTCCCGCCGCATCCGCACTATTAAACTGACTTCAAAGTCGCATGATGAGTTGCTTGATACTGGACATCCAGAGGCCAATGTCGTCTGTTTGAGAGCCTCTTGTCAGCAAGTCCACGTGAATAACCAATGCTGCATCTCGATCGTGCGCTTCCATGGCTGGCAAAGCAACATGTTAGGGCTCCGGCAGAATTCTATAGTAATTGTAAGGCTCACCCTTCGTTAATTCGTTTAATTGGTCTATGACGGATTTTGAAAGGGTGTCGCAGTTCAACGCATCGAATAGGCTGTTGATTCGTCTCTCGAGGTCGTCGGCCATGCGCCTTTGATGTGACTACAACCAATCCTAAGCAAAAAAAAACACGCAAAATGCGGGAATAGGACTACACGCACGGGAATAGTCTGCTTCACTCGCTGAAGCTGCTCAGACAAGATGGCGTAGATCTGCATCGAAGATTCAGGAATATGGCTCCGGTCGCCTTGTGCTTTTTTAATGGACTCAGTCAACATGTGATTTCACAGTAGAGGGTATCTTACTCACGATACTTGGGTTGAGTAGGGGCTGGAGGCGATAGTGCAGCACGCGCAGGGGGAGGAGCGGTACTAGGCCCACCGCTCGGAGGCCCCTGTACTGAAGGGGGTGGCATACCAACCAATGGTTGCTGAGTTGGTGGTGGACCCCGCATGGCTGGCGCCTGGGCCATCGGTGGAGCATACGACGTATGACCGGAACCCATAGAAACTTGTCCAGGAGGTGCGTATGGTCCACTAGGTGCTGCCCGGCCAGGAGGTGGAGGGGCGTATGGTCCAGGTTGTGGGGGTCCACCGGGTGCTGTCTGGCTGGATGGCGGAGGGGCATATGGGCCGGCCTGGGGTCCTCCGGAGGGCGGCACGGCGTGGGCAGGAGACGGCGTCACGCGGGCGTACGGGCCGGGGGGTGGCGGGATTGCCCCACGGGGACCTGGACCTGGCGGAGGAGTAGCGCGAGCGTATGGGCCGCTTGGCTGGCCAAGTGGAGCAGACACCGTCGGTGGCGATCTGAACGGAGAAGCCGTCCCGGTGGCAGTAGATGGCTGGTGTGAGTGTGCTGGCGACGTCATCCTGGCAGGAGGGGGACCGGGAGGCTGCCGAGCCTGGGGAGGCGGAGGCGCCCGTGCTTGTGGGGGTGGCGGCGGGCGATTCTGCACACTGGCCGGTCGAGGCGGCGGAGGAAGCGCCGTGTTATGACCCGAGAACGGGGAACCGGGCGTCGGTGGCGACTGCGTAGCGTTCGGGAAAGGCGATACGATCGCTGCTAGCTTAGATGTGCTGGAAGAATTAGGCGTACGGCGCTCCGCGGGCTTGACCATCGGTGCATCGTTCCAGCCACCGCCATTTTGGCTACGGGGCGGCGGAGGACCGGCAGCGACGGGTGGACGAGTGTGGGGTGGCACCGCGGGCTGGCTGAGAAGAGCCGGCCTGGAGAGCGTGTGCGCAGGCACGTAGGGACCCTTGTATAGTTCAGGTTGATGGGTAGGTTGCACGGGTTGGTATGCAGGTTGAGGTGGCAGGTACTTCCCACCTTGGACAGGAGTCTGTACGCGAGCATTGACTGGAGCATGAATGGGGACGGCAGGTACCCTCTGAGTCGCAGTAGAGATCGGCCGAGGTGCGGCAGTCTCTCCAGAAGCAATCAGCAATCTCTCCCTGACAGCTGCGAAATCCAGCGCAGACCCCGTGTAACCCTGAGGAATCAGCCTCAGGTACTCGACGGCCTCCTTGACAAGACCTTGCGCAGCAAGCATCTCTGCATACTCGAAATACCTGTCGTATAGTGATGCGAGTTTGTACGCCTTGGCAGCCTGCTCGTCCGAGGTAGATGTAGAGATGTCTGTGTCGTTGTAATTGACAGCACCGCGGAAGACCGTAACTTTCTCTATAAAGGTTTGCAAGGCATGCGCGTGCGCAGCATACCTCGAGTCGGTGAGAGCATCTTTTTCATGGATGCGCCGTGCTTCCTCTTCAGCCATTTCTTCAACCCAGATATTCAACAATCTCTCTAGGCGACCAGCAGCAAGATACGTCAACGTGGCCGTGTTCCTCAACTCCAACGAATTCGCAGCGTTATCATCATCCTCAGCCTGACCGCGTAACACACCAGCCTGGAACTCGAGTCTGGCACCCAACTGCTCCGCAAGTCCACCAAATTCGTCGTTGCTGGCAAACGTGCAAAGAACAACAAAAATTTCGGCCCACTCGGTCAAGTCCGCGTTCTGCACTACGTCCGCAAGATCATTCGTGACGATGCTCTGGAACAAGCGCAGGTACGGGTGTTCCGTTGTCTGCCGAGCGAAGTAAGCGTTCTGCGTGCGTTGCAGGAGGTCCTGGCCACCTTTAATGGCGAGTAAGAGTGCGTCCGCGTAGCGTTCCGTTGACAAGCAGAGTTCGACGGCACTCTCAAAGTCCCCGAGTACCAGAGCCTTGGTAACCAACTGATCGGTCTCGCTCTCCTCAGCAGGATAGATTCGGAAGGTGTTTCCACGCAAAGTGAGCGATTCGGATGCACTCGCGACACTCGACGGACCGGACCCGACTGTAGCCGCCACGCTCGAGTCCACGCCATAGTTAGTATGAGGGACAGCAAGAGGAGCATCTTGTGAATCGTCCTGAGGGGCAGCTGCCATCGTACTGAAGAAGTCGGCACCTGCGTCGTTGTGGAACGTCCCGACTGGATCGTCGCCGAACAGACTTGGTGCAGTCGTTGTAGACTCGCCGTCTGGGGGAAGTAGGTCCGACGTGCTCACTTCCGACGAGGTCTTCTCCTCGGTCTCTTGTTCGCCATCTATATCATGCTCCGGTTCTGCAAACGACACGACGGGTTCATGCACACGCTGCTCCAAACTGCCCTCTTCAGATTGCTCAGTTTGAGGTTGCTGCTGCTGCATCTCCTTTAGATGTGCAACGGCCTCTGCCACACGCGCTTTGACCTCTTCTTTTGAGTAGCCCAATAACGTCACAAGCTCATCTCGCGAGTTGGCACGGAACAAGCTGAGTAGAGCCTTCCAGGTCTCCGCCGCACGCGCGTCGCCATGCTGCTGCACATCCGCCTGTACCTCCTGAGCAAAATTCTCCAGATCCCCATCCCCTGCTGCCTTGCGCAAGTTCTTAACACGCTCCACGACAACTTTCTCGGTGCACACGACACGAACGTGCGGGGTGCTGCTCTGCGTGCCGCCTTGCGCATCTGGCAAATTGCACACGCTCGCAAGTTGTCCTCCGAAGCCAAATGAGGCCGAAACAGGCCGACGGAGCCATTTTGGGGGTTGCTTGAGGCTTAGGCTAGGTAGACCGGCATTTGAGTGCATAAACGCGAGGTCGTCGAACAATGAAGCTCCAGAGGCCTTGGGCGTAGGTGGGATGGTGGCAGGTCCATCTGTGGATTGGATAGAATGGATACCGATTGTCCCGGAGAAGAATGCTGCGGCAAGGAGATCGGGGTTGCGAGGGCACCATTCGACATGGAACGCCCAGTTGTCCTCAGACGGGAGCTGCAGATCAGTGTGCGAAGGACGAATGGAGGAATGTTTGAACCAGGGGAATACAAATCACCACAGCAAAAGCGAATGCGGCACATGAAAGCGAAATCAATGATAAGAAATCATCGTCGAAATAAATTGCATGTACGCACCTCGCCAATAACTTCCGAGGTTTGCGGATTCCAGCAGAGTACACGATTATCCTTTCCGCAAGAAAGTAACAAATCTGCGTCCTGTTTGCACCACGAAAGTGATAGCACGCCTTTCTCATGTCCTGTAAGGATCTACTTGACAAATACATAAACGGCGTGAGTGCTGAAAGGGTAGTGGATCGCACCTTCTCCGGAGCGCGAGCATTGCGCAGATCCCAGACCATGACAACAGGAGAAATGTCGTCTTCCGACGCGGTAACCAGTCGGGTGGCCTATTGGAGAGGCTGATCAGCCATCCTACACGATCCTAAATAGAACAGTAAAACGCACGACGTCCGGATGCCATGCGATTGCGCTCATACCCCTCCTTCCGCCTACCGCCATCGCACTACCAACTGCACCTCCGAGGGTACCTGTACCTCCGCCGTACGCAAGGGCAACCAACTCGCGATTCTGGCGGAGGTCCCACACGACAGTGTAGCCGGTACTGCTGGCACCAGCGAGGATGGACTGGACATGTTGGTTCCATGTAACACAAGTGATTTCGTCGACCTTCTTACTGCGGGATCCTGGGGTAGGGGAGTATGGTTTCGAAGGATCGTTGAGATCCCATATGTAAATCTACGAAAACAGGCGTCAAGTTCCGTGTAAAACATGCATGAAACAACGCACCTCGCCATTGACGGCACCCGAGCAAAGAAGGTTCGTTTGTTTAGGATTGAAGTCAAGACCACGAACGGGACCAGTATGCTTCGTGTTACGAAGGATGAGGGCTGTGGAGGCACTAACGGGAGTAGGTGGTCAGTTGTAACTGGCGAACAGCAAAAGGCTCCTACTCTGAAGACTCGACGATTTTGGCGGGGTCCCAGAGGACGAGCTCCGCGTTTTCCATACCGGCGGCAATGACACCGGACGTTCTGTCCTTGTGCGCCTGGCTCCATACAATACGGTTAAACCTGATCGGCTGATGCTTAGTATCACAGGCTAGCGAACGCCAAAGCTGAGTCAAGTACCTGGACGTATCCTTTACAACTCCTGCAGGTTGCGAATGCAAGTCAGCGCCGAGAGCGTACTCGTCTTTGTCCATAAAGTCCGGTTTCCAGATCTCGAGTTGGGACTCATTTGAGAAGGACTCGTCGAGCGCGCCTGAGACTGTGCCCGTCGAGATGAGTGGAAGACATGAATTTGGTGACCACGCGAACGTCGCAGTCCGGTGAATCTGTTTTTGCTTCATCGTCGTCGCAGCTCACCGTCTGAACTGAAAATGTCAGCCTTCTTTACTTTATTTTATTAGTTGAAGGGACGTGTCCTTGACGTGTACCAAGCCCTGCTTATCTAATTTTCTCATCCCCGGCTGTTACATAATCAATGGAAAGTGACCCACCACTCGTCGAGGCCGCCTGACCCCAGACTGCCATGCCGTCCGACGACGAAAGTCCAAGCAATCATCCAACCGACACCTCAGAATTCGAGACTCAGTTTGTTCCACGATCAAATGACGAGGAAATATTGTATGAAGTCGAACAGATCACCGCAGAGAAAGGGCACATGTACCGAGTCAAATGGGCCGGGTTGGACCCCACAACACAAAAACCATGGCCACAGAGCTGGGTCGACAAGCACGATTGCACGGATGCACTCGTCGCGGAGTGGAAAGCCAAGAAGGCTAAAAAGAAAGAGCAGAGAGACGGTACGTGATTCACTGGGTGCGCTTGAGTTCACTGCGCGTATTCATCCTTGCTCGATAGGATCATATACGACGGGGGGGACGAGCGTTCGTTCTAGATCGTCAAACTCACTCCCTGCGGCACCCTCGTCACGCAGAACGCGTCGTTCTGCCGTCTCTGAGCCTTCGCCCCAAATACCATCTGAGGATGAACATCCTACCCACGCATCTACTTCTCATAGCAAGAAAGAGCAGTCCTCAAAACGTAAGCGCAAGTCGTCCAGCTTGACGCGTCGCGCGGTTAGTGGAATGGATGCGGACGAACGGGAAGGGTCAAGTAGGCCACGAAAGAAGCGTAAGATAAGCGTAGAGGTTAGAATCGTATCGTCTCCTCACCAGGGAGATCGTTCCGCCAACAAAAAGGGAAACACTAATAAGGAGTCCAAATCAAAGTCCGATGGCGACAAAATGGCCAGCAGTTCTCTAGTCGCGATTGGACCGCCGCACGGAACCAAGCCTCAGAGTTCCCCCGGGAGCAGGTCGAGGCTGGAGGGAACACCGGAAGATGCGCCTGTTTCGTCGTCGAAGCCTCCGCGCCGTGCAACAGGTCAGTAAGCTGCACATCTGCCTAGATCTGCACGGAGACTGACCACAAAAGTAGCCGAGTCCTCCAAGAAGAAAATCTCTCCCACCCCTCGCCCGTTGTCGCACAAACCCCTTATTCGAGAACCTATTCTATCCCCAGGTGCCGTGGCCCGTCTCCAGCTCTTCGACCGGTTAACGGCAACGTCGCCAGATGGAGATTACGGTGACGTTGATGCACCCATTGAACCCTCACACAAACGACCTAAAGTCACACCACCCAACTATCATCGCGATACCATAGAAACTCCACTAGCGACTGACTCTTCTAAGCGACAATCCCCACAGAAAACCTCCGCTTCTAAGCTCATAAAAGCGATGCTGCCAAAACTTGACAGCGACGAGGATTCGTCACCTGACGACTCCGACTGCCAATCAGGATTGCCACCGCCGCGCCCTACTTCGAAATCGCAAAGTGGCATCTCACGCATCATGGACAAGGGCGACTCCTCCAGGAGAACCGACCACCAGTCCAAGCAAGACAAACTCGACTTGCCTGAAATTGCCGCAATGCCTGGACGATGTTCTACAACTCCCCTCGATTTCAATGACCTTGGTTCATCATCACGACTTCAGAAAACTAAATACGTTAAACCTTCTCGCTCGGCATTGAAACCTGTCCCTCAAATTTCGCCAAACACATTCAGAGCCAAGGTCAAGCCCCTCAGACCAGTAGTTGCGGTCTCTTCTGAACCACCACCAAGCTCTATCGAGAGCTTTGCTTCTCCACGTGTCAGAAGACCGTTCACAAGAAAGCAATTGGCAACGCAACATGCACGGAAGAGCGCTACTGTTTGGCGACCATCCGAAGATGATGTTGAGCTGGATGTTGAAGAGGAAGAAGAAGAAGAAGAGGCGGAGGAGGACGAGGAGGGCGATGATGATAGTGATGAAGAGGCTCAGCCTAACAAGAGGTGGATAGATTCCGAGGTTCGCAAGCGGGGAAAAGAGCTATTTGACGAAGAGCAGCGCAGGCGGGATGCGAAACGTGCCGAAGCCGCACGGCCGAAACGGTCGAAACCACTGGGAGAGATCATGGGGGGGCCCAAATCCGCCAAGGGAAGACCTGTGGTGGCTAGTCCAAGTCACAACGGCGAAGGTGTTCCAGCTAACTGTTTGGATTCTGTTGTGCAAGAGATGGAAGACGCCTATGTGGATTTGAGTGGGAAGACTCAGAGCACAACACTTGAAACATCAGCATCCAACGGCGCAAGGAAGAAACCGTGGGCGGCAATGACGACTGAAGAGAGGGAAGCCTTTCGTATACAGCTACGCCAGGAAGAAGAGGAGCTTACACAGGAAGCAATATATGTGCCCGCGCCCCCCGTCCAGCAGGACTTGGATTCGTACACATATGACGATGTAGAGGAGAACGTAATGCAGGTTTCGATGGATCCCGGGCCGCCGGAGGTAAACACATTCTACGCTCCTTTTTTCTAAGCGACATCACTCATTCCGAGTATCTGGAGCAGCCTGTACAGGTAGAGTCCCAGGAACGCTCGACACGCACCGAAAACATCCAACAGGCGAGCGTCGTTGTCCAGGCAAGCCAAGGCCAGCAACAATCAGACGTAGAAGACGCCGACGCCGTCCAGTCCCTCCCGCAACTCCCAAGTTCGCTTCCGCGCGACCCGTCTAGTTATGTTGTGCGTTATCTCCTTGTCAATATGTCTGCCCGCCGTTGCACTAATAATAAACGTGATCGGTTGCGACCTTTATTGTGGTTGATCTTTCAGTCTGACACCCCAAAGCGACGTATCCACGAAGCGCTGTCACTACTCAACGTTAAATCCGAGGAGATCCAGCGCCTTCAATTCGAGCTCACTCAGGAACGGCAGAACGCAAAGCGTGCCCAGACGGAGCTCACCAAAGTAACCGAGGAGTGCGAGACTCTACGGACTTCGGTATCCGAGGAGCGCGTCAGACTCCAGGAAGAGCAAGCTCGGTTAGAAGAAAGGCGGAAAAGATGGACAGACGATAGGCTGGCCTGGATGGAGGAGATGGAAAGATGGAAAGAAGCTCACGATGTGTGGAAGAGGCAACGAGACGAGTCACCGCACCAACAACTCAAACCTCCAGAACAGGCCACAGGCACGAATGGAGTTGCAAAGACTCACACGTTGGAGGAGAATCGGCCAAATTTGAATGGCGAGCATGCGGCGACATTTAGCACGGATACCCTGGGAGCAGATCGCAAGGCACTCATTGAAGAACGCGACTTGTTGTCTGAGAAGGTTTCCCAGTTGAGCGCTTCCGTCAACCAGATGGCTGCTGCAAAAGCATCTGTCGAAACGGATCGCGACTTCTTTCGTGAGCAATACTTGCAAGCATCCGGGTTCGTCAGCTCAGTTCGTGCTGAAAATGCTGAACTGGAGGAGAGGGTCAAGATAGCTGAAGGTCAGGCGGAAGAGGGTGTAGCGAAAATTAAGCAGCTCTTCGAGGTAAGTATGCCTCATCTTGATTTTAGGTACTGTTCCATAATTGCGGTGATACACAGACCAAGGTTAAGGCTTTTCAGGATGACATCTACCGCTGGAAAACTCTTGCAGAAATACTGCAGGAGAAGGATAGTCGGACGAATGACGAAGTGCGCACGCGTGCGGCGCAGACAACTGAACTGGAGAGTCTTTGCAGAACACTTTTACGGGACAATAATTCGCTCGAAACTGATTTGCGGAAACTCGGACGTGCATTACAGAAGGTATCTGTCCAGCGCAGCAAGCTATCATCCAAGGTTCTGTCGATAACGAAAGAGAAAGCAAGGTTGAAAGCAAAACTGGCGAAGTGTTCTGATTCACAGGACTCATCCAAGTCCGTGCAGGAGCATTTTACGATTGTTCTTTCAGACGATGCTGAAAGTGTGGATCCTAATGTTATGGATGTCATGACGGCTTCGCAGCCGACACCTCCGCACGAAGAGGCGAGCTTTGACGGCGAGGAATGGTTTACTTGTTTGTGGCGCCATCAGCTGGAGCTATGTCCTCGGATATTTGATTGCAAGGAGGTAAGGGATCCTCGGACATAATTTTTGGGAGGCGTTGGTTGCTAACTACGAATATGTTCTTTAGGATTTGTTGAGGCATATGTCAGAACATGTGAGCTAGTAATATTCAATGTAAGATGTCGGGAAGCTGGGTCCATGTCGTTCTTTGTATTTTTTGTTGTTGTATTCCATATATTGATGCCGCTTTCAGTATAAGGATGATCAGCCTGACACGCCACAAAGTGAAAGGCGCGTAACCTCGGGGGTAGCGCAGACATACGACTCCGTATTTTATGTAAGTACAACATGACATGCTGTACGGCGTGATACAATTGACCTTAAGCCGTAAATGTGACGATCGTTGTCCCATAATTTATCGGTAGTACTGAGATGATTTCTAACTGCCTTTGTCCGTCTCTATCAAAGAATCGAATAAAGGTAGTCACTCGTGCACTGATTCTACTATATTTTCACTCCAGGATCCCTCTCATAGCAAAACAAAGAAGCCTTCGTCAGTAGACTCCAAGTTACAGGTGCTTTACTCAAGAAATAGTCGTTAGGCGCGGTACTGACACTCATTCATTGATTCACAGTGCCACCGCACACTATGGATGAACTCGATTGGGCACGCGCTGAGCTAGCACAGCTAGAAGCTATAGAACGGACTTGTCTTGCACAGCTATTAGCTGCCCGGACCGCCGTCAAGACCCAAAGAATCCACATCGAAGAGCTTATCAAGAAACGGGACCCTGTCATTTATCGTCTGCCTGCCGAGCTCCTCGTTCGGATATTTGGCTGCGCGATGGTTCGTGAGGAGAGGAAGCCAAATCAATTTGATGTGATCCGCGAGCGGAGGAGAAACCTGACTAGCGTCTCTCGACTCTGGAGGGACGTGATGCTAAACACACCCAATCTCTGGAGCGATATTGGTTTAACATCACTACGGGACCAGACCCCTTTGGTGACGCAATTGAGGAGGAGTCAAGGAGTGCTTCTCGACATCACGATCACGGACGAGGCTGAGTACCCCGATATCGAACGATTACTAATTCATCTCCTTCCAACCACGAACCGCTGGCGTAGCCTCCACATCTATAATGTCGTTGACATTCCGAACTTGACGGCCATCATCTACCAGTTCAGCGAGTTGCCACTTCCATCCCTCATAGACCTTTACGTCGATATGCAACATCCTGGAAACGGGGAGTACCCTGACCCGCACCACCTTTTACGATGGACACCCGCTCTCAAGCATGTGAAGCTCGGAAATTTCGTCGCAACTGATGATTTTTCGACATGTGGCCGTCTCGAGACTCTTGAACTGATATTTGCAGACGGCTTCGATATACCTCCAACGTTTTCGTCGCTGATTCCTGCGTACTCTTTAATTACGCTCTCTCTCGTTGGACGTATTCCGAATTGGGCGCTTAAGCGAAACAGCATCTACTTTCCGCTTCTCGAGAAACTCACACTCGACATCCCACGCCCTGAACGGTTTCTGGATGCTATTTTCGCACCAAACCTTCGACACTTTCACTACATGGATAACAAGTCCGTTTGGGACGCCTTCGGAATGTATGGGTTGAAATTTTGCAATGTCCACCACCTTACTTTCGATGCGACGTCATTTTCGGTATCCCAAATTAACGGCACAGCTTTCTGTCAGGGATTCCCTAACACGCGTTATGCAGCGCTGCATTCGAATAGCCTCCCTTTCTTCTTCACAACTATTCCCATGTGGTTGCAAGCTCCGATAGACAAATGGGCGAGCCTCGAAACATTAACGATATTGGATTCCGGCATCCACACCAAAGGATTTGTTCCACTTTTGCAATGGCTGGAGTTGCGACAAGTCTTTGACTTTCCGAAGTTGCATATCAAGCTCACGGGCGATCCACTCAGCCCACTGGATGCGACGGAACTATCTATCCTTTATAGCAAGTTAAAAAACCTCTGCGTGCTAGAACTGGACTGCCTACCGTTGTCTCCCGCGGCACATCTTACCAGGACAACCGGTCTTCCACATTTGGTGCGTGATTGATCTACTCTGATGCCTTTTTTTGCATTGAGAGTCTGAAATCTCCAACAGATTTTGCCTGCGATAGAGCCTGACCTTCTCAATGACATTTTTTGGGTCCCGACCAAGTAACGTTAAGTGCAGCACGGGCGCCAACGGCCTGTACTTAAACCATTGTGGTTAACCTGTTTGTACATACAAGTACAAGCGCACCTGTATATTCATATAAGAGGAAGCTAAATAACGTTGATATCTATTGACTCGGAGTACTGCCGAACCTTCAAATTGACAGCGCAGTGGCTTGCCGCGGATGTTGATGACAATGATGATGATACAGTATGTTTGACAGAAATCTCGACTTTACCATGTGACCATGCTTCATACACCAAACAATCCAACCCCTTTTATCTCTTACGAAAGTAGATCGGATACTCGACTATTAGCGGCCATTCTTTATGCGCTGATTCTATTGTATTATCACGCAGAAGCAGAACACCTACCAGAAGTTCCCATATCAAATCTCCACATTTCATGTGCATCTCTGAAGTAGAGACGGTACGCGCGGCACTATCATCCCCCTGCTTACAGTTCCCCACGTTGTAGATGGAGTCGAGCAGACATGTGCTGGGCTAGCACGGCTTGAAAGCGTACAGCGGAGTCTTCTCCACCAGATGTTGACTGTCTGCAGTCCAGTGTATCCAGATTGTCGAACTTATCAAGAAACAGTGCCTCGCTATTTGCCGACTTCCTGTCGAGCTCCCGGTATGGACATTTGGCTTTGTGATTGACTTAGCTGGCGTCTTTCGACATTGGTTTGACATTACTGCGAGGCCAAATCCCTTTGGTGACGAAGCTGAGGAGGAGCCAAGGAGTGCTTCTCGACGTCGCGATCACGGATGAGGCCGAGGAGCTCGATGTCGAACGATCACTAAATGATCTCCTTTCAACCGCGAATCACTGGCGTAGCCTCTGTATCTACTGCTGCTCTTACGGTTTGTATTTGTGCGCCACCAATCGGAAGCTGAGCAAGTTCGAATTTCCTCCTCCTGTCGAGATTTTCACCACGATGAACCGCGACTCGGAGTATGCTGGTTTTCAAATTCTCTTACCACGGGCACCCACTCTCAATCATCTGCGACTCGAAAATTTCATCGCAAGCGATGATTTTTCGATAGCCAGTGCATTCAAGATTCCCGAACTGATTATTGACGACTCCATCAATATACCTCGGTCGTTCCTGTTGGGGATTCCCACTGCTTCGTTAGTTAGGCTCATCCTCATCGGCAATACTAATATCAGGGTGCTTAAGTCAAACGACATTCGCTTCTCGGGTTGACATGCCGGATTCCGAACGGTTTTTGGAGGCCATCATAGCACCAAACCTCCAGCGCTTTCACTACGAGGATAACATTTCCGTTTCGGACGGCTTCGGAATGTATGAGCCGAAATTCAGCAACGTCCATCACCTTACTTTCGATGCGACATTATTTTCGACATCCTGTCTTAACGGTATAGCTCTCTGTCAGGGATTTCCTAAGACGTGCCATGCAGCGCTGCGGTCGGTACCCTCCGTTTCTTCTTCACCCCTGTTCTCATGCCCGGAAATTTTGTGGAGTCACAAATTCTGGTGGACAACTGGGCAAGCCAAAAAATTGACGATACCGGGAATTGGGAACTGGCACACACTAAAGGATTTAAACTACTTGTGCAATGGGTACAAACACGACAAGAACTTGGCTTGCCAAAGTTATGTCTCAAGCTTACAAGCTCTCCAGGCAATCTACTGGATGCGGAAAAAATATCTCTCCTTTGCAAAGAGCTATGAGACTGATGCATTCTAGAACTGGACTGCGTACCGTTGCCTCCTGTAACATACCTGAATACCAGGCCAACAGGTCCTCCCTATTTGGCAGGTGATCCGACCTACTTCGTGAACCTTCTTTTGCATTAAGAGTTTGACTCTTCAACAGATTCTGCCTCCAGTAGACTCTGCCCTTGTCCATGACATTTTTTGGGCTCCTACCAAGTAGTGTAGAGCTTCGCATGAGTCGCGAAGGTTTGCACTTGGACTATCCAAGGAAACCCCCTCAACTCTGTTGGTTGACCTGTTCGTACCATTACACGTGTACCCTTATGTATCCGTTTTTTTTGGAAGGTCGAAGGCAGCTGATATAACGTTGTTGTTGGACGCATCCTGGATACCCCCTGTTTTTTGGGTGATTGTCGCGGTGGCGACTCACTGACACAAGAGCGCGACTGCCGTAATGTGTCCAGAGCTTTCTTGTGCTAGCTCAAACGTACCGGAAAACTGCAGGTTGGGGCCGTCTCAAGTTAAACTTGCACTCTTCAAGTAACTAAAAAGTCCGAGGTGCCTGAGCCTCTCACGTGGCACAAGGCTTCTTCCGGGTGAGCTCTGTGGACCTCGTTGCTGAAGGCTTCAACATGAGTAACTTGGTCTACCAGGTGTTTTCGGTACGTACGTACGTACTACAATGTGCGTTCGAGCTGCGATGGTTGTACGTATGACGGTGAGTGACCTCTCTCCTTGCAGCTCAAGATACGGATTCCGAAAAGGCGAAGTTTCCTTTCTATGCAGAACACAAAGAAGCCCGGTAACAATGTCGAGCAGAAGCAGCAGTGAGCTTCTTCGCCGTGGAGCGGCTCACCTATTATCAATTCAGTGCCTTGGTTGGCTGTCCTTATCAACTTCGCGAAGGGGGAAGGGGAGGACACGTGCACCGGCACGCATTGGGCTGCTATTATAAAGGATGAAATGTGGTCCGTCGGAAAGTTCGAGACTCAAGCTCAAGCACGCGTACCGCAGTGGGGTGCTGCGTTGTGCATGCGTGCCGTGCATTAACGGTCCCTGAAATCTTCGGAGCCTCCACCTGTTAACACAACCTTTGCCACCGCCCCTTCAGCGCCTCACCTACACCTCAAATTTCTTTGAACTCACGACCGCCTGGTACGAACATATACGCAGACTTAGGGAGACAGACCACACGCCTCGTTGTTGAGCGGGGGACGCCCATACTACTCCGGCAATTAGGTTGAAGATGATGCAGCTAACTCACGGCATTTACAAGTTCTTGAATCGACAGAGCGGGACCGCGATGGATGTGGTAGGGGATTCCGTCGTAGGTGCGTAGTGAACGGCGTCCTGCGCAACCTCGTGACGTATCTCAACGAGTCGTTGCTTCTTATCTCCACCTCCGCCTTCTGCACTTCGCCTCGTTGCTGGCACCGTGCCTACATGGGCAACGAACACAGGTATGCCGCCTAGTTTGTCAGAGACCCAAAAGGTGAGACGGTGATCATCACCGCCTCCTCTTAACTGTCCAAGATTTCTCACGCACTGTACTTTTTTAGTGGGAGATCATGCCCTTGGGGGACGGATTCATGATCCGAAACGTCCAAACGCAGAAGTACCTCTCTGTCAAGACGCTCTTCCGGACCTCTCCCGTCGTGGCGACAAGTTACCCGACAGCATGGCACATCAATAGGGTATATCTTCCTGATGAGAATGCGGTGTTTTATGAGTGAGTTTTGGTCCTTGTCCTCGTTATCTTTGCTTTGGTATTTTAGCTACTACGTTCTCTTCGTGATCTTTCATCTGCCCTTATGTGAGCATGTGTGTTAACGATATTGTTATCTTGGCCCACTCCCTATTGAAATGAAGAATTCGATGGCCCCATTCTGGCTACATGTTCGACCTCGCGGGTGGAGAATCCGCCCCGAACACCAAGGTAATTCTGTGTTTACTCATCTATCTTAGCGCAAGACTCACTGATACAATTCCCATCGTCATCTCCTCTATTACATCCATGATGGGACAGATCCAAATAATGGACCAGTCGCTCGAGCCTCAATCAGAGCACCACCGGTGCAGGCTCTGGAAAACTCTCTTCTACCACTCGGCTAGCTCGACACCATATCACCATAAGGCAGCCACTACGTCCCGCGCGAACCTCAACGCCCACATTTCTAACACGATCTACAATGCCACCGGGATGAACGGTGCCGCAAGGGTACCGCCGCATGGAATATCCCCGTCCCACACTCTTAACACGCGAGCCCAACAGTCAACACGAGGGGGACCCCCGGGGAGCGCAGCTGGAAACGAACGTAGAAATGCCAACATATATAACCCCACGGGACCTACTCCCCCACCCCTGACATCAAGCAGGAGTTTCGGCAGGGCTCCTTATATGGCTCCTCACAGTATGCCACCGCAATCGAAGGCACCGATGACGGGGATAGGCACAGTGATGAGTACGGCCCGCACACAAGCGCCAAGTCCACCATCTTCACATAAAAGTGGTGGTTCTGCATCGCAAAGATCGAGTATGGGTGATTCGCAGCGAACGAGTTTTGCCACTCCTACAGGAATGTATTCCTCTGGGCCGGGCACTCAGGATGTCGGTGGCCGGGTGAGCGACTGGAAGGAGGACGGGAGGCATGTTGCGACCGTGGGAGGTAAGGGTGGAGGAGGGATGAAGGGATTTCTTGCGCGGTTGACTGGTAGTAGGACGGATAAGACAGGCAAGTCAAAGGATTTCTGACTTGTAACGCTGTTTAAACAAGCACAAATTTCGATGGGAGAGGTGGGTTAACTGATGGCTTCTCCGTGGCGTTCTTATGCACAACTTGCTGATATTAGTGCTCCTTGTGTCCTGATTTATGCGCAGACAGAGGCTTCGAGGGTCGGCCTACCTAGGTTGATATTTACTTCACGTAAACACGTATGTAAACTTATGGGAGAATGGCACTGGTGCCAGGATGTCCTTAGCACCCTTATTGTATGTCACCTTGGGTGTCGCGCATGGACGGGGAACGATCATATTATGTTGAATGACCAGGAGTTCTTGCATCCTTGGTGGCCTTGGATCGGATTAGTGACTACCCCACATGGTAGCTCAGGTATTGATTTCCCCTAGGCAAACAAAGACTAGGTTAGTAAGCAATATGGAGAATAGTACCCACTGTCACCTTGTTTACAAGGTCACTCCAGCCCGAAAATGAGATGCTTTTTTCGACATCTGTGCATCTGCTTGTCAACTGACTCCACATGGCAAAACCCACTGGTCATGACTGTGCTCCAGTGTGGTAAACAGGGTGCCTGCCAGTGGTGCTGGCCATGTTCTAGTGACCTCTGTTATGCTCTGACATGGTGACTTTGTCAAATGGACTAGGCACGAAGCAAAGGAGGGACACACTATGGGCCAAACTTGTCATAACCCCTATGGATCCTCAAGTAAGGTCAACTTTGATAGTTTCCTTCTGGAGGGAGATCCTTCCAACACTGAGGAGACAGGAAGAGGACTCAATATATGGGGATTTGCAAGGTAGTGAAAAACTAAAGTACAAGGTATCATACTATCTACTTATATACCTCCCTGAGGAGGGCATACAATAAGCCTGTAAGTAGTAAAACACTATTGCACAGAGGAATGGGAGTGACGAAGAGCAAAGACAGAACACTTGCCTTTTACTTAGGTTGAGAAGTAGATTTTGAAGTAGTAGTTCTGAGTTAGAGCAGGGGCTCAATAACAGAGTAGATTGTTCTGTAGGTAGAATGATGGGGAGTACAGCAGAAATCCCCAAGTTTATATACATGTAGACCTATGCATGGACCAGTAGTGTAAAAGGAAGGTACTACTATGTAAGGTAAAGAATAGCAGAGAATGTCATGGAACATGACGTAGTAAATGATGTCATATTGATGTCACTGTGGAGCTAGATGACTGAGCATGTCATGTGACACTACATGTGTATCAAAATGTGTAAATCTAGATGTGTCTAGATGGTCAGAACTAATAGATATTTCCAACACTCCCCCTTGCTCTAGAATGGGAGATTAACAAGTCCCATTGATGAGTGATTCATTTCAAATTTTTGCCATGTCAAAGATTTTGTAAGACCATCAGCTTTTTGTTTATTGGTTTGAACATATTCAATACCAAATAAACCATCTTGTACACATTCATGCACAAAGTGCCATTGGACATCAATATGTTTAGAGTGTCCATCTGAGACAGGATTCTCAGCTATAAAGTGAGCACCCATATTGTCACAGTATAATATGGTCTTTTTGGTTTTGAGTTTAAGTTCATCAAATAGCATGTGGAGCCATTTGATTTGACATGCAGCATCATGGAGAGCCATGTACTTGGCTTCTGTAGAAGAGAGTGCAACCATTTTCTGTTTACAGGAGTGCCAAGAGATTAAGGAAGTGCCAAAGAACATGGCATATCCAGTAGTAGAATGATGAGTGTCTTTATTTGAAGCCCAATCAGAATCAGCAAAGCCAAAGATCCATGATTCAAGTCCAGAATAGTAAAGTGCAAGTTTTGGAGTAGATGCAATATAGTGAACTATATGCAGCACTTTGTTGCGATGATCCTCAGTGGGATTTGCCATATATTGACTCATGTGAATGACCACATAAGCAATATCTGGATGTGTACCAAGAGCCATATAGAGTAATGACCCAATAATAGACTGGTACTGAGAGCAGAGTTGAGAAGTTGCTTGATAATCAGTAGGAGCTTTTTCTGGTTGATATCCCAAAGGTAATGGAGTGTGAACATTTCAAGCAGTCTCCATGTTAAATCTTTTGATTACCTTTTTGACATAGGGAATTTGATTAAGATAAAGTTCCTTCCTCGATCAATCTTGATGAATTTGAATTCCAAGATATTTGTTTACTTCTCCTAAGTCATGGGATTCCCATTTCTTCATGAACTCATCTTTCTTGGCTTTAAGAAGATGTTTTTCCAATCCAAGGAATAATCCATTGTCAACATAGACAAGGAAAATGACTATGCCAGCTTTTGTGGAATAGATGTAGATGCCAGTGTCCACTTTTGATCATATATAGCCCATGCAAAGTAAGGATGCATGAAGGGCTTTGTTCCATGCAAGTGCTGCTTGCTTGAGACCATAAAGGGCTCTAAGCAGCCAATATACCTTGTGCTCTTGACCCTTAACTTTGAAACCTTCTGGTTGCTTCATATAAATTTCTTCATCAAGGTTTCCATATAGGAAAGCAGTTTTGACATGCAGGGCTTCCATTTCCCAGTTCTTCTGAGCAGTGAAAGCAAGTAAGATTTGCACTGTCTCAAAGCAAGCTACTGGAGAGAAGGTATCTTCAAAGTTGGTTCCAAATTCTTGTGTAAAGCCTTTAGCCACAAGACAAGCTTTGTAATGACCATCACTTTTAATAGCAAAAACCCATTGACACTTAACAGGTTTCTGATCTCTGGGAGGATCCACCAAGGTCCATACTTGTCTTTCTTCAATAGACTTCAATTCATCCTTCATCACATCAAACCATTTCTTTTGTAAGTCAGGAGTAAGTTTTAGAACATCTTTATAATGTTCTGGGGATTCTTTGAATTGAGCAGCAAGTGTGAGTTTGAAAGGATGCATTTGGAATTCCTGGTCTTGCATAGCAGCAGGGGATTCTGGTAAGGGAGTAAGAGGAGACAGAGGAGACAGAAGAGTAGTTCTTTGAGGATGTTCAGTCCACTCTCTAGGAACCTGAGGAGGTTGCAACTGAGGTGGTAAGACTGGTGAAGGTGGTCTTCTCTCCTCCTGAATCTGTCTAAGATCTTCTTGTGTCTTGTGCATGCCTTTCAGCATTATGAATCCACTCCTGAGCAGTGTCACAATTGTCATGAATATCCCTTTCAATTTGGACAGGAGGTCTAGCTCCATAAAGATTATCAGGTTGAGAAGTAGGGATTATTTGTCTTTTAGGATGAGGTTCTCAGTTTTCAGCTTGTTCTGGATGAGCTCTCCAAACATTTTGAGAGTCACCAGGGATATTATAGGGTTGGTGTGGATGCCAGGTAGTTCAAGGGTCAACTGGTGGTACGGCAGCAGGTGCTCTTCTTTGTGGTTGTTGGGCTCTAGGCTGGTCTGCAGCTCTACCCTGCTGTGGGTTTGGTTGAGGTGCAATATTTGGATGAGGTGGATTGGGTTGATGAGGCCCAGGTTGGGTCTGATCAGGATCTGGTAAAGAATGTAGGCTTTCAGAGTCACAAGTAGATGATTGGTTGTCTTTGGAATCAGGGTCAAAGGTTTCAGTCTTTGAATCTGAGCAGAAAGGAAATGAGTCTTCTATGAATTTTGCAGTATGAGAAAGAATGATCTTTTGGCCATGAAGGAAACAATATCCTTTGGTATTTGGTTTGTAACCTAAAAATACCATCTTGATTGCATGAGGTTCCAATTTATCTTTTCTTTGTTCTTTAGGAACCCAAACATAGGCTTTGCAGCTGAAGGTGCAGAAATATGAAATATTGGGAACTTTTCCTAAGAATAGCTCTGTGGGTGTTTTAAACAGAATTTGCTTAAGTGGAGTTCTATTGTACATGTGAAGTGCACAGTCAAAAGCAAAATTCCAAAAGCATTTAGGAATGCAAGCATGGTGTCAGATAGTGCCAGCTTTCTCAGAAATGGTGTGGTTAAACCACTCAGCATGACCATTTTGTTGTGGTTGATCAGCAATTGAAAGTTGATGGGTAATGCTGCATGCAGAGAGGAGTGACTTGCATGTAGAACCCATAAACTCTCCCCCTTGATCTGAACAGAGCACAAGAAGATGGTGGCCAGTCTGATTCTGGGCAGAGACCATCCAACTGGCAAAAGCAGTATAAGTGTTAGATTTATTGCAAAGGTAGAGGCAAAAGCCAAAAGAAGAATAATCATCCAAGAGGGTAAGGATGTATTTGGAGCAGAAATAAGATTCCACTGGAAATTCCAAAAGGTTGGCATGAACCAATTTGAGAGGTTTGGTGGTGTGTTTCCAGGAAGGTTTAAATGCCTCAGAAGACATTTTGCCTTGAGCACACCCTTTACAGGAAGATGTCTCCCCCTGTATAATAATTTTGGGAAGACCCAATCTGCAAAGATGTTGAAGAATAGTATTCACAGGATGTCCTAGTTGATTGTGGCAAAGAGGATCTGGCAACAATGACTTTACCAGAGGGCAAAGGACTGTAAAAGCAGTGGTAGGTGGAAGCAGTACGCCCACAAACCAGTGTAATGGTGAAGTTGGTGAGGCTAATTTTGCCTCAAGGACAATCCAGCCATCTGGTGCTTGGATCACCTTGTTTGTAAGAGTCACTGTGCTCCTGTACCTGTTTTCAAGGAGTGCATTTCTTGAACAGAGCCTCTTAGAAAAATAAGGGCTATAAACAACATTATGGAGAGTCAGGTTATGCCCTGATTCAAGGTGAATAACCACAGTTCCTTCTCCAAGTAATTTAACTCTAGACAAGCCTGCAGTATTTGCCTGACTTGGAGTTTGAAATTCTCAGAAAGTAAGGAAGTCAGTTTTAAGTGGAGTCACATGATGTGAGGCTCCAGAATCCAACATCCAAATCAACTCACCCTTTGGAAGGTTCTTAAAGGACATGTTAACGCCCAAGGGATAACAGTCAAAGGCATTGTAGGCATTGCAGTCAAATTTGCTGGGGAAATAACCTGCAGCAGATTCATTAGGGTCATATTCTACATCAGGAAATTTTTGAAAGAAAGAAAAGTGTAAAGGTTTTACAGATTTTACATAGGAACAGAGTCATGAAATTCTTTTAATGAAAAAGGACAGCACTTATTTAATTTTCAGACAGATCATCAGTTGCCATGATCATGTCCTTGAACATCAG